GGTTAATCAGGTTTGTAGGATTTCCTTTTTCCACCTTCGGAATATTGCTAAGATTAGAAGCATCCTTTCCAGGAGTGATGCTGGTACTAGTTCATGCACTTATTACATCAAGACTGGATTACTGTAATTCATTACTCTCAGGAAGTCCACAGAATGTAGTTAAAAGTCTTCAGCTTGTCCAAAATGCTGCAGCTAGAGTTCTGATGAGAATTAAAAAGAGAGATCACATCTCTCCTGTCTTAGCTTCCCTACATTGGCTACCTGTTAAATTCAGAATAGATTTTAAGATCCTTCTTCTCACATATAAAGCTCTTAATAATCAAGCTCCGTCATACATCAGTGATCTGATTGTTCCACACGTTCCTAACCGAGCACTTCGCTCTCAGACTGCAGGTTTACTGGTGGTTCCCAGAATATCTAAAATTAGGATGGGAGGCAGATCTTTTAGTTATCAGGCTCCTCTCCTGTGGATCCAGCTCCCAGTCTTAGTCTGTGAGGCAGACACCTTGTCTACTTTTAAGACAAGGCTTAAAACATTTTTATTTGACAGGGCCTATGGTTAAAATCTGATGTTAGCTTAGATCTGGAACAGGGGCGGCTCCAGGATTTTTTTTTCTGCAGTAGCTTAATAGTTGCTTAGTGACAGAAAGGAGTTGCAAATCCTAAAATTGTTCCAATTTAGCCTGAAGTTGTGTACTTAATTAAAAGAAATGACTCTGTATGACTTTTTAATAAGAGGAAATTAGAAAGAAAGAAAGTAACAGGAAAACATACTAATATGATCATAAATAATACTAGATATTAAAGTCATTGTCTTTTCATTACACAGTGAAAAATATTGCACTTTTGGACTGTTTTAACACTGTAATTTAATGTACCAAAATAAACACAAATCACATGCATTATGGTCAGGGAGGGTGTAGTTACTCACCAACTGATGTCAGATTAGAATAATGCGTCTGTTGTTGTGGTTCAAGGCGAAAGCATCGATGGTGTCCTGCTCATCAAGGGCTCTTGCACGTTCTGCGTTGATGGACAACAAAGCCAGGTTGCTGTTTCTTGAGTCCCCGCTTTTGCTCCTCAGGCATGTTTTGACGCGCCGTAAACATGAAAAGCTCCGTTCACAGGTTGCAGATGTGACAGGCAGTGTGAGTGAAATGCATAAAAGTCTGTGCAGATCAATGAATGCATCCTTGTATGGATGAAGAAGGGAGAAAAACCCCTGTGTGGTGTTTACAGTTTGTCCGTTCTGTCTTTTCTGGTCAAGCATCCGTTGCACTTGGTGCAGTTCTGCAGAAAGGTTGTCTTTGCTTACTCCATAATGCTGAGCCATGGGTAACAGGAGATCCATTTGAAGAAAGGACTGATGTTTTGGATTTAAAGCAGATGTGCCTTGTAGAACGCCACATGCTTCAGGTGAAAAGCGTCTTTTCAGTTCACTGACAAGTCTATCGATGACAGGGTAGAAACAGTTGTGTCTAATGGCATCAGGAGAGTTGAGGGCTGGACGTCTTCCTGTTGGAGCTTCAACTACAAAGCCTTCTAACTTTCCCGCAGTTTGCACATGTCGCCTCTCTGGTCTCATCTCTGTGAAGATGCCGGCCTTGGTTGACAGGGTTTGAGCTCTATCCCAAATGTCATGCCAGAACTTTTCGTTTGCCTTTTCAGAGAGAGATGCAATTGTGGACTCAACAAGGTCTGTAGCAGATGCAAGTTGAAGATCTGGAGACTGGAGGTGATCAGACAAGAATTTGGTGGTGCGAAAGAGATCCTCAAACAGAGCAAGCTGCACAACAAACTGAAAGTCAATCAGGCCCTTTAGTGATCTTGCTTCTGTCTTCCTTCGGGCATTTGGCTGCTGCATCATATCATCAAGTGACGCACAGATTGCTGGCAGAGTTTTCTGAATGGCTAACAGTGCAGAATACTGACAAGCCCATCTAGTTTCAGACAACTTTTTTAGTTCAAACAGCTTATCTGCAGCTTGAAGCTCCTTTTGTTTCTTCATGAAAATACTGTGCACAACAGAGCCAGAAAAAAAATTATGCAGCATCTGCACAATTTCAAAGAATTCTCCAGCTGGTTCGACATTATTCACACAATCCACCAAGACCAGATTTAGACGGTGGGCATGGCAATGGACATAAAGAGCTTGTGGGACCTCCTGTCTAAATTTTTCCTGGACACCATTATTACACCCTGACATGACAGCTGCCCCGTCATAACACTGGCCGATACACCTGTTGTGATCAATGTTGCATTTGCTCAGAGTCTGTTTGATGGCTGTCAGAAGGGAGTTGGCATCTAGCCCATCAGCTGGAGTAAAGTGAAGGAACTCTTCCCATATTTCATCATTATGCACGTACCGCACAGCCACAGACACCTGCTCCTTCTTACTCACATCTTTACTCTCATCAACTATCAGTGCAAATACGCCAGCCTCTTGTACTTCCCTGCTTATTTGCTCCCTGACCATATTTGCCATGATGTCAACCAGTTCATCTTGTATGTCATGATGAGTGTACTTCACATTTTTGGGATTATTGGCAATTTTTGATTCAACTGTTTTGTCAAACTTCCCAATGACATGTAAAAGTTCAATAAAATTGCCTCTGTTAGATGTTTCAGATTCCCTGTGTCCTCTCTGTGCAATGGTCTGACATGCAGTATAGCGTAAAGCTTCCACAACTGCACGCATATATTCCCGGTTTTCACGTACCGTTTTGGAATGTCCCTCGCTGAGTGCATTGCTTATTTTGGAGCCACTCTCTTTTCTCAGCTTAAATTCAGACCACGCATCCATTGCATATTTATGGCCAGCACTGACATTGTGTGTGTGGAATGACTGTGTAGCTTTAACCCATGTGCTGAACCCATCCTGGGTAAACGCGGTCTCTTTCCGAAACTGCCGGCCTGGGTGAGCAAAATGTCTGCATGCAAAGCAAAACACACTGTCCTTGTCGGCCGAGTACTCCAGCCAACTATATTGCTCATACCATCGGCGGTTAAAGGACCGCATTTGTATGCCGCACTTTTTAGCCCGGTATTTTACCAGTATTGGGCGACGTGGTCCTTCATGAGGGGTTTGGCTGATATCTGATGAAGTTGAGTCGTTGTTTGTTCCACTGCCTGGGACAGAAAGAAGCGGGTCAGGGCGCGTCTCTTCACACAGCGCGGGCACCTGTTCTCCTCTGTGCTCATCACATTCATCCTCGACCCGTGGATCCTCGCTGCTGTTAAAATCCGTGGCGTGGTCCTTTTCAATGGTGGAAGTAGCTGCATCATCCGTCTCCGTTGATAATCGCGGTCGTTTGGGTGGAATAAGATATTTGTCCATGTTTGCATCAGGCTGCTTTGTAATAGCTATGCGCTAGCAAGACAAATCTCAGTGCTTCTAAAAGCATGGGGTCAAATCGAAGTCTCGCGATAGCACCAGTGAGGCACGTCTTTTTTTGTTTTTCCAAGAAATTTGTTCTCCAAAACTATAAGTAAAACTACCACTTTTTATGTTAGATTAAATATATATATTTTAAATTATTTAATGTAAAAACTTTATACAATCTTTGTTACAACATAATCAGGGTTGCTAAGCAGTTGCTTGGTCAAATCTTGTGGTTGCTATAGCAACACCAAGCTACTGCCTGGCGCCGCGTCTGATCTGGAAAAGTGGGGGAGTACAGGGAGGTGGAGTGTACAGTCGGTAAAGACAGCTCTCCCTTGCCCTGCCTCTAATATGCCTCCATCTAAAAAGGCTAGGTTATCCAGAGTTATCTCTGTAGTTATGCTGCTATAGGCTTAGACTGCTGGAGGATACACTGACCACTTTTCACACTCTACTACTTTATTCTACAATCTGCTCTTTAACTGTTATTTCCTGCTACTTCAGCTATTAACTTTATTTTTTCTCTAAGTATTTTTCTCCCCAGAAGAAGCTACAATGATGTTCTGCTGAGCTGTGGTGGCCTCATGGAGGGGGCCATCGTCTAGCACACTGCTGCTAACCACTTAAACTTTTTCCCTCTCCTGACAATTACTTTTTGTTTCCTTGACATTGGATGTGCTACTGCTGGTTTACCCTTTTAACAATAGATTCACTAGGATAAATACAATAACGTTTATCTCTCGCCAAATAGAATATTTACTAAGTAATCACGGTGTAACCATGGACACATTGCTTGGTGTGTGTGTGTGTGTGTGTGTGTGTGTGTGTGTGTGTGTGTGTGTGTGTGTGTGTGTGTGTGTGTGTGTGTGTGTCTGCTCTATCTTCTCCATCCCCAGTGAGTCGTGGAGGATGGCTGCTTATACTGAGCCAGGATTCTCTGGAGGTTTCTTCCTGTTAAAAGGGAGTTTTCCTCTCCACTGTCGCTATATGCTTGCTTAGTATGAGGATTGATGTAAAGTCACTGACACTAGTCAGTGACTTGATGCAATTTGCTGGGTTCCTTATATAGGAAACATTGTTTTCTGATTAGCTTAATGAACTGACCTGAATTGGAATGTTTATTATGTGAAGTGCCTTGAGATGACTCTTGTCGTGATTAGGCGCTATAGAAATAAAATTGAATTGAATTGAATTAAGCAAACAAATTCCACAGGTAGAAAAACTCAGCATTATGATTATATGACACACATAAAAATGATGCTGTCACTTCCTCGTTGGTGTCTCTTTCAGGCTCTGAAGGCTGTCTCCTGGTTTATTAGTTTGTGTTTTCACTCTGTTGTCAACCATAAACTCAAATCAGGAAAGAAGACCTATCGATAACGAGAGTGTAAAGCAAAGGACATACCTGTGTAAAAAATTTAAGAACTGATCAATTTACGACATCATCAGCTGTGTTAATCATCACAAATGTGTAAGCATGCTGGGGTGAGATGGCTCAAGTCAAAAGACACAAATTAAAGGCAGTCAGTCCCAGAAAAAGATCTCATATGGTTTCTCGGCAATCAGAAGTGCACCTTTTTATGATGGGTGAAAGTCCACCACAGCCGTAACAGCAAGCAGATAAGCAGAGAACAGAGACATGAAGGCCAGTTCACACAGAGAGGACGGAGACATGGACGCAATTCATCCACAACTCTTCAGCTTCTTCCTGTTTTTCCTCCAAACCTCCACCGTGACAGCGAACAGTGAGTATTGCTTTGTTTCACTGTTTTATCAGGCTGATGGTGTCTCCTAACAAATAAAGTGGTTCCTTGTGTTTGTTGAGACGGATAAATAAAACGACAAGAAGAAGGTAAAGACTGAAACAGGAAGTGGTGAGTCATGAAGGCAGCACAATGGATGGCGAGTTCAGGAATCATCACATTTACTTACTTTCAGATCTGACAACATTTATCTCAACCAAACCAAGTCATCTCTAAAAGTCTCTGTGTTCTATCCACCATCCTTTATACAAGTGTACACAGAACAGGGCAGCTACACGGCTCTGAATCTAAAGCTGTGATTCAATTAGTCGATACTCAGCACGACTCACGTTGATTCGGTTTGTTTGGACTGCGTTTCCATTAGTATCCAGTCCATGGTCACTACTGAAAATTATTCCAAGTGCACCGAGCTGGGACGAAGACGCGACATCTGTGATAGTCGGTCACTGCTTGGCTACTGGTTGCTTCAGCATTCAGGACATTTTTTTATCTGCAGACAGGCATATTTATTCAGTGTTTTTGGAGAAGTTGACTGATATGTGGCTAATGAAACTACCAGAATGCACCATGCATTAGAGGAAAGAGCCAGTGCACTGAGAAGCCAAATTTAAAAGTAGTGGTGTGATCTAGAGATGGAGAGATTCACCGATCTGACCCGGTGGTTCGTTCATAACATTAGCGACGTGACTGCACTGGTAGCTTCGGGTACATCGGTTACAACTGATGGCTGCATCACATTGTATATTTCCATGGGTGTCTCTCGTCGGTAAAAACCATGGTTACATTGATTACATCATAGTTTACCTGCTGTCCTTATCTCTTTCAGCGAAAACCAGGTGCTGCCCACTGCGCATTGAAAGTGGTAGCATGTTGGGGCTATTTTAAAGGGACTTTTCGGACTTTTAAATTTTTATGCTCACGATTGCCCCCTCAGGCCAAAAACGTAACGGCAGCTTCTATTGTAGGCTCGTGCACGAGGTGTGCATGCTGTACGTGCACACTCCTTAAAGAAAATAACAGCTGAGACAGTACCGTGTGTGTGTGTGTGTGTGTGTGTGTGTGTGTGTGTGTGTGTGTGTGTGTGTGTGTGTGAGTGTGTGTGTGTGTGTGTGTGTGTGGCCCAGAGGACAGAGGACAGGAGAACGCACAGCTAATTAATTAAATACTTTGGTTCTGTACCTTTCTCTTCAGCACAGCCAACAAAGGTTTAAGATGGGTCAGTCCTCCTGCATGCTCAGATCATTCCCTTCCCTTGCTTGAAAAATTGTTCCAAAATGAAACGTATCTGTAACATTTAAATTCTTGATGACAGCTGAAACAATGTCAAACCAAAGAACGGTTCGGAGCGAAAATGACTATTTTGTTACTAATTTGCAGGAAATATCTAGAAGAAAGTTCTACAGAAAGTAGCTAAGGGTCCTCAGAAATGTAGCTAGGTTTGTCACTAGGCGTTAGGAACAGCGACAAAGTCGCTGAGTTGGCACTACCTCTCTCTCTGCTGCTAAAGCTACTAATAGCAAATGCTACGGGCGATGCCTGAGCGTGAACACGCATGAAGCAGCCTGCTCGACCCGAGCATCTCTCTTTTTCTGTGATTTTACAGAAAAACAGGCAATCACAGTAAAAATGCCAGGGCTCATTCTACAGGACCAGGGCATTGCAGGAGAATGTATGAAGAAGAAAAATAATATTTCTATACATGTTTTGGCTGTCAAACTTCCATAATGCCCCTTTAACTGAGATACGTGCTTCCTGTCTCAACTTGCCAACGTAAAATCAACTTCTCCGTGACACTGTCTCTGGTTTGTGCAGCCACGTATTTTTAAGAGCGTTCTTATTGACCTGAGCACCTGAAGCTTTGTGTGAGCTAATTTAAGATAATCACTTATTACTGTAACATGTGCAGAATTAAAAAAACTCCAGAAGGAATGACGTTGTGCCGTTAACTGTAGTTCATAGAAGTCCAATAAACTTCTGAGATACGCTCACATCTCCAGCATTCACTTCCTAAAGGAACAGTAGCTTTAGGCTACAGCAGCTCTCACAATAGCTCCTTATGGATCAGTACAATATTTTATGTTCAGATGCTTACGGTGTTTAATAATAATTCCTAATAATTATGAGATGAACGCTAACACTTTTTTGATTCTGTTGGTTTGTTTTTCTGAAAAGAGTGACTGTCTAAACCGCATTTCAACCCTTCAATGTCAGCAGAGTAATAAAAATATGTATAATATGGAAAAATCACTGATGAACTGCATTGTCTTTTCATGTTCAGTTAATTGATAAATGAAATAATGGAAGATCAAATACATTCTTCTGTGATGATGTTTAAAAACCAGATGTGGGCTTGCTATTTCTTCTTAATGTGCTGAGTCGTTTCACATGAATTGTGTCAAATCGACTTATGGGAGCTTCTCGTAGCACTACTCAGTGTGACACGGATGGGTGTGGTTTGGGTGGACAGCCTTTTCGAGCAGCATGGTTTGGTCTTTTCGCAAAACTATTCAGTACCTGGTTTGATACGGGAGTGAAGTGGGAAAGACCTTCATGGCATCAGGTTTAACCTCTCTAGCACCTACAATGCAGCTCTAAACCTAATTCCCAAACCGTTTCAGTCTAGGTCCCACCCTCCTGCATCTAATCAAATCAACTACTCCATTACAACCAGACCTGACGACATCAACAGCTCCATGTCTTGTTTTTATCTTGTACTGTTTAGTAAAATGTACAGATTGCGAATAAAAACACAGATTGAATGTACGAAAGGGGATATAAACAACTCCTTGGGAGGTAGAAAGGAGGGGCATTAATAGGTAGTTTCAGCTCGTTAAGCTCATTAGCGTTTTTAAGCTTGACTCTCCCATGTTCCAGTCAGAACTGACAAAGCTCCTCGGACGAGAAGCGAAACATCTTCAGGTAACTAAAGAAGTCCAGTTGTCTTCATCTGACCTCCTTTAGATTACCATGACCTGGATGACTAGGAATCTTCACCAGCATATGTCCTAGCATGCTGACCAGGTCTGAATATGCACCGGCCACTGATTGGTTAAGGGGTGGAGTCACTGGTCGTTTCCAGGTTCAACATCACCACCACTGTCACCTCACACTGTTTACGGATCGCCTCGACACTAACACTACTGACGTGGTTCTATAGGACATGTTCTAGGAACCAGGGTCTTCACCGGGTTTTCAATGTTGTAACTACTGTAATAGCTTGGGTCAAAATGAGGACATTTACCCCAGAAAACACTTGTAAATCTAAATATCACCTTCCAAACTAAACTTTGAGTTGGTGAGAGCTGTAAACATTTCAGATTAAACCTTTTTCGTGTAGATAAATGTCCTTTGGTGACAAACACGAAAATGTTTCAGTTGACTTGGATGGAGCAGGTCTCGAGCTGACTAGCTGTTAAACACCTCCAGGCTGAAATCGCTAATGGATGTCCCCTTCAGCTTCAAAAATATTCTCGTTTTATTTTAAATGTACAAAACAGATCATATGATCTTTCATAGATGAACTGTCAAGGAGTCGGAGTACCCGGCCCGGGTGGTTACCGGGGTCCCACCCTGGAAACAGGCCTGGGATTGGGGCCCGTGAGCGAGTGCCTGGTGGCCAGGCTTTCACCCATGGGGCTGGGCCGGGCCCAGCCCGAACCGGAGAAATGGGCTAATCCAACTGTGGACCCACCACCCGCAGGAGGAACATGAAGGGTCCGGTGCAATGTGGATCGGGTGGCAGACCAAGGCGGGAGCCTTGGCGGTCCGATCCCCAGACAAGAAAACTTGTTTTTGGGACATGGAACCTCACCTCGCTGGCGAGAAAGGAGCAGGAGCTTGTGGCAGAGGTTGAGCTGTACCAGCTAGATATAGTCGGACTCACCTCGACACATAGCATTGGCCCTGGAACCCAAGTCCTTGAGAGGGGTTGGACACTCTCCTTTGCTGGAGTTGCTCCGGGTGAGATGCGGAGGGCAGGGTTGGCTTTTTTTTAGCCCCAAGACTCTCTGCCTGTGTGTTGGAGTTTACCCCGGGGGACGAGAGGGTAGCTTCCCTGCACCTTCGGGTCGGGGAATGGGTCCTGACTGTTGTTTGTGCTTATGGGCCAAATATCAGTTCAGAGTACCCACCCTTTTTGGAGTCCCTGGGACGAGTGGTAGATAGTGCTCCACCAGGGGACTCCATTGTCCTGCTGGGGGAATGCAGTGCTCACGTGGGCAATAACAGCATGACCTGGAGGGGTGTGATTGGGAGGAACGGCCCGCCTGATCTGAACTCGAGTGGTGTTTCGTTATTGGACTTCTCTGCAAGCTGCACAAGGATGCCCTTCGGTACTCTTGGTACCAGGGAAGCCTAGGTCGCAGGTCGATGATAGACTTTGTAGTCATATCATCTGACCTGCGGCCGTATGTTTTGGACACCCAAGTGAAGAGAGGAGCGAAGCTGTCAACTGATCACCACCTGGTGGTGAGTTGGATCAGATGGCAGGGGAAGATGCCGCGTAGACCTGGCAGACCCAAACGCATAGTGAGGGTCTGCTGGGAACGCCTGGCAGAAGAACCTGTCAAGACGGTATTCAACTCCCACCTCTGGCAGAGCTTTGACAGCGTCCCGAGAGCAGTGGGGGACACTGATTCCGAGTGGGCCTTGTTCCACTCTGTGATTGTTGAGGCGGCTGTTGCTAGCTGTGGTCGCAAGGTGGCCGGTGCCAGTCGTGGTGGCAACCCCCGTACCCGCTGGTGGACACCAGAGGCTCGGGGAGCCGTCAGGCTGAAGAAGGAGGCCTACAGGGCGTGGCTGGTTTGTGGGTCTCCGGAGGCAGCAGACAGGTACCGGATAGCCAAGCGGGGTGCAGCAGTGGCAGTTGCCGAGGCAAAATCTCGGGCGTGGCAGGAGTTTGGTGAGGCCATGGAGAACGACTATCAATCGGCTCCAAAGAGGTTCTGGCAAACTGTCCAGCGCCTCAGGAGAGGAAGGCAGCAACTCGCTCACACTATTTACAGTGGGGATGGGGAGCTGCTGACGTCAACTGGGGCTATAGTCGGACAGTGGAACGAATACTTTGAGGAGCTCCTCAATCCCACCTAGGCGCATTCCGAGGAGGACCCAGAGAAGGGAGACCTGGGGATGGACTGTCTGGGGGCAGAAGTTGCTGAGGTAGTCAAACAACTACACAGCGGCGGAGCCCCGGGGGCGGATGAGGTTCGTCCTGGGCTTTTCAAGGCTATGATTGTTGTAGGGCTGTCATGGTTGACATGTCTCTGCAACATTGCATGGTCATCGGGGGCAGTTCCTGTGGAGTGGCAGACCGGGGTGGTGGTCCCCATCTTTAAGAAGGGTGACCTGAGGGTGTGTTCCAACTATAGGGAGATCACACTCCTCAGCCTTCCTGGAAAGGTCTACTCCAAGGTACTGGAGAGGAGGGTCCGATCGATAGTTGAATCTCAGATTGTGGAGGAGCAATGTGGTTTTCGTCCTGGCCGTGGAACTGTGGACCAGCTCTATACCCTTGCAAGGGTGATGGAGGGGGCATGGGAGTTTGCCCAACCAATCCACATGTGTTTTGTGGATTTGGAGAAGGCTTATGACCGTGTACACAGGGGCACCCTGTGGGGGACACTCCAGGAGTATGGGGTGGGTGGCTTTCTGTTAAGGGCCATTCAGTCCCTTTACCAGAGGAGCGCGAGTTTGGTCCGCATAGCCGGTAGTAAGTCGGACCTGTTCCCGGTGAGGTTTGGACTCCGCCAGGGCTACCCTTTGTCACCGGTTCTGTTCATTACCTTTATGGACAGAATTTCTTGGCGCAGCCGTGGTGTGGAGTATGTCGAGTTTGGTGGCAGGAGAATCTTGTTTCTGCTTTTTGCGGATGATGTGGTCCTCCTAGCTTCATCCAGCTCTGACCTTCAGCTCTTGCTGGGTAGGTTCGCGGCTGAGTGTGAAGCAGCTGGGATGAGGATCAGCACCTCCAAATCTGAGACCATGGTTCTCGACCGGAAAAGGGTGGCTTGCCAACTCCGGGTCGGGAGAGAGGTCCTACCTCAAGTGGAGGAATTTAAGTATCTCGGGGTCTTGTTCACGAGTGAGGGTAGGAGGGATTGGGAGATCGACAGCCAGATTGGTTCAGCATCTGCAGTGATGCGGACGCTTAGCTGATCTGTCGTGGAAAAGAGGGAGCTGAGCCAGAAAGCCAGGCTCTCGATTTACCGGTCGATCTACGTCCCAATCCTCACCTATGGTCATGAGCTTTGGGTAATGACCGAAAGAACGAGATCCCGGATACAAGCAGCCAAAATGAGTTTCCTCCGTAGGGTGGCTGGGCTCAGCCTTAGAGATAGGGTGAGGAGCTCGGACATTCGGGAGGGACTCGGAGTAGACCCGCTGCTCCTCCGGATCGAAAGGAGTCAGTTGAGGTGGTTTGGGCATCTGGTCAGGATGCCTCCTGGACGCCTCCCTGGGGAGGTGTTTCGGGCATGTCCTGCTGGCAGGAGCCCCCCGGGTCGACCCAGGACACATTGGAGAGGTTTCATCTCCAATCTGGTCCAGGAACGCCTTGGGGTCCTGCTGGAGGAACTGGTGGAGGTGGCCGGGGAGAGGACGGTCTGGAGTCCCTAGTTGGGATGCTGCCCCCACAACCCGGACCCGGATAAGCGGAGGAAGATGACGACGACGAAAACAGACTAAAGAAGTGAACAAATGGCCACATAAAAGTCTTCATTGCATAAAATTGTGCCTCAGACTGTTTTAATGAACATCTCCTTCTAGATTTGGTGGATTATTAATTTGTGGTGGGTGGAGACATGAGTAATTAACTACCAGCATGGACACTGGGAGTTCCTGAAAGTGGATTTCATAATAAAGTGTGTAGGGTAGAATCAGAGAAATCCTATTGTTGTGCGAGTGTCAACAGCTCCAACTCCAACCCCCTTAAAAAGGAAAATTCCTCATTTTAACAACATTTACTGTAATTGTTATTTGTTTTCAACCTGAAACTCAGTTATATTCTTAGGAACTTTCTTCAGCGACTCCAGATTGAACCCCAACAGAGCATCTTTAGTCCACATCTACACACGGAGTAACTGTTATAATGTCCTACTTTTTAGAATAAGACCAACATCTGTAGAAATTTTGAACATGTTTTTTTTTCTTGTTGCCGCGCCACACAGTGCTGGTGCTCGCAGGTGATCCTGTCAACGTTGGTCAGCCCGTGAAACCCAGATTCAGGGGTTTGCTGTCAGAAAACATCAGATCTGACTAAACCTTTGTGACTTAAATGAGAATATCATTCACTCTCAGTGAAGTGAATTTTTCTGTGACAAGTTAAAACTGGTTTCCAAATGTTGTCAGTATTGTTCAGGATGCTTTCATCCCTTCAAATACGACTTAGAGGTTTTCTAATATGAAATCTGGTTTTATTTAAAAATCTGGTTCAATAAATGAATACATTTAATTTAAATTTCAAAGATGTTTCAATTCAAATGCTGCAAAAGTTTTGAAATTTGGTGCATTTTACTCTGAAATGAAAATGTTCTTTAGTTCATGAGTTTAATTTGTATTTTCTGTGGATAATAATCCAAACGGGATTCGTGTTGTCAGGAAGTCAGAACTTCTATAGTGTTCTAATTTGGAAATTATGAATGTAAGGAATATATTGTTAACTCTTGTCTGATAGATGAGGGGGGAAATTACTTGATCTGATCTTTTTCTTACCTTTTCGACGTTGTTTAATGTAAAGTTTTGTTCTGTACAAAGTTAAATTACAGCAATCCAACCAAACAGAGCCTGGATTTGTATTCTGAACAGTTTAAGGAGACGTGTGTGACGCGTCAAAAAGCAGAACCTGCTCAACTATTAAAACCACTAATGGTGAAAAACATCTAAATGTTGTAGCAACTTCTGCATCAATATTATACAAACTGTTTGAATCATTCTTTTCTGCTGAAAGAGAACTTTGACGTACACGAGCGACCGCTGTTGTTTGCCATCAACTGTCGTGATTGGTTAAAGCAGCTCTCGGCTGTGGGCCCAAGTGCAAGTGGGTGGGCTCAGGTCCGGTAGGCCCCACCCACAACACCAGTGTTGTCTTTCCTGTGGGAAACGGGTAACAATGGCTCTTCGATGGGAAAAGGTTGCCGACCCCTGGCTTACACCAAACACGTGTTCTTATACTTGATGTTGGATTTTGTCTCCATCAGACTAATAACTGAATTTCTTTCTCTACCAACAGTCTGCGACGCCCCTTCCGCCGTAAACTTTGCAGAAAACAACAAAGTGGGCGATCCTGTGACAACCATCTTTGTCCAAGCTGGAGTGATCCTTGAACTGACCTCCACAGACATCCCCTTTAGACTTGATGCAAACCAGCTAATAGCTACAGCTGTGCTGGACTATGAAAACACAGAGGTCAGGACTGATGCTATTTCTGGCTGAGACTCGTTTTTATTCATCAGTTCATATTTTCTTTACTATAGGAATGCTTTCTAATTGTATTTCCAGACCCAAATCTTTTCTGTTGGCGTCCTCTGCAGGTTAGAAGAAGTATCTCAAGTAAGACTGGATTTTATTATTTTAACAATAATGAAGCATTTGAAGCAAATATGTAAAACTAAAGTTAAAACTCCACAGCAGCAACAAAGTTCATTCAGATGAAAGCTTTTGTTTCCAGAGAACCCTCAGAATCACCATTCTTGTGGAAAATCTAAACGACAACCCGCCCGTTTTTGACCAGAATGTGTACCACGCCAGTGCCAACGAGGTAGTATTATAGTAGTATTGTGATTCCGTTGGTGTTTTCTTCCTCCCCCCTGACGGCCTTATGTTGAGGGACATGTCCTCCACAGCTGTCTCCCATAGACACAACTGTAGGAAGGTTTGCTGCCACAGATGCTGATGGACCTCGGATCTTCTACCAGCTGGCATCTTCCCCAGTAAGAATCGAGGTTTTTTCTGGTTTGTTTTGTCATCCTTGATCTCCTTCTCTCACCACTCCAGAGCCATCATCCCAGATCCATGATTTATCTGTTTTTATTTATTGTTTTTTTGATAGAGTGAGTTTAAACTCAAGTCATCCATTATCCCAGAAATCCTCGTTAACGGGCGCCTCGACTATGAAAAAGTCAAAGAGTATCAGCTTGTGCTGGAAGCCCAGGTGAGTATTGCTGTCTGGGGATATTTAGATTTTATTCCACCATAAGGTGGAAAAAACGGCTTATTTTTCTAGAGTAAGCAGCCATTTTAATGTCGTAGGACACGCCGCTGGCGTCACCACCTGAGGAAACCTCTTTTACTGCCACCACAACCATCATGATCTCCATCTTGGATGTTGACAACAGACCTCCTTGGTTCCAACCTTGCCACCAAACTGAAGTGAATGGAGCTGTGGTCTGTGAGACAACTGGCTACACTGGCAAAGTTGACCTAGATGAACAAGTGGTGAGTTGCCTCTGTTCCACAGCGCCGACTCCAGATCAGCTGCTGACAGAATATTTTTATGTGTTGCTGCTTTTGAAAAGCTAAACAAGTGTTTTGTTCCTGTTCAGACTGGAGTCCTACCCCTGAAACCAGGTCCTCTCTATGCCATTGATGGAGACTTTGGGATAAATGAGCCGATTAGATACTCGTTCCTTTCCGGTAAGGAGCTTAGAGTTGCAGTGGTTGTTATTCCTGAAGCAGCTCAGTCTGTGTTTGTGTTTTAGAAAATGAACCGGGCCTTTTTGTAATCAACCAAGACACCGGAAACATCACCATGTCGAGGCCAGCCGATGTACTGGAGCCAATCAGACTGACAGTTCTGGTAATATAAAAAGCGCGCGCGCACACACACACGCACACACACACACACACACACACACACCTTCATCAAGGTAACCTCTCATTTTGAAAGAAGGTCCTGGGGGGATGCGAGTCAGGCGCACAGACATGTATAAAGACAGAATCTACAAAACCATTCCTCAGTGCCTGTCTACTATCTTTTAGACCCGCCTCGTCCACACAGAGGTCTTCTGCCTGGGACGTCTGCTCATATGGGTGCTCACTCCCAAATCTTAGTGGTTCCATCCTTCACGGTGGTTCTGACACTTGCTAGTCTTTGGTCTTCCTCCTTTCCCTCAGCCTCAGGAGCTTGAGATGAATTAGAAAAAGCATCTTCTATCACTTGTATTCTGATTACTGACAGATGTGTGTGTGTGTGTGTGTTGATGGCTAGGACTCTGCGCTTACCATTTAGCTAGCTCTTTAGGACCTCTTTAAGAAATCTGAAATGCCTTTAGATACTTCACCCCCTACAGTTGCGACCACCTTGGATACTGTTAGGGATTTTATCAATAACCCAATACCTGCAGCTAGAGAGAGAGAAAGGAGAGACAATTAAGCAGACAAGTCACCAAATTGCAATCGGGGCAGAAGCTCAAGGCAACTGCCCAGAGAATCTGCCCTGAGAGTTTATTCATACAAAAACAAAAAAGATGAGACAGTCTGTGAGAGTGAGAGAGTATGTGTGTGTATGGGAAGTTACAAGGTAACAGGTATGCGTGGGTGTGTCTGAGCGAATGAGAATACTTTCAGGCATAGAGTAATACACTCAGTTAATAGGATTAATGATCAAGAAGTAATAAAACATTACATTTCTATAGCAGATACCATTCGTCTGTTTCTCCAGTTTAAATGGCATCCAAAGTTCTTCCTGGTGAGGTACACCAGTGAGTCTAGTTCATTCTTGGTGTGAGGCTGAATGTGAACCATGTAGAGGGGCATCTGATAACTTCTTTACCCTGTAGTTGGGGTCTGGAGGCACTCTTTGGGGAAGTGGTGCATTCCCAATAGAAACATGTGACTGCTGAGCTTCAGTTCTTCCACACTCAGGGGCGGTCCTCACTGCCGGTAGAGTTGTAGTTAGGACCCAAAGTGCAGGTGATGTAGCAGGTGCAGGTTGCAGGTGCAAAGAATGGAATTTTTTTTTTAAATAAAGGCTGGTATGATGACATGATGGGAAGGGGAGACAAGAATGTGCCACAGACCAGCACAAACAGAGGGTTTAAATACCTGAGGGTGATCAGGGAGACAGGTGGGTAAGGTAACGAGGGGCAGGTGAGCTCAATCAACACTAACAAGGGAGACGAGACACAGGAGGCTACAGGAGCAGATCCTGACAGTGGTTGTTGCTGGCTCTTCTTTATATCGACGGTTTAAATGGACCCGTTCTCATATTTCTATGGAGGAAAATGATTTTGTTGTTGGAATGGAATCAGCCACCAAAGAGCTACAACAGGACAGTAGAGCTGCTCTTTCAGGCCATGTTGATTTCCTCCTTGGTTACGCATGCTTCATAAACACGTGTTAAACTTAGTCTCATTGATTTTTATGACTGGCTTCATGGGGTAGATTTGCCATGCTTGTTGGGTTATTTGAAATGAGCTTAAGTTAATTTGGGACTCCTAACTAAGCGTCGTCATGAGGCACAACTAAACGACTGTATCTGTCCTGAAATGTTCCTCACACAGGCTGCACAGAGGACCAACACTCACCAGTTTTCTACAACTAGTGTTCTGATCGACGTCATTGTGAAGAGCCTTCACGCACCGCAGTTTCAGAGGCCTGAGTACGAAGCTCTCATCACCTCAACAGGCTCAATGGCAGTGGACCCAAAGAACAACCAGCCATTACAGATCCTGGCCACGGATGATGACTATTCTGCTACTGGGGTAAATGTGGCCAACTCACAGAGGTGTACTGTAAAGAGATGATCTAAGGCACAGAACATGACGGATGGTTAAAACATCAGAGGCAATTTACGTTACATCTTTACATTAAACAATGTTATCAAAAGGTCTCTAAGACCTATTCTAAAAATGGTCCTCCGAAGTACTTTCAACCCAGGCCACCAGGATCCTCCCTGCAGGGCTGTCTAACTCAGGCAGCAGCTTGGCATCTCCATGTGGTCCTCTTATCTGTAGTTCTGCGTTCCTGCAGCGCTTCCTCCCTTCGGCACGACTCGCCCAGTCCGCCTGGATCACCACAGGATTATACAGGCCAACACCACCACACTTAAGCCTAATTTATACTTCTCAGTCTACGTCGGGACAAAGACACCCAATGCCATTATGCTCGACGTGCTCACAGAGGAAGACGAAACCGGGTTTATGCTTCTGCGTCAGCTCCACACGGGACAGACACGCATGGATTGACGGAAGCATTTTGCCCTCAGACGTCTCCGTCTCCTGGAGGTGTTGCAAAGCAATTCCCCGCCAGGACAACAGAGGGCGTAGCGCTGTTCTGTGGTATCCTGTCATGTATCGGGTCCAAGTGCATTTACTATTGTTTTTATTCCGTGTGTTTTTTGTTTTTCAGAGACTTTATAACATGTCCCTCATCCTCGTCCACCTCTTTATGAGCTCGTCACCTCTAATAACTACGTTTCCCATCATTTCCATCCACAAATAAAATGCTTGCAGCGTATCTTTTCACCCTCAAGTCATGGGTGAATAAAATGTTCATATTTTAAAATTTTTTCCTTGAGTTATTTTTCAATCTGCTCTGCGTCTGCCGCTGGACATCTTCAGCTCTCTTTATGTCTTTGAGAGGGGCAATGGCAGCGCTGTAGACAAAGTGCCGTCCTGACCAATCATGTTTGCATTCTTCGTCTTGTTAAACGGACGTTTACAAAAACGAGCTTGACTCCGTCTGTCCTTGTGAGCCTGCTGGAGAGCCCTCACAAGGACGGATAATGGCGCTGCGTGTCTGCACTGATGCAGAAGCATAAACTAGGCTAGAGACGTGCCCCAATTTCTAACTATCTGTCGAAAGAGACGGAGAATGCAAGCTTGTTATTGGGCAGGAAGCTGCTTCCTGTAAATTTGTCAACAGCTCCGTCTTTGCCACCTGAAAAGGAAAGAGATATTTAGCAGAGGGATGTAATTTTTGGGGGGACCCACTTTTTCCGGAGTCAAGTTTTGACCCCTGCACCTCTTACTATCCAAAACAATATTACGCTATACAAAATAGACACTGGTTGAGCACTAACCCCCCCCCCCGGTCCTCATGCCAGTTGTGTGTCCCCACCTCAAAAGTCAAAACTACGTCCATGATTTAGTGAAAGACACAAAACAGAATGAAAAATGAATTGAGGGCAAAGTGTGAAAATATAACTGCTTATTCACCCGTGACTGAAGTATCACAAAGATGTGCAGCAAGTGTTTTATTTGTGGGCAGAAATGATGAGAAACGTGGGTTTAAAGGTGCCGATCGCAGGAACACATGGAGGAGAATGAGGGACAAATCTGTTTGTGTTCATCAGTCTCTGAAACACAATAAAACAATGTAAACACAATAGTAAATATACTATCATGGACGTAAAGGTGGCAGGATACCTCAGAATAGCGCTGCACCCTCTGTTGTCCTGGAAGGGAACTGTTTTGCAACAATCCCCAGGAGACGGAGAAGTCTGAAAGCAATGCGTCTGTCGATGCGTGTGTGTCTCACCCTCGCGAAGCTGACGGAGAAGCATAAATTAGGCTTTATTCATCACACATTTTTGAAAATCTTAGGCTTTAGCTAGGGCGTGCATAGACACATGCCCAACGACCAGTGTTGGGAGTAATGCCGTTTAAGTATAACAACATTACTAATGGCATTATTTTGTTTGTAACAGAGAAATCAAATTAACATATTTTTCCATCGTTGCAATGCCGTTATTATTACTGGTCATGTAAAGCGGCACGCTACTCCGTTGCTACGATGTGGCTGAATGAAGTGCAGCGGTTGTCAGGCTGCCTGAGAGCCACACCAGTGATGTGTTGGTCATGCATGAAACGGCTCTTAAGCCAAGCTAAGCCAGAATGGGTGACGCCGGGGGTTCTTCTCAACGCCGAGGAACCTTGCTTTGATGTCTTGGCCCCGCCCTGGTTGCCTAAGATACGTCATCAGGAACCGCCAAAGCGTGTTCCAATGTTCATGTTCGATCGAGGCGTGTGTTCTCCGTTTTTTAGCCATTTAGCTAGCTGAGCAAGGATACATGGAGGTGTCTTGTAGCCTAGCCTTGGTCAAAAATTACCGGGAATACTCTGCAATATTTTCACAAGGATGGCGGATCAGAAGCCGGCAGATAACTTATTTACAATGTTTTTCTTTTAGATCCAAAGAAGTTATCTTTTATTGGTTAGTTGCTTAGTAGTTGCAGCTTAGCTGGCTAGCGGGTAGTAACTCGTTTTTATACTTAATTTAACAAATATATACAAAATTTTAAAAGTAAAAGGCTCGTTATATATTTATATTGAAACTTATACGTATGAAATATAACATTATCTCCCGTGTCACGTGACGTTACGTGACCGCCGTGGAAGCCGCGGTCACATGATGCAAGTCTGTTCCATTTAACCGTTTTCTTTGACCAAGTTAAGGGCAGTGTCCTCGTAAGCAAGGCGCCTTGTGCGGCCAGGTGCCTTGACATTGAAAAACACCCCGGCTTTACGGCACCTGCCATCCCACCCCGAGCAGGTATTACAAATGGCAAGACGGTACACAGCGCCGGACACATCAGGGTGTTTGCTTGCAGATCAGAGGCGAGTGTGTGTGCACAGCACCGCGCACACTCATCCCTCCGATCACTATAAAGTAGGGAGGAGATTGGCACGAGTACAATTCCTAGGACAATTATTACAACATGATGGACCTGTAAATATTAGTAGGGACAAATTTGTAAAAGATGAGGAAAGAAAATTAAACAGCACTTCAGAAAGGTGACGAAATGAGTGAAATCAGCACTAATTACTTTTTTAACATAAGATGCCCTGCTGGTGTGGTACACCTATGTGTGGGGCAGCTAATCATTCTGCTCCCCTCCCCACTCTGCAGCCAGCCCAACTTAGTGTCTCTGGGGAGCTTCACAAAGAAAAAGCATCCAGTTACAACAAAATAAACCACAAACATAAGTCATCATGCAAATATGAAAACAACTAATTGTGCAACTTAAACTACTGAAATGGACACACTTCCCACTGTGCAACATAAAACCCAAAAAAACACTTTGACTTAGTGGGAAAAGTTGTGATGTTAATAACGTTAACATAAATTCATTCATTCATTCATTTGATAATGGCACATTATTGAAAATGTATTCAAAAACCAATAGATGTAAATACAGTGTTATAGCAAAAATGCTAATTTACATCCCGAGTTGCTGGGCAGAACAAATTCAAAGAATTAAATGTTAACAATAGACTTGCAACATCCTGTTTTTAATAAAAACAATGTGGCTGAACAATTAAAGTGTCTGTAACTATAAGTATTTCATGTGAATGCTAAACAATGCTAGCCTGGTAAGGCATCCTATAAATGTGAGATATTTAACCACAACCCATAGGGAGAGGGGCAGAATCTTTCAGACTGTCTCCAACACAGACATGAAATACGCAGCTGGAGTGCAACAGCCTCACCGCCATATTGGATGGGTTCCTCACTCTCCAAACCCAACTGGAGTCAACGCAGAGTGAGCAATGATGCCAGTTTATTTGTGCAGCCTATGGTTGCACCAACCGGCATACTATTGAAGACAGATCACGTGGGATTTCTGTTGACCTTTCCAGCCTACTTGATGGGATTTTATATTTTATTTATCATGTCATATCATAAGTCTGATTTTGTGAAAAACCGTAATAAAATGTGTTTTTAGTTGGTAAACACCTTCCTCAGTAGAAATAAATGTGCTGAGGGCACATGGAGACCCATCCAAGATGGTGGCTGGCCACTACTGCAGCTTCAGCAGGCAGCACCATCTACAGGGCTTCAACGTATATGACGTCTGTGGTCTCCACATGCTATTAGACAACAACCAATGAGACATACTCCCCGCTACATATGTCAGTCAATGGGGCAGTCCACCATCCACGGACAACAACATCCTTTTTCCAAATAAAGGACCTAAAGACTTCTGGCTGCTCTTGACTCAAAGAAAAGCCCAAGCCTAAATAGTCCACAGTTAATGCCAAAGCCATTTCAAATGAGCTGCCACCATCTTGTGGTTTTGCTCAGTCGCAGTTAAATCCGCCCACAGACCAACAGAGCGCTGTGATTGGCAAGACACCAGATGTTTGTGCCTGCTGAGGCTACAAAGACACGTGGCCAGACCGACCTGCCAATAAAATCCTTTTGCTTATGCTACAGTCTGTCTAGATTTGCAGGCCAGAACAAGGCCTGTTTATTTAGGGGGCCTTTCTTGCATTACACTAACTTGGCTCATTAAGATAAAATCTTTTACAACCACAAGACCCTTCAAAATGACAATTTACATTCATTTATTATAAGCCAACAGTCAGTTTGCAACCAGAAATGACCATTTTCACAAAATATGAGAAGAAATAACATGAAATTAGGATTCATTATTGGTCATCACTTCTGTTTACGTTACAAACTACATTATTTCTCATTCAGTCTCTAACCACCATATGAGCTGTAACGATTTCCTTTCTGCTCCAACAGGGAATTAATCCCTACATAACTTATTCAGTTGAAGGAAGCAGTGACCTTGCTATTGTTGGAAGCTACTTGTTCATGGTCAAAACTCTCCCAGAAGGCACATCCTCCTTCCAAGTGAGTTTAACCGTGACCGTCTTCTAAAAAGAGTACATTGTTGGTAGCACTTTACAATAAGGGTTACGTGGTGCATCATTAATAAGTTTTATACATTTATTAACGTTGCCATTATGGTTAAGCAGCTAATACTTTAATTTAAAGTTAATAAAGGGACCCTTATTTTAAAGTGTTTCCAAGTGGTTTTATTGGGCTGTCAATATCATTTTCAATTTTCAGATTTTGGCCAAAGACACAAAGACTGATGATACAGCAACAGCGCGACTTCGGGTGGAGGTGAATGTGGGTAAGTTAAACCTCTACAAAAATCATTGAAGCTTTCCTGCTCAGTTCTGCATGACATATACACGAACGTAAAGCTGACAGAAAGGGAGGCTTCCTATTGGTCACCAGACTAAGAGCTCCTTTATGTAAATTCTAGCTTCAAATGGAAATAAGAACTTTCTCAAGAAGGAAGCTCTTGCATATAGACGGGTTTGGGTGTGTTACATTTGCTGCAGCAATGCCCTGTGGTTGGTCAGCTCTGATGTCAGTTAAAATCACTGAGTTTACCTGAATTTAATGACAGAGCTGCCCGTGTTTTCCTAGAGGCTGGTTGGTTGGCACTATTACGTCACTCTGGGTCAGTTCCATTTGTAGAAATGTATTACAAACATTCAGATTTTACAGAATAGACGAGACAACAATGTGAAAGTGAAGCTCTTAAAAGAAACCAGCTTCTAAGTGTAATTTCCTCCCAGGTTCTTCCACCAGCAGTTTGCCCCCGAGCACCACAGACATTACGAGCACAAGCGTGACCATGGAAGAATCCACTGCCAGTGGCGAGATGACTAGTGAGCTCATGCCCACAACCAACCCCAGTATGTCCACTGGCTTCTCCAGCACCAGCACCAGCACCAGCATAACCATGTCCACTGGCTTCTCCAGCACCAGCACCAGCACCAGCATAACCATGTCCACTGGCTTCTCCAGCACCAGCACCAGCATAACCAGTGAGAACCCCACATCCCCCACTGAAGGAGGACCCTCAACTTCGATCACAGCTCACCCAGGTGGTCACGTGGTTCTTCCAAGAGTTTCGCTCTTAGATGTGATACGGTGTAGTGGAGCAAAACTAAAGGATTCAAGGATGCAATGCCACAAAATAAAAACACGTCAGGCTTTGGGATGGACCACTCCAGTTAGAGCAAAGTGGAGCAGTAGCTCATGCAGCAGTATGGGTCTTGCTGTTAAATTCAAGGGCCGCCATTTTGAACTGATAAAAACCATTTTGACATAAAAGCCATAAACCAACCACAGAGCATTGCTTTGTCATGTAGGGATAGCAGAAGGAACACAATCACACTTCCCAGGGCGACAGTGGTTCCAGCCCCCTAACCAGAGGGTTGTGAGTTTATGTCTCTCTCAGTCTTTGTGTCCATGGGCAAGATACTAAACCAGGGCTCTTCAACTCCGGGACTGGAGGGCCGGTATCCAGCAGGTTTTAAGTCTAAGTTATACTTCTCCATCTGCGTCGGGACAGATACACGCAACGCCATTATCCGTCCTTTGAAGGGCTCTCAGACAGGCTGGCAAGGACAGACGGAGTTGAGCTCTCTTTTTTAAACATCCGTCCATCCAGACGGAGAGAGCAAGCTTGTGATTGGTCAGGACGCTGCTGTCGTCTACAGCGCTGCCATTGCACCCTCAAAAACAAAGATAGCCGAGGATATCTAGCGGCAGACACGGAGAAGCTTGAAGCATACCTTGCGGAAAAACTATCAATATGAACGCTTTATTTTGCGGTGACTGAAGGAGTGAAAAGATACGCAGCAAGTGTTTCAGTCGTGGATGGAAATGACGGATATACGTGGGTTTAGAGGTGGCGAGCGCATGAAGAGGTGGAGGAGGATGAGTGACAAATTTGTCTGTTAAAACGTGTCTTAAATACAAAAAAAAACACAATATAAATGGATACGTGACAGGATACCACAGAACAGCGCCACGCCCTCTGCTGTCCTGGCGGGGAACTGCTGTGTGACGCTCCCCAGGAGATGGAGAAGTCTGAGGGCAAATTGTCTCTGTCAATGCATGCCTCTTCTGTGTGGAGCTGACGGAGATGTGTAAATTAGGCTTTAGTTTTAACCCTGCTTTAACACACCAGCAGGTGATTAACAGGCTTCTGCAGAGCCTGATGATATATATATATATATATATATGTATATATATATATATATATATATATATATATATATATATATATATATATATATATATATATATATATATATATATATATATATATACACCGGTAAATATATATGTACATACATATATACCAGTAAATATATATATATGTATATATATATATATATATATATATATATATATATACATACACTGGTAAATATATATGTACATACATATATACCAGTAAATATATATATATATATATATATATATATATATATATATATATATATATATATATATATATATATATATATATATATATAAACTCTCCTAACAAAAGAGACTTAGCCAAACTCACATATCAGGATAGCATAAAATAACTTGGAAGCAGTTACAGGCGTGTAAGACATGTAAATAATCACTGTTTCTAAATATTGAAAAGAAGTAACTGACCGTTTGTCAACAGGTAGATGGTTCCAATCCAGCGGTGCTTTAACACTAAAAGTACATCTTCCCACTTCTTTCTTTAACTTTGGTACAACAAAAGACATTTGTTCGTTAAACCTAGTATTGTAATGACAGGTAGAATGCACCATGTACCTTTTTTAAGACAACTGGGAATCAAAGAATATATGTTATACAAAAAATAAACATTAACCAATGGCAAGCTTTCCTACATGCTACAGTGGTGTGTTGGGAAAGGACAGCACAAAATAAAACAACAGATACGGTTATAAACAACATCAAGAGGACGAAGGCAGGACATGGTAGTATTTTGGTAGAATCTGCATAATCTAAGATTGGGAATAAAAGTTGTTTAGCGATACGATTCCTCATTTTAAAATCAAACCAATCAATTGATTGATAAAGAATTTTTAGTTGATAATTCACCTTATTAGTAATTGATTGGATACAAGTTTTAAAGGATAGATCAGACTCAAGCCAGACACCTCGGTATTTCACTTTATCAACACATTTCACTCAGGAAGAGTCTAAAAAAATAAGTTTAGAGATTCAGTAGAAGCTGAAATAGATGTTTGTCTCCAAAAAAGTATTGAGTGTGATTTCGTTTTATTTAGAATATGTCTATTGTAAACCAGCCAATGTTGTATGGTGTCAAAATTACATTGAAGGCAATCAAGAATATCAGGTACAGAGGGCTTAGAACAATATAAAATAGTATCATCATGTGAGCAGAATACGTAGAAGAGTACAAGGAGAGATCATTAATAAAAATAGCAAAGGCCCGAGAGAAGAGCCTTGAGGCACACCCCTGGAGATTCCATGTAGAGAATCCTTTAAATGAAACAAACGGTCAGCGGTGATGAAAGAATGAATTAAACCAGAGTAAAGCTGTTCTAGACAGTCCAATCACATTAAACTTATCCAAAGGCAAGTAGTGATGGAGTAAATCCAAAGCTTTAGTGAAATCCACAAAAATGGCACCAGACAGGGAACTCTGATCAAAGCCTAAAAATATCTCATTGACAAGTTTGGTTAAGGCAGTAGTAGTCGAGAAGTTTTTTCTGAACCCAGATTGAACCTGAGGAGAGTACCTTATTAGTGTCAAGGTAGCTATAGTTGGTTCAAAAGTAGTTTTTTGACTTTAATTAATGAGATGGGCCGATAACTATTACATTCACAAGCATCACCACCTTCATCAATCCCATCCGGACCATGGGCACAAGATGATGAGAGTGAGCGTATTGTCTTAGTAACCTTGGAAGGTTACTAAGGCAATACGCTCATGAGAAAGATAAACTACCTGAGAAGATCCGTGGTAAGAAACCAGCTCCAGACCGGAAAGATGTTGAAACAAGCTGCTGTGTTTTAGCTAAGTGAATGAACAAGCTGAAACTGACTTGCCTGTTTGAAATCACATGAGGAAACACAAAACATGCATCTAAACCTTTCTTCAGTATGGCTAAACACATTTTCCTGTCGCCTTTGATTGGATGAAATAATTTCTCTGGAGATTACCAGGTGGCCGCTATACTAAGTAAGGCCCCGTCACAAAATCCTACAAATTGTAGAGTCGTTTATGGCTGACCACCAGACAGATTCAGACTCTTTATTCTTCTCTGATGTACTGACTTTTGCTCTTCCAGTGGTCCCATCAGGTGGATTTGGAGTGGTGGACATGGCAGCACTCGGAGCAACCCTGGGTGTTCTTTTGTTTGTCTCTCTGGTGGTCATCGGGGTGCTTATTTATTGCATTCAGAAAGGGAAAAAGGACTGGAAGAAGATCCAAGAAGCGGCCATGTTTCAAAACTCTGTAAGTTAAAGTGTGGTGAGTCTTCAGAGTGAGGGCTCTGCTGTTCTATGTAGGCCTCTGCTCTGGGCTGTTGTTTTGGTCATGGTGAAAAGGCAGGTTTAGTTTTTACACACAGAGAATTATTGAGCACAAACCTACCATTAGGCTTACTTTAAAGGTAAAATTCATCGTTTTTATAGGAATCATAGGAGGTTCATCAAGAAATAACTCATCATATGATCATATTTACTGTCAAACAACCCAGTGATGGCTGCTCATACTGAGCCAGAAGGCTCTGGAGGTTACTTCCTGTTAATAGGGAGTTTTACTCTCCACTGTCACTACATTAGGTGCAGCAGTAGCTGTGGAGGTAGGGCGGGTTTTCCAGTAATTGAAAGGTTGAAGGTTCGACCCTGGCTCCCACCAGATTGTGTTCTTGGGAAAGCCATTCAACCGGCCTTGCCTGCTGGTGGTGGTTGGAAGGACCGGTGGCGCCAGTGTTCAGCAGTCTTGCTTCTGTCGGTGCGCCCCAGAGCAGCCGTGGCTACAATGTAGCTCATCCACATCAGCATGCGAATGTGTGGATGGGGGATTGTAGAACCCTAAAAAGGTGCTAAATCCAGGCCATTTAAAGTTAAGGTTCTATTTAACCTCATTTATACTTTGTCTGCGTTGAGACAGAGACACGCAACAGAGTGTTGGTGCAAGAGCCGTCCAATGTGCTCACAGAAGCTGTTGCCCCAAACTTCAACTGTCCGTCAAAAGAGAAGGAGAACACAAGTTTGTGATTGGTCAGGATACCATCCATCCATTTTCATTAGGGTCGGGCGGGGCGGGGGGGGGGGGGGGGGGGGTGCCTATCTCCAACGGTCGACGGGCAATCAGGTGGGGTACACCCTGGACAGCGAACCAGTCCATCGCAGGGCAACACAGAGACACACAGGACAAGCAATCACACACACACACTCACACACACACACACACACACACACACACACACACACACACACACACACACACACACACACCTAAGGGCAATTTAGACAGACCAATTAACCTAGCAGTCATGTTTTTGGACTGTGGGAGGAAGCCGGAAGACCCGGAGAGAACCCACGCATGCACAGGAAGAACACGCAAACTCCATGCGGAAAGATCCCAGGCCGGGAAGAGAACCCAGGACCTTCTTACTGCAAGGCAACAGCTCTAACCACTGCACCACTGCACAGCTACTGGTCAGGATAGTGTTTCCTGTAAATTTGACACAATGGTAAATGGTAAGTGGCCTGTATCTGATATAGCGCCTTCTAGAGTCCTGGAACCCCCCAAGGTGCTTTACAACACAATCTGTCATTCACCCATTCACACACACATTCACACACTGGTGGTGATGAGCTACGATGTAGCCACAGCTGCCATGGGGCGCACTGACAGAGGCGAGGCTGCCGAGCACTGGCGCCACCGGTCCCTCCGACCACCACCAGCAGGCAACGTGGGTTAAGTGTCTTGCCCAAGGACACAACGACAGCGACAGACTGAGCGGGGCTCAAACCTGCAACCTTCCAATTACGGGGCGAGCACTTAACTCCTGTGCCACCATCACCCCAATTGACATTTGTAAATACACTATTGTGGACCGAATATGTGACTAATGGTGGCAGGATACCTCAGAGTAGCACTGCACCCTCTGTTGTCCTGGAGGGGAATTGTTTTGCAACAACTCTGTCAATGCATGTGTGTCTCACCCTCGCAAAGCTCACGAAGAAGTATGAAGTAGGATTTATTCATCACACACTGGTGAAATTATTTTCTGCAGTTGACCCATCCCTGTGGGAGCTGCAGCTGTGGCTGCACTCGCGAATCATTTGGTGGTTTAATCGCTGACGATAACCAGTGACTCGATGCAATCTGCGGGTTCCTTATTTAGAACACTTTTAACTAATTATCACAAAGAACTGAACTCAGTTGTTTACTTTGTGAAGAACCTTGAGACGACTCTTGTGGTGATTTGGTGCGGTATGAATAAACCTAACTGATTTGTAAAAGAGGTGATGCGTGGTGGCGCAGCTGTTAGCACTGGTGCTCGCAGCAAGAAAGTTGCAGGTTTGAAACTCAGCTGTGGCCTTTCTGTGTGGAGTTGCATGTTCTCCCCATGTACTCGTGGGTTTCCACCGGGTACCCCGGTTTCTGCCACAGATCCCAACACATTCTATAGGTTAACAATTGTACGTCACTTTGGATAAAAACGTCTGCTAAATAAATAAACGCAAACATATAGGTGCTGAAACCTACCGAAGCACTGGGCTCTGTAGAAAGTCATACAAATAAAAGCCTTTGGAGAGGTCTACTGTCAGACGAATGGATGCTTTGAATTTTGTCAAACCCCTTTTCCAGTAAGAAGTTGTAAAACGACACTTGTTTGTTCATTTCTACTTTCTTTTCTTCAAAAAGCTAAGCCAAGGCCCAGAAGGTAAGAAGGATGGAATGCAGTACACCAATGAGGCCTTCCAGGGGGATGTTGATGGAAGCAGCATGGGCTCAGATGGTCCATATTGGGGCATCAAGACAGCTCAAGGAGACCAACCAACAGAGTGGAGCATCCCTTCCAACGAGATGAACCAGAGGTCTTCTGCTGTTCCACTCGCCATGCTTCCAGACAACACCAGTGACACTGGCTTAGATAAGTCTGATGATGAAAAAGAGGTGAGGCCCATTCTGACCAAAGAACGACGGGTTGAGGAGGGATACAAGTCAGTCTGGTTTAAGGAGGACATTGATCCTAATGCCAAGGAAGAGGTGGTCATTATCCCAGACAGCAGAGAGGATGAAAGTGAGGAGGAAGATGACAAACCATCATCTAGTGGCAAAAACACACCTGACGAAAAGAATTCACAAATAAAAGCATCCAGGGTCGCCTTTGCTGACTCGGACCTAGATAGTGGTCTCGGGGTGAGGATGGATGAACCAGCAGACGACTCAGATAGTGACCATGCTCTGAACATTTCTCTTTGAGAACCGCCAAGAGAAAGCCATAACAGGAACCACACTCGACACACCAGCAGTCAGAGCCACAAGGCTTAAAGTTTAACGGTATAAATATCAGTTTGACAAGTTAGATCACAGGAACTTTAATCCCCTTTCTGCTTTCTTATGTTTGCAAATATGTCACCTATAGACAAAAATCTAATTAAAATCATCAGCTCAGGTTTAGTGCAAGATAAAAAAAACACGTAAAGGAAAAGTTACTGTCATTTAGATTCTGCATAAAATACCAACAAAAAGAGTCTGCTTCTGAAAAGAGGAAAAGCTGAAGGATCATCATTATTATTGCTGGTTTATCGTTTAATTAAAACCTCGAGTTTGTTTCTCAGTGCTGAGAGATGAGACGGTCAAATACAGACAACAGGAAAACCGTTGCTGCTGGTGATAAAACTGGTGAATATGTTTTAGTAAAACTAACTAATCTGTTGATCTGAAATCATTTAACCTGGATTACAGCAGTAAACTCTTTGTTTATATGTTTCATGGGTTGCCTTAAAATTTTACCTCCTTTAATAAAAACATCCTTAAATTTGTGTTTATGGTGTTTTTTACTGAGTTCTTTAGTTAAGGGATTAAAGAAGTAAACTTAATGGTTTCCACACATATAGAAACATTCTTAAATAATCAAAACCATCAGTTATGATGTGATGAGAATCTGATGGTTTATAAAATACGTAAACACTCAAAACTTTCAGATATCAGTTGTTTTCAGTTTAACGTCAGCTATTCCCAATTCATTATTTTCCTAGAAACCAGTTTACAAATGGTCTAAAACATAGATTCCCTAAGTGTGGTGCGCGCACCCCTTGGGGTGCGAGAGCTGCCGCTAGGGGGTGCGCGAAGTGAAAAGTGTAATGGCTGCGGAGCTCAGAGAAGTCTGTCATATGTCACCATTAGCGTAGCCAGAAACTCATTTGTGGGTGGGCCAAAGAAAAAGTGGGCACAATAAATGCAATTGAAAACAAGCATATTTTGCATGTGTGTGTGTGTGTGTGTCCTCCGCATGTTCCCTAGCTTCATAATAATGCGCGCCGAGCTTCAGCACTCTGGCCTGCGCAAGCTGTTAATAGCAAGATATGTTCCGTATTTGATCATTTTTAACAGTGTTGGAGGAATCAGAAGGAGGCGAGCCATTCTGGCAGATTGTAATTAACACCCTGTCTCATGCAGGTGTTCTGACATTGTAAACCTCACACACAGAACATTGTGGATGTTACAAAATAAATCAAGAAAGAATTCCCATCTGAGCATTTTAGCATTATTATATTAGCACACTGACTGTGGGACAGCATTCTAAACGTGTCAGGCTATTAACAGCGCGCTGAAGATCTGAAGTTCAGAGTGCGTCTGTCAGAGGTCAGACGCGTTCCGGCGGAACCACGGCTCACGGGTGCACATGTGAGCATATCTGGGCTGGGCAGAAGCAATTGTACAACATTGGTTTGAATAGCACCAGTAACGAGACGTGGTGACTGGAGCGGCTCATGGAGCTGTGCCGCACACACACACACACACACATACACTGATTCAACAAGCGCACGTTGCGCAAACTCCGGCATTGCGCTGCACCGTCAGACTGAAGGCAGAAATGAGTGCTGCCTCCTCCGTGATAAAAAAACTTTTAAGAGGTTTTATAAAATTTTTCATTCAAGGTCATATTAAGATATTAGCTTCTATTTTGGGATGACGTATTAAAGTCGGGTCCGCTCCAGCCAGTGACTCCTCATGAACCTGACCACAACTCATGTTACTGCAGCACTTGTTATTCCAGTCCGCGTGGCAGCGGATCGCAGATTCAGCCACACCATAAAACAGCAATAAGTCGGTCTGAGGCAAAAGTGAACCTCATGGATAGCTTACCATCTTCTCCCCTATTGACATTTGATTACGCACAAGTAGGTGACCAGCTCAGGTTTACGCAGAGCAGAAGGAAGGAGAGCGCTCTGGCTGCACAGGTTAAACGTTCCTGCTTTAAGAAAACCTTTAAATTGCATTGCTTATGTGCTACCTGGGCACTCTAAATATTTATTTAAAATTAAATAAAAGGAAATTGTAAAGGTATCGAATGTTTATTAATTACTATTTAAAAAATAAAAGTGATGGGGAAAAAGGTCGATCACATTTTTTTAACCCTGTTTGTTTAGCTTGACGTCTGATGCCCTGATGTTGGGGCTGGGGGGTGCGTCGACATGGTCGGGACATAGAAGGGGGTGCGTGGCTAAATAAGTTTGGGAACTGCTGGTCTAAAAATTTCTGTATTTTGTGAAAAATATTTATTATTATAAGTCAGTGCCCAAAACGTCTTATGCAGCTTCATTAGAAACAGCTTGCTTTGTGGGGAGTAGGATTTTGGTCCATTTCCTGGATGTTCCCTGGATTATGGGGACCAAACACCTAGTCTCTATATTCTGAGGGGTCCCTAGGCAGCAGTGAAGTGTGCTGTAGGAGGGACAAGGTGGTGATGGGAGGTTAGTTGCAGCAAGACAGAAAACGTGAAGGGTACAAGTGGAACGGAGATGTTACAGGAAGTAGAAGTAAAGAAAGGGCTTTAAGTACTTTGGGTCTACGGTCCAGGGAGGTTGGAAAAAGAAGCGTGTGAAACAGGTTTGAATGGGAGAGAAAAGTGTCAGCTGTGATAAAAGGGTTTCAGCAAGAATGAAAGGAAAGCTGTAGAAGACAGTAGTGAGAGCAGCCATGTTGTCTGCTTTAGAGACCGTGTCCACGAGGAGAAGACTGAAGGCAGGCCACCAGGAAACTGGAGGTTGCAGAGCTTGAAATGTTGATGCTTATTTTGGGAGTGAAGGAGGATAAGATCAGGAATAAGTTAATCAGAGGGAGGGACGTCTCGAAGGCGAAAGAGAAAAAAGATTTTCTGAGTGCTCCCCAAGATGTTACTGAACTGGGTTTTGTTTTTATTAGTGATAAATACCAGCGCGCGCGCACACACACACACACACACACACACACACACACACACACACACACACACACACACACACACACACACACACACACACACACACACACACACACACACACACACACACACACACACACACACACACACACACACACACACACACACATGGAATCACACTGTAAGTGAAGGATATTTGATTTTACTTGAATACAAAATTGACATCAAATTTTACAGCAGACATAAAAACATGACACCTGTTTTAATGACACTTTTATAAAACACTTTTTGTTTAGAGAAAAAAAAGCAGTGAGAAAAGTTCAGTGTCCAGATCTAACATTTAACCTGGCACATTAACAAATTCCAATAAACTGGAAATTTGGGGTGGAGCAACCAGGCATCTTGGCATCAAAAGTAACGATCAGTAACAACTTGGCTTTATTTACGCTGAGCAAAAATAGAAACACTTTTTTGTTTGCTCCCATTTTTCATGAGCAGAACTCAAACATCTGACAATGTGTCCACATACACAAAACACCCATGACTCAAATATTGATCTGAAATCTGTCTACATGTGTGTTAGTGAGCACTTTTCCTTTACCAAGATAATCCATCGCACCTCACAGGTGTGGCATGTCAAGGGGCTGATTAGACAGCATGAATAATGTACAGGTGTGCCTTAAACTGCCCACAATAAAAGGACACCCCGATGTGTGCGCAGTTGTGCTTTATGGGGGGTGGTGGGGCAGAAAACCAGTCAGTATCTGGTGTGGCCACCATTTGTCTCACACAGGGTAACACATCTCCATCCCATTGAGTGTATCAGGTTGTTGATTGTGGAACGTTGGTCCACTCCTCTTCAATAGCTGTGAGAAGTTGCTGAATGTTGGCAGGAACTGGAACACAATGTCGTATACGCCGATCCAGAGCACCCCAAACATGCTCAATGGGTGACATGTCTGGTGAGGATGCTGGCCATGCAAGAACAGGGATGTTTTCAGCTTCCAGGAATTGTGAACAGATCCTTACAATATGGGGCCATGCGTTATCATGCTGCAACATGAGGTGATGGTCGTGGATGAATGGCACAACAATGGGCCTCAGGATCTTGTCACGGTACCTCTGTGCATCAAAATACCATCAAGAAAATGCACCTGTGCTCGTTGTCCATAACATATGCCTGCCCATACCATTACCGCACCACCACCATGGGCCACTCGTTCCACAACACTGACATCAGCGAACCGCTCATCCACACAACACCACACACACAGTCTGTCATCTGCCCTAAATAGTGAAAACCGGGACTCCTCTGTGGACAGAAGGCCTCCCCAATGTGCCAAATGCCATAGAATGTGAGCGTCTGCCCACTCAAGTCGGTTACGATGACGGTCTGCAGTCAGGTCCAGACCCCGGTGAGGACAATGAGTAGGGGAGTAACGGTACTCAAAAATGGTATTTGGTTCGGTTCAGTGTTTTGAAGAGCTCCGTTCCATTTTTTCCCAGGTTATTTGCGCCGCTATGAGAGACACGCTCATACAGAAAAGTGTTATGTTTGACTGTTGATGCTCCATATTTTTATTTCTGTAGCTAGCCTTAAAAAGTCAGCTTCCTCTGCGCCGTATTTTTTGTTGTTGGATGAACACTTTACATCAATTGTCTCAGGGGAAAGTTCAGCAGACGTGTTTGTTTCCATATATGCCGCTGCGTGTCTGCATTGTGAGGGAAGGGGAGAGGGGCGAAGCGATGCCCCATTCAGCGTCTCTACGGGCTCCAGTAGCAGCGACAGCCAGCTAGTTTGATCCGCTCTGAAAGGCGTTGATCAGAATTTGCAGATCACGTTTTTAAACGGAGATCGGGCGCGTGCAGCCATCATGCGTCACTCAATACAGCGTCCGTGCGGAAACTTGCCTAGGAACTTTTATCTGCTGCTCTTAAATCACGCAAATAAAAGTTCATTATTTAAAGGAAAAAATAAACCAAAACGGTACACAAGTGGACCGAACCAAAACGGTTCAACACTCCCCTGTGAACCGTTACACCCCTAACAACAAGCATGCAGATGAGCTTCCTAGAGACGGTTTCTGACAGTTTGTGCAGACATTCTCTGGTTATGCAAACTGATTGTTGCTGCTGCTGTCCAGGTGGCTGGTTTCAGGTGATCCTGGAGGTAAACATGCTGGATGTGAGGGTCCTGGGCTGGTGTGGTCAAGTGTGGTCTGCGGTTGCGAAATGCTGTTGCTTATGGTTGCGAATTAATTTCACGGGCAACATCTCTGGTAGACATTCCTGCAGTCACCATGTCAACTGCACGTTTCCTGAAAGGTGGCGATATCTGTGGCATTGTGCTCTTTGATCAAACTGCACATTTCAGGGTGTCCTTTTATTGTGGGCAGTCTAAGACACACCTGTACATTATTCATGCTGTCTAATCAGCCTCTTGATATGCCACATCTGTGAGGTGGGATGGATTATCTTGGTAAAGGAAAAGTGCTCACGTAGACAGATTTCAGAACAACATTTGAGAGTCATGGGTGTTTTGTGGATGTAGACGAATTTTCAGATATTTGAGTTTAGCCCAAACACAAAAGTGTTGTGTTTCTATTTTTGTTCATTGTATTAACCTACAATCAAGCAAACAAGAATGGCCATAAAGGAATGCTTAAGACTCAAAGATAAAGAATTACTGAAGTTACAAAAATCACACTTGCATCTTCAGAATCTCTTCAGCTTTCACTTTCCTTTTAAACCAGCTGTTACAAAGCTAAAGCTAAACTTAGTGGCAATACACAAAGAACTACAGGACACGTCACATGAACTCGTTTAGGAGAATTTCTACTATTATATTTGACAAAATTGTATTTAAAGAACAAATATGCAAACAAAAAAACCTGACAACACAACTGCTTTAAGTTTATTAATATATGGCAGTAAAAACTAAATAAACTTACTTTTAAAACTGTAATCCTTTTTAGTCTGCCGTTTTAAGAAGAACAAAAATCTCCCGTTGAGCCCGTAATGAATCCTTGGATATTCTTTGCCAATGAAACACCGGGCTGGTTAAAACGAGCAAATGTGAAAACGCATTTTGAATATCCTTTGAATTTGGACAGCCTGGTCGCTTCGCTGTGATGTCATCAGCCTTAAAACGCGTACTCGGAAAGACGAAGCCCCTGGATTTGGACACAGCCACCATTAAAGCTACTGGTTGTAGCAACAATAAGCTAGGTTTAATGGACACATAGAGATGCATACAATCAAGCTAATTGAGCCAGACTGGCTAAATGATCAGGATGATCATGAAGGTTATGTTTGATGAAGGGAAAACTCCAATAACATACTAAATTAAACCATTTCAGATTAAGTACGTTACTTATGATAGGGTAGAATTATTTTAAAACATAATCTCTTAAAGTAGCATTTGTACTATTTTAGTTGTATGATTATTTCATTTCATTTGAAGAGATGATAAAAGTAAAGCTAAACTAATACAAAAGCACTAGTAGCCTCTGAATGTTTTTCCACAATCAAAAGCAAAATCTTATATAGGAGTACATATCCCTCCCGGCAGTACACGTACAACTATGTTTTAGGTTGGAGGAAAACCCAATTAAATCTATTAACATTTATCATTTACAAAATGCTAGTATTGGCTAACTGTAAGGTTTAGTTACAATACAACACAGAAGTGTGTAACTAGCAGTGTTGGGCAAGTTACTTCAAAACTGTAATGCATTATTTATTACTTGTTACCCTCATTTTAAAGTAATTCATTACATTACAATATTACTGATTTTAAAATGTAAGACATTACACTACTTTTGCATTACTTTAAGTTACTTTCACCAAAACAACTTCAACATGTATCTGGTAATGTGACGCTCAGTGAGCTCATGACATACAGTATGTGGAAAGCCTATAAGCTTATGAGTTTGTGTAGAAAATGATGCAATCTTAATGAACTTGTGTGAGTAAGCTTTATAAATGCCTCAGGACATTACAAACAATCTTTTTTAAGTCAGGTTCTCAAATTGTTCCACTCTTCCCAGGTGTACGAAAACAATTCCACCTTAAAAGCATACCGAAAAACTGAGTGAGAATTATGCAGCAGCCAAGAGTTTCACTGCAAAACTCGTCCAGTCCATGTTTGTTTGTTGGTCAAAGCATAATTTTCTCTGAGTGTGAGACTTTTGGATTAATGGCAGCAAGCAGCTCCACTCATCGATCCTTTAATAGGTAAATAAACACATTACAAACTAATCAAAATGTTCATACAAATGTTTCTGTGCAAACAGATGTCTTTAAACATCAAGACTTTAAAAACTAGAAATTTGCATTTAATAATACAAAAGCAGTAGAGAAAGGCAACAGATCCTAGATGAAGATAGCAACCTGCTTAGACCATCTGCCATGCAGCAGCATTAGCCCGTTGCTCAACCGCCACACTGAAGCTTCAGCCAGACCTTTACCGGAAGGAGAGAATCTGAAACCAACGTCCGAGGGGAGTAACTGCTTCTGTTTAGCATCTTAGGGGAGAAGTTTGTGTTTTTGTGAATGGAAGTGTGTAGGAGCCAGTGAAGCGGAGGTGCCTGGTGGCGTTACCGAGCTTTAAGGCACGTCCACGTCATCGTCTAACTAAAGACCACGTGCATCTACCACACCGGTCAGTGACGAAACATCAGCCGTGTGTGTGTGTGTGTGTGTGTGTGTGTGTGTGTGTGTGTGTGTGTGTGTGTGTGTGTGTGTGTGTGTGTGTGTGTGTGTGTGTGTGTGTGTGTGTGTGTGTGTGTGTGTGTGTGTGTGTGTGTGTGTGTGTGTGTGTGTGTGTGTGTGTGTGTGTGTGTGTGTGTGTGTGTGACATACAGCAGTTTTTAAAGAAATGCTAACCTAACAGACAAAATCCACAAAATTATTTTCCAGTTATTCTCCATTTTTGTTGAAGATATGAACACTTTTTGTTAGTGGACTAGATTTGAAGAGGAGACGTTCTGGTGATCTCTTGCATCCTATTGGCTGCCTGGATTTAAACTATAAAATACTGACGTCTGAAGAAGCGTTTGGTTAAGATTTTCAAACACGCCTAAAAGTTCTTCTTGGGGATTGTTTGTCAGGACGGGTCCTGCACCAGACAACAACTTTTGAAGAAACGGTTTAAAAACAACCAAAGTTTAAAAAGAGCTTGAATTAGATGATTCAAACCCAACCAACGATGTCGCTGATTTGATTCATTCACACTGAAACTATGAGAGCAGACCAGCAGCTCAACCTGTAGACAGCAGCTGACTGAAGGAACCACAGAAACTAGAAAAGTTTGTGTTAAGGCTGCGATCATGTGAAGGCATACGGGGCTGGATTAGAAACCACCTACAGCACACGGCCCCCACACACACACTCAGGGGCATGGAGGTGGTTTCCAACATGGCCTACGTCTCTGGGTTGGTGCTTTTAGCTTTATCCACAACCTTTGTGTACTGAGAGAAGATTGCGTCAAAAGCTTCGTCTCTGTGGATCATGGCTCCAAAAATCATCGGCTGCAAAAGAACAGAGAGTCAGCTTCGATTTCAGTCGGTTTACTTCATGCAAACATCCGTCAGAGGAGTAAACGTTCCACCGGTGTGTGATGACTAATGGGCCTTTAACTATAGACATAGAATTACCATGGAAACGGTCTTAACGGTGATATATTTACCACACACATTAAACTCAGCCTCACTGGGCTATGGCTGTTAGCGGCAAAGGGACAATCTACAGTATCTCAAACATTTGCTGTTCGCTGGATTCAGTGTCTTTGTAACGGAGTTGCTGCGGCATCTCACCTCAAACTCTTCTGGGTTTCATCTCCAACCAATCAAACAACAGTAACTGCCTAGAGATTCTGGCCCTGGAACACTGCTCCAGCTAACATTCCCTCTGCAACAGTTGTCCTCACATAAGCTACGTTTCGAAGGAGGAAACAGATTCTTTTAAATGCTTTCTGCTGTTCTTGGTGCATTTATTTGGGCACAAGGTACAGAGACTTTTACATGAAACCCCTTTTTTTATATTAAACTAATTTCCCACAATTTAGAGCCTCAAACCAGTGGCAGCCCAGTGATACGCTGAATGCATTTGCACTGTAGATTGTCCCTTCACCTCCCCCCTCCTGGACCCTCTGCAGTTCGCATACAGAGCCAACAGGTCTGTAGACGACGCCATCAACCTGGCTCTCCACTTCATCCTGCAGCACCTGGACTCCTCGGGAATCTACGCTAGGATCCTGTTTGTGGACTTCAGCTCTGCGTTCAACACCATCCTCCCTGCTCTGCTCCAGGACAAGCTCTCCATGCTCAACATACCCAACTCCACCTGCAGGTGGATCACTGACTTCCTGACGGACCGAAGGCAGTGCGTGCGGCTGGGGAAGAATGTTTCCACCACTAAGACTATTAGCACAGGATCTCCACAGGGCTGTGTACTTTCTCCTCTGCTCTTCTCCCTGTACACAAACTGCTGCACCTCCAGCCATGACTCCGTTACACTGATCAAGTTTGCGGACGACACCACCCTCATCGGGCTCATCTCTGACGGTGATGAGTCCGCCTACAGGAGGGAGGTGGAACGGCTGGTGTACTGGTGCAGCAGCAACAACCTGGAGCTCAATGCTCAGAAGACAGTGGAGATGATTGTGGACTTCAGGAAAGTCACAGCCCCATCTCTCCCCCTCGTCCTGACGGACACCCCCGTCACCACTGTGGTCTCCTTCCGATTCCTCAGAACCACCATCACACATGACCTTAGGTGGGAGCCATCCATCAGCTCCCTGAGACCCAGCAGAGGATGTACTTTCTGCGGCAGTTGAAAAAGGCCAAGCTGCCGGCCCAGATGATGGTGCAGTTTTACACGGCCATCATTGAGTCCATCCTCACCTCCTCCATCGCTGTGTGGTATGCTGGAGCCACGGTGAGGGACAAACAGACTCCAGCGCATTGTGCGCTCTGCTGAGAAGGTGATAGGCTGCAGCCTTCCATCTCTCCAGGACCTGTATGTCTCCAGAACTCGGGGGCGTGCAGGTCGGATAGCAGCTGACCCTTCTCACCCGGGACACAGACTTTTTGAGCTGCTCCCCTCAGGCAGGAGGTTACGGTCCATCCGGACCAGAACCTCCTGCCATAAGAACAGCTTCTTTCCATCTGCCGTTAGACTTGTGAATAGCTTATAAACACACAACCATGCTGGTCTTCTGTACTCGACACATCGTCACGTTATCGGCCATGTTACCATTACCTGCCATTTTTATAGCTGAAGGTTTTATTCTATTTTTATTCTTATTGTGTGTTCATGTTATATGTAGCACATTAGTACCAAAGCAAGTTCCTAGTTTGTGAATCGTTTGTTCACTGACAATGGCAATAAACCTTTTCTGATTCTGATTCTGATTTCACTAACACACAGTAGCAAAGTGACGCTAGGTACATGTGATTTGGTCGTTGAACGCCACACTGGGATCTTACCTTCAGGGTGTACGGCGTTGCTACAGAGATACCCATCCCTGACCCAGGCAGCACGGACAAAACTTTGTACTGTAGTGGACGGAAGAAGAAACGCCATTAGAATGAGTCTGCATCAGCTTCTGATGCAGGTCTGCTACGTAAATACGCTTATTGGGGTGATAAACCTAAAGTTTATACCTTAGCTATCAAACTAAATGCTTTACTGAAAACATTTACATAGAATCAACAGAAGCTGCTGAGTGCTCAGACCAAAGAGAGACGGGAAGTCAGCTGTGGAATAAAGCCCTGGTCAAAGAGGTCAGATGTATTGTTGGTTTGTTCAGAAGAGAAGATCCACCTGGACAAAAACAAACGGGTGACGACCAACACCGACCTTCTGGATTTCAGTGATGTCAATCAACTTGATGACTTTGTTTCTTTTTGAGGATCCGGACCTGGAGCTGGAGCTCTCAAAACACAGGTGGCTGAGAATAAAAGACATTTTTATAAGCATTAGCGGAAATCCACATTTTATATCCTCAGGTTAACTTTGTGTGGATTTACACGGAAAAGAACAATAGCATTTTCACACAAAGGTTTCTTTCACACTTAGCAGAAAAAGGGGACCAACGGACCATTTTCGAACATCTGGCCAACACTCCTACATCTTTTCCCAGGAACGTAAATTTTACCAAAAGACTTGTTTGTTTCCCTCCTTAAGCAATCGAAAAGACGGACATTATCAGGACTTGGTCTGGTCCATGTCAGCCTGCCAAGACCTGGCTCTCCCCCAAGGTTTGAATGCTCGTTAAACCTTCTCAAGGGACATTCTGGAAGATTCCAGGATCTCGCTTTTATCAAAACCCTGGAATTTTTCTGTTTATTTATAATCAAAGAAGGTGTTTAGGTTGTTTACCCTTAAAATAGAAGTCAAGGTGCTCTAAGTTAAAATCGTATCAGCCACAGACCTAAACTGTTTGTTTTGTGTTTTCTTTCATGTTAAACTTCTGCCATTGTGTTTCACCAGATCAAAACCATGCTAAAAGTGATACAGTCAAGCTTAAGACCTGAAGTTAATTCTTTCCCATTTAAAGTAATACTTTGATGCTAAAGTAAGACTTTTTGAGGCTTTATATAAATAACCGTGTTAAATTGGGAGCATGAATTTCCCTTGGTTGTAAGACAGGGCTATGTGAAAGAGCCACATTGCCATCAAGTGGTTAAGGAATGAAATACATGTGGGTGTCACCCAGAAGGTTATAAAAGCCACAGAGCAAACCTCGTGTCAGCAGACTAAGGGCCAAAGATGCCTTAAGCAAATCTCTGCTTGGCTTTTCCATCTTAGCCTAGCAAAGCGTCACTCTTAAAAGTTACAGTAAAAACTTAGGTGTTTGGAGCCTCTGACCACCCTCCCGGCGACGGAAAGCAGGTCTGTGAAACATCTCATCTGGCTGACTTTTGTGCTAAGCTCGATTAGTGAACTCAGATTAGTCCATTTCTTTTATGGCTTGTTTATTTTGATCCCGCATTCATGTTTAGCTCTCAAGATTTATCTTCTTTCTCTGCCGCACACAAATCCTTATTCACACTAGGAGTTGTATGAACTAGTCGACTAGTCGACTTCACTGCTCTGTAGTGATTTTTTATGCCTTTCAGAGACTAGTCGCTGTCACATGATAATGAGCGACAAGATGCAGTCCTCGGAAAAGACAGCAGGTGACGAGCCCCTGCGCATTGGGAGGCAACGTGCTGTGCCAGAGTGCCGGTACTGACGCCCGCTGTGAAACGGACATTTAATCAAATTGTGACCTTTACCCTCTTGCAATTTAACCTTCCCCTCACCCCCATCCTAACCTTAACCAGCGTGCGCATGCAAAGCTCTGATTGTTGACGCACTCCAGACATCTGCGTCGTGAGCACGGTCACAGTAACATCAAATTAGTTGTCGCCACCTCAAAAACGAATTTAACACGCAATCGTTCATGTCGGCTCATTTCCTTTGATGTTTTCTGTCTTTTATTTGTGCCTGATGCGTTTCGCTGCTGTGGAGCGGGGTGCGTCACCTGTTTTGTCCTCCAATAATTTCACCTCACTGATGTAGTCGGTGAGCAGCGCGCACTCCACTGTTTTTGCGGTCGGTAGATATTTTAGAACTGCAGTTCAAAGGTAACTCATAAGGTGAATATATATGAACCCAGGTAGCAGTTTCTCTTTAGGATTGAGAGGAGATGCAGGAAGATAATAAACAGGCAGGACAGAAAAATAGTCAAATAAAAACAAGTTAGTTTTTGTACCTGGTGGTTGCAACAAACAGACACCATTGAAGGTAATCAGAAGTGAGGAACAGAAAATAAAATAATTATTTTAATGTTTAGAGCAGCAGGAACTCTGAGAGGCTGCAGGCGCATCAGTGAGTTTGTGGCTGCTGCGCAGGGGGAGGGGGGAGATGGCTGAAGTGGAGCAGTATAGATGCAGAAACTACCGCTGTTAAGAGATGTGTTTAACTTTGAAAATGTGGGTGCAATTTTAATTGTCAAAAACTCCAGCGACCCCCCCCCCCCCCCCCCCCCCCCCGCTTCAGGTGTATGACGTCATCAACGACTAGTCAAAGTCGACTTGATTTTCATTACTTGACAGTCGACTTTAAAAAAATTAAGTCGTGCAACCCCTAATTCTCACACACACACACACACACACACACACACACACACACACACACACACACACACACACACACACACACACACACACACACACACACACACACACACACACACACACACACACACACACACACACACACACACACACACACACACACACACACACACACACACACACACACACACACACACACACACACACACACACACATTTATATCAAATTTTATTTCATACCACACAAAACCATCAACCCTAACCAGCTCCAGTTCAACCGCTGACCATTAGCACACCTTCCCAGAGCCTGTCTGTGATGCTTTTGCACGCTGCTGCCATACTGGCCTCCACCCCACAACCTCAGAACTTGCCAGTTACTTTTAGCCACATGACACCGTTCACAGCAGTCTTTCAACCGCCAGCTCACAAGATTTACGTTGGATCTCTCGAGAGCCCAGTCTCAACAAGGGGCTCTGTTACCAATGTCAGTTGTACTCGCCAAACTACCGATAATCTTGAGACTGGTGGTTTATTTTTAGCTGCCCGCAGGAGCCCGACGACAACCTGCTTCCCTACGCAGGGCTCTCCCACCAACCGCACCAGCAGCACACAACGCGATGACAGAACGTTGGTGAAAGAGGATGCTAGCTGCTCACTTTTCCGTGACATAAAGAACTCCATGGCGGATGTAGTCCGTTGGCGTCTTCCTGTCTCGGTTAATCAGGCAGCATCGCCAGCCGTTCTCACACACTGAAACAAAACCACAGAGATAAAAACTTCAAACTGGACTCGTTTTGTGACCAGAACATTCATCAGCTGCTTCTGTCCTCACCTGGCAGAGGGCGCTCACTCTCTGAGAGATTGAAGACCTCGTGGAAAGCTCCTCTCTTGGTGCTGTAGTATCGTCCTCCATCTTCCTCTCGGCTGACACCCAGAGGAGCAGCTGTGGAGACATTGCTCCGAGTTCCCGCAGGCTGAACCTGAACATGAGGGTGAGGGAGGTAGGAGAGTCAGAACGCAGTTCCAGCTGGTGGAGAAACCAGAATCCTAAAAAGGGCCCGTGTCAGATAGCGATGTGGCGGCACCGTGGAGTGGCTAGCCCACCGGTCTGACAGGCTGCGTTTTAACATCTGGTTGTTCATCTTCATTTTAATACATGCCTGAAAATAACTAGTTTGGGAAATCCGGGTGCAGAAGTTTAACTCTGAAAAAAGTCTTTGGATTTGTTACATCTGCACATAAAACCATCCTGACCCTTGACCTTCTAACAGCAGTTACCAGGATAAAAGACCCAACGCAGACTGTCCACCCACTTCATGCCGCAGTGTTTCAGTGGGAGTGTCTAAGGATCATCAGGGCGACGGTGGCAGAGGAAAGCCAACACCACAACCGGAGGGTTGCAGGTTCAAGCCCCGCCCAGGCACTCTCAGTTGTGTCCTTGGGCGAGACACTTTACCCTCCTTACCTGCTGGTGGCAGCTGTGTACGAAGGCCTCGCTTTAGTCAGTTGTGGCTTCATTGTAGCTCACTGCCACTAGTGTGTGAATGTGTGTGAATGACTGTTGTGTTGTAAAGCACCTTGGAGGGTTCGAAATAGTTCTAAATAAATACAGGATATTTACCTCATTTTGAAAACTGATATAAATGTTTTTGCCTTTAAAACAACACGATCACCATAAATCCCCCATGATCCATCAGCACTCGGAGCACGACTCCACCACACAAGCTGGCGGCGCCATGTATGAGATTTAATGTGGTTTAGGACATGTAGTGTAAATCAAATCCTGAGATGTGAATTTTGGCTCCATATGATCAGAAAAACAACGTCATAGTCAAAAAACTGTTTGTTTAGTCACGTTGTGTCTCTCAAACATGCTCCGATCTTGACTTTTCTTGGTGTGCCCCTCCTTTTCTTCCAGAGGCTAAAATCACACGAGTCAGGTTGGGTCAAAAGCTGGCAGAAAACTAGCACCATGTCACACACATCAAGATATGGAGTTGCTGTATATTTAGTCATCCTCTGTGGCTCGGCTATATTTTTTACATGACTTTTAGTCTTTGAGTTGAGGATGGTCCAGCGTGGACCTCCGGGCTCCCGTAGCAGCTCTTCCCTGTTTTCAGCTGTTCTTGTCTGCCTGTTCTCTTCCTCTGACCGATTATCAAGCATCTTAAGTTTCATTAGTTGGTCTCTGCGTCTTTTAAACTTCATGTTATGAAATTATTTATAATTCTTATCCCAAGTCAGACATTTTAATGTAAATTATTCATTCATGCTTTAACGTCCGCCGCCCATCTACAGCAGCCACCGGCAGTGATGTGCCCGTGTGCTGACTGGGTTTCTTTTGCCCTCGAGTCAGAGCCATTACATTTTGAGAATCTGCCGATACAGAGTCCCGATCTGATACCTTCAATACTTAAAAGAATGAAAAAAGCCAGAATGTTCCTTATTTTTAACTGAATCACTAACATTTAACAACCCTATTAACAAACAGGACACTTCTGTGAGACAGCTTGAACAAGTAATAAACAACATTAATTCTTCACTTTTAGACATTATTGCAAATATAAAAACAAATAGCACCTCAACTTAAAATATCTGACGGGGGTCTTTTTTGCCTCAGCCCCCAAAATGCCTTGATACGGCCCTGGAATGAGTTTTGAAGGGGATCTGAATTGTATCAAATACATAAATATGACATGCTGATAAATGATTGCTTTATAAAGGTAAAACATGGAGTGGGATAAATCTAACTTTTATTTCAACAACTTTGTTTTGTTTTCTTGGTTTTTATTTTCTATTTTCTGTCTCTGATCTTCCTGCATATCCTCTCAGTCCTCCAGAAAAATTGCTGCCTGCTTCCTACTTTTTCACCTCACCAGTTACTTTTTAACTGAGCAGATCAACTGGATCTACCGCGTCTGGACCACGGGTGATGAGCGCTGCAGCGACATCTTAACGCGTCAGGGCCGGCTCCAATAAAAGACAGAAATTATAGAGAGAACGTGAACGACCGTGTGTTAATTAAACATTGAAAATGTGAACAGGTCTTTTCACACACACTCATATCAACCTGACACACATGTTTTTGGTCTGTGGGAGGAAACTGAAGAAAACCCATTCATGCACGAAGAGAACATGCTAACGCCACACAGAAAGCTGCACAGGCAGGATTCAAACCAGCAACCTTCTCGCTGCAAGGCAGCAGTGTTTCCAAATGCACCCCCATACAGCCCATGCTGAATAATCATGATTTCAACATGACCAAAAGAAACATGATGTTTACTGTTGTACTGAATCAGCCTACTGCCAGACTAAGTATCAACCTTCTGGGTCATTTTACCAGACCTTCACAGCGAGCGCGCATCTAAAAGGACACCCTGAAAGAACCGCTTTTCGGGCCACTTCGAAGCGAAGAAAGTCCCCCCACAACAGTGTTTATACCACTCTCTGGTCTCCAACAGAGTCTCTTAAAAAACGTGTTATTTCTGAACGTTTATGTCACGCAACGGCTGGCCCTGTAAAATATGGCAGCTAAATAAGTTTGGGAACCGCTGTAGTAAAGTATGGATATACAGTGTAGTATGGATGTATAGTGTAGTGTGGATATATAGTGTAGTTTGGATATGCACCACTCTGGGTTTGTGTTTGAAGGCACACTCTGATACTAATATTAACCCATTACCTGTGAAAACACCTGAATTAAAGATGTTTTTGTGTTTGCTAATAATATCATTGTGGCGGCCATCTTGAATTGAATTGACTCCTGAAGTTTGTTCACTGAATACTTTCTGGGAGTTTCATTGAAATCCATTCAGCGATATCAGAAATTTAGCTAAGACGAAAAACATGTGTGTGCATGCACACACACACACACACACACACACACAAACTATCACTATCACATCTAATGAGTCAGCGAATCGGTAAAAAATACCAGCTGGTGGTAATACCTATACCTACAACGCGCACACACACACGCGCACACACACACACACACACACACACACACACACACAGCAGGTCCTACCTGTTCACACTCAGACGGCTGAGAGAGAAGAATAAAAACAGCTCAGAGACGTCACCGCAGCAGCGACACAGTGTCTATGTGCAGCAGATTCATTCACTCATCACTTGCAGATGTGTCACCTGCTGTCACATGACTCACACATGAAGCTGACCTCAGAGCAGCTGTGTGCATTTGTGGGACTGGACTGACCCGTCTGCTCAGCGTGATGTTGCTGCGCTCTTTTAGCTGCAGGTCGGTGGGCAGGTTGGTCCAGATGATGTAGGGCGTATCAAAGCGCCGCCTCAGCTTGGGACAACTCTTAAAGATGAAGTCGATGATGAAGAACTTGATACCCACATACACACCTGAGGAGGAGGAAGGACCTGATCAGACACACACAAGCAGCAGCCGTAACAGGCAGACTGGCCATCAGGAGCTCCAGGACATTTCCTGCTCGGAGATTCTACGTCTCTGAGATGTTCTCCTGCATCATGGTCCAGCAGTTCTCCTGCTACAAGCCTCCAAGTCAGGATGTATGCACACAGACTAAGTCTAACATGCTTTATTCTGTTGCAGGTTCATTTTTTCTGCTCATTTAAGTGTTTGAAGGTGCAAACTGAATGTGTCAATATAGAAAAGAAATAAAGACGTACCCATAATAAACCCCAGCAGCTGAAACGGCAGGAGGCACGAGGCGATGAAGGCCAACCACAGTCCCACATACAGCTTCTGGGTCAGCTCTGGCTTCACCCACATGAAAAGACTGCACACACACACACACACACAGTGTTAAGCTGCCCTGTAGAGGGACCGTCAACAGTATTTTAAAGTTTTTAAACGTACTTTTTTATTTTCTCCAGAATGTTGGCCATCCTTCCAAACAGATTCTGAAAGGTGGAAGAAAAGAGGATAAGTGACTAGTAGCGACTTGTAGCCACTGATTGTGAGTCTCTGCCCACCTGAGCCTTCTGAGCCACATCCAGAACCAGCTGGAACTTCTCAGATACCGTCAGGTCTTCTTTAGGTGGCTCCTGGGAAAAGACCGACCCACACAATCCTTTAGCGTTTTCCTGCTCGTGTTACACATGCTCAAAACGTTGATACCAGGTGATACAAGCCACATTTTCTGCTGGAGTAAGGAGAGACTTCTCACCACTGGCTCAGTCACTTCAGGTACGATGCTCCACTGGATCCTCCATCCCCTGAGAGCAAAGGAACAGCAGAACACAGGAAATCCCAAACTCAATAAAATGTCCAAGTCAGATTGTTATGAGAGAGAAAAACATCCAGGTTGTTCCATCTATCGGTTGCGTAGAAACGTCCCGACATTTTCTCCCTCCTGAGGGGACACGTTAGCTCAGCATTGGCCTGCTGGTTAACACCTACATGCTAGGGTGTCTGGGAGTTGACGCTCTAAAAAGGAGTGGTCCACATGTCTTTGTGACAGCTAGCCTAGCCTGGCTGTACTCATTATCACTTCCTGATATTTGGACCAGCATATGTTGTGTTTTGGTGCTGGTAAGAGGGTACTGGTGATGGGATGCTGGTCCACCAGCTAAACTAGCACCATATGCTAGTTTTTCCAGCAAGGGAATCAGACATTTAGCTCTACAAACTAAAAACTAAGCAGTTGGAGAAATTCAAACATTTTAAGCCAAAAATGTGTTTTCTGAAACAGCAGAACTACTGACTTCTCTGGTTTGGTTTCTGGCCATGTGATTAGCTGGATGCAGGAGCAACTGACCTGGAGATGAGGTTATTCAACGAGAGACGTAGGATGGCGAGGAACAGGAACATGGGGACGGCCAAGCCTTTCCACGCAGCGTACATGTAAACCTGCAGAGGACAAAGTTTGACTCGTCACCAGGAAACCAGTAAACTGCATACAGAACCGTTAACCCTTTGTATACGTGTGTGTGTGTGTGCGTGCGTGCGTGCGTGCGTGCGTGCATGCGTGCGTGCGTGTGTGTGTGAGTGGGCTTACAATGAAGGCAATGGCAGATGTGTAGACGGAATTCCAGCTGGATAAGGCAGAGAGGTTCCTCTTGAAGTTGGTCACAGGTCTAAAGCCTCGTTCTGAACAGAACTAAGCACACTCAGACTCTTTCACAAATATAAATATGAAATTTTGGGCTGAAAATAATAACGCTAAGCAAAGAATCTAGGATTATTTTGTCTGTGTCAAAATACTTTAATACACAAGCTGAAGAATTCAGTCAAACTGAAACTTTAAACTTCTATATGATTGGTGGAGTCCCACCAGGGTGTGTACTTGGGCCTCTACCGTTTATTCTGTATGTTTCACATAGACAGATGAGCCCCTGCTCTACAAATCACTATCACATAGAAGGCTACACACTGGTAGTGAAACAGAAATACTCACTGAGCCGCCTCATGTTTTCAGTCAGCCTGGAGATCAGATATAAACAAACATTAATTATGACTTCAAACAAACAGAATACATTGACCCTTCTAACAGATGCTGAAGGTGTCTCTTTGTGGGAGCGACTTCATCGTAATCTGTGTCCACTTATCATATATAGCTGAATTCTTTATATGCATCACAGCGTGGTACGAAAGCTGCACAGATGGTGGCAGCTCCCACTCCCAAGGGATGTCTGAGAGGAGCCATTTAGACAAACAATTAAATGATTAGTTTTAATTAGTGTTTGTCTAAATGGCTCCTCTCAGACATCCCTTGGGAGTGGGAGCTGCCACCATCTGTGCAGCTTTCGTACCACTCTGTGATACACGGGTGAAAGCCTGGCCAAACAACTCAATTAAATGATTAGGTTTAATTAGTGAGTTATTTGGCCGGGCTTTCACCCATGGAGCCCGAAGAGGAGACGTGGGTCCCTCTTTCCATGAGCTCACCACTCATGGGAGGGGCCAAAGGGGTTGGGTGCAATGTGTGTCGGGTGGTAACCGAAGGCAGGGACCTTGGCGGTCTGATCCTCGACTACAAAAACTAGCTCTTGGTACATGGAACGTCACCTCTCTGATGGTGAACGTGCCGGGCGTGGTGGTTGAGGTTGAGAGGTTCCGGCTAGATATAGTCGGACTCACCTCGACGCATGGCTCTGGCTCCGGAACCAGTTTCCTCGAAAGAGGTTGGACTTTCTACCACTCTGGAGTTGCTCCCACTGAGAGGCGCCGATCACGGGTGGACATACTTGTTGCCCCCCATCTTGGTGCCAGAACGTCGGGCTTTACCCCGGTGAACGAGAGGGTAGCCTCCCTCCACCTTCGTGTGGGGGGACGGGTCCTGATTGTGGTTTGTGCTTATGCACCAATCTGCAGCCCAGACTACCCACCCTTCTTGGAGAGCTTGGAGGGGGAGCTAGAGAGTGCTCCTTCAAGTGACTCCCTCGTTCTGCTGGGGGACTTTACGTGGGCAATGACAGTGAGACCTGGAGAGGTGTGGTTGTAAGGAATGGCCCGCCTGATCTGAATTGGGGCGGTGTTTTGTTATTGGACTTCTGTGCACATCATGTATTGTCCATAGTGAACACCATGGCACCAGCATAACGCAGTTCGATGATTGAATTTGTTGTCATTTCATCTGATCTGTGGCCACATGTCTTGAAAACTCGGGTGAAGAGAGGGGCGGAGCTGTCATCCTCCGGGAGTATGGGGTACAAGGCCCTTTGTTATGGGCTATGATGACTGTATGACCGGTGTCAGAGCTTGGTCCGCATCGCAGACAGTTAGCTGAAGTAAGTTGGGCTCGTTCCCAGTGAGAGTTGGACTCCGCCAAGGCTGCCCTTCATCACAGATTCTGTTCATAACCTTTATGGACAGGATTTCTAGGCGCAGCCAAGGTGTTGAAGGGATCTGTTTTGGTGGCCTGAGGATCAGGTCTCCGCATTTTTAAGATGATGTGGTCCTGTTGACTTCATCAGAACGTGATTTCCAGCTGTCGCTGGAGCGGTTTGCAGCCGAGTGTGAAGCGGCTGGGATGAGAATCAGCTCCTCTAAATCCTAGACCATGGTTTTCAATCGGAAAAAGGGTAAAATGCCTTCTCCGGGTCAGGGATGAGGTCCTGCCTCAAATGGAGGAGTTTAAGTATCTCGGGGTCTTGTTCACGAGTAAGGGACAGATGGGAGTGAGATCGATAGGCGGATTGGTGCTGCAGGCATTTTACCGGTCTGTCGTGGTTAAGAGAGAGCTGAGTCAGAATGCGAAGCTCTCGATTTACCGGTCGATCTACGTTCCTACCCTCACCTATGGTCACAAGCTTTGGGTAGTGACCGAAAGAACGAGATCACAGATATAAGCGGCCAAAATGAGTTTTCTCCGCAGGGTGGCTGGGCTCTCCCTTAGACATAGGATGAAAAGCTTGTTCTTCCGAGAGGGGCTCAGAGTAGATTCGCTGCCCCTCCACTTTGAGAAGAGCCAGTTGAGGTGGCTCGGGCTTCTGGTCAGGATGCCTCCTGGACGCCTCCCTGGTGAGAAGACCCAAGACTCGCTGGAGGGACTATGTCTCTCGGCTGGCCAGGGAACGCCTTGGGATTGCGCCGGAAGAGCTGGCCCAAGTAGCTATGGAGACAGAAATCTGGGCGTCTCGGCTTAGGCTGCTGCCCCCACGAGCCGACTCCGGATAAGCAGCTGAAAATGGCTGGTTGGATTTACTTGATCAGCACATTTGTCAAGTGGTGAAAACCTGGACAGGCTGCGTTGCTGTAAAAGCAGAGAAGAGTTGCTGCAGGAAAACTTAATGAGTTTGATAAGTGGAACGTCAATGTGGCGGTGCGCAGAAAAGGAGGGGCCGCCGGGGTCCTGCAGGTGCGCACCAGGCAACGTCAGCCTGTGGCTGATTATAAGGGAAAGCACCGCAGGTGTGGGGGAGACCGGATGCGGGCTTGAGGAGCTGGGAGAGCTCCTGTCCCAGTGTGGCAGCTACGCTGACCTGTGAGTGAGGTGTGAATGAAGCTGTGAGCAAAGCAAAAGCTGCGTCTACAGTCTGTGCGCGTGGGTCCGGTAGCTGATGCATGCTCAGTGAACAAATCTTATTTCTCAATTGGAATTTTTTTTGAAGGTGTGTGGCCAAAATGATGCACTGTCGGTTGCTGCTTACATCCGTCTGTACCATACTCTCAAATCTCCACAATCAGGAAAAGAGGATTAAACTTATGTTATAAAGACAAATCATTAAAATAGTATTTTTTTTCTTTTGTAGCATCTCTCCTTACCTCCTGGCACTGAGTGGCTCCTCCGTCTCCACTGCCGTCTCCTCTGGTTGGAAGCGGAAGTCTTCAATATAAACTCCAAAGCGATCGTTGAGCCACTTCAGGAAGCTGTTGGACAGAGTGTCTCTCTGTTTGTCTGTGGAAAAGAAAAATAACTGACCAATAAAGGCTTTCGCCTCAGATGATGCCGACGGTCAGCAGGTGTGGCATACCTGTGCTGCTACCCGCGGGTGGAGGAGGGAGTGGAGCTTTCGGGCTCTGAGATGGTGAGTCATCAAGTCTGTTAGTGGACGGAAAAGTTCAGTTCCAGAAGAGAGAAAGACAACGCTGTATCTTCACGGCGACCCACCTGGCTCTCAGGACATCAGTCATCTTCTGCTCCAGCTCCACCCGCCTGCAGCGTTCCTTCTCCAGTTCCTGTTTCAGCAAATCCACATTTGACTCCTCTCTGAATTTCCGCAGCTCCTCCTCTGAAACAGCAACAAATGAGTTTGAAATGCATCTTCAGTAAAAACTCAGCAACACTACAGATTTAACACGTGAAGTTGTTGCTTTCAAACTGGTTTCAGCGGTTCTTCAGCCAGAAACCTGAACAGCTCCACACTAGACAGCACTCTGCTGCCCTCTGCTGTCCAGAAACTGCATGTAACAGTTTTGGGGCTCGGACCGTGGCTGCAGTCTAACAATAGTCTCATAACAGTTCTATCAGCTGGAGTCCAGATTGTAAATTTTTAAAAAGTAATTAATTGAAGAATGAATTTAAAGAGGAGATGATGATTACATTAGGACATTTTCACCCTCCTGTGCACAGACAGAAAATGGATTACAGAAAAATAAAGTATCAGTTTGCTGCCTCTTGGGTTTTAAAGGGACATTATGAAGTTTGACAGCCAAAACATGTATAGAAATAACAAAATTTCTTCTTCATACATTCTCCTGCAATGCCCTGGTCCTGTTGAATGAGCCCTGGCATTTTTACTGTGATTGCCTGTTTTTCTGTAAAATCACAGAAAAGGAGAGCTGCTCGGGTCGAGCAGGCTGCTTCACGCTCAGGCATAGCCTGTAGAATTTGCTATCAGTAGTTTTAGCAGCAGAGAGTGAGGTAGTGCCACTTTGTTGCTGTTCCTAACACCTAGTGATGAACCTAGCTACATTTCTGAGGACCCTTAGCTACTTTCTGTAGAACTTTCTTCTAGATATTTCCTGCAAATTAGCAACAAAATAGCCATTTTCGCTCCGAACCGTTCTTTGGTTTGACGTTGTTTCAGCTGTCATCAAGGATATAAATGTTACAGATACAAAAGACATCACTGGCGATTCTGTATGTGAACATAGTTCATTTAGAGTTTCTTTTTTACATTAATGATATATTTTTTTACAGTAAGATGCCCAAATTTTCATTTCAGACTTGCCGAACGGCATTGGATTGCAGAAAGACTGACCCATCATAAACCTTTGTCGGCTGTGCTGAAGAGAAAGGTACAGAACCAAATTATTTAATTAATTAGCTGCGCGTTCTCCTGTCCTCTGTCCTCCGGGCCACACACACACGGGACTGTCTCAGCTGTTATTTTCGTTAAGGAGTGTGCACGTACAGCATGTGTGCCTCGTGCACGAGCCTACTATTGAAGCTGCCGTTACGCTTTTGGCCTGAGGGGGCAATCGCGAGCATAAAAATTCAAAAGTCCAAAAAGTCCCTTTAAAAGGGACATTTTAAAAGCACGCCCTCTTGTGGCTACTGCAGGAAACAGAACAAGAAACTTCTCAAACCTCTGCTGCTAAAAATAAAACTCAATGTTTTTTTTTCCTGTTGACATTTTAGAAACGGCTTTAGAAAGCTTCTGTCTCCTGAAAACTAAAATGTTTTGTCATCTGTTTACAAATGATAAAGAAATGTTTCTTTGTCGTTTTGCTGCTTTTAGACTGGTTACTAACCACTCTAGTGATGAACGGCACATAAAAAGTCCAACACTGACCGATCACCCAGATGTGCTGTGAGGCGATGGCCTGATGACTGGAGGGCGGAGCTAATGTGGAGTTTAATCAACATTTCCTGCCCAGCTTTTAGAGGATTTACTCTTCTTTTAGTGAAATGCAGCAATGGTTTTAATGACCAAATTGTCTTTGAGCTCATCTAAAACTTCTCAGGTCGAGTCATTTTGTTTACTTTTGTAAATCCTCCAAATGTGAAAAGTCCCATAAAGACTCACCAAAGAAGTGCTTCTCTAACAAAGCCACTTCTAGCAGCCCTTTGACATGATTTAGGTCTGTTTTTGGGTCGTCTTGGAGAGCTGTGGGAAAAGATCCAGGACCCGCCTAAAACACACCAACAGACAGGAGAGTTTTAGGATTAAGATAGCAGAATGGATCAAGTCCAAACTGAAGCAGTCTGCTCTGCACCTGGACATCCATCTGCGGCTCGCCCTCCTCCCTCAGCTCCTCCGGCTCTCGGACGGTGATGCGAGGTTTTATCACCACATCCTCACTGCACTCCGTGTCGGAGGTGTTGGGCGAGTCGGCCAGATCCAGGAACTCGTCCCGTCTCGGTCCCCGGAACCGGATCCTGTCCAGGCGCTTCAGCATGGTGGACATCTTGGAGTCTGGCTTCTACCTGAGCATGATGGATACTTGATCTGCCAAAATATAAAAACCAGTATCTTTTCTCACTGACCATCTTTTCTCTGGCATTAGTTGTATTCATTGTGCTGCAGAAACATTTTTTGGACTAGGTGGACAATCAGCACATGAAATCCTTCATCAGCTCTTAACACGAGTCTACAGAAGATCAAACGCACAGGGTAAAGGAAACGTTTCACCATCTGCTCTGCCTACAGGCTACGTTCACCGCTCTGACATCACAACTGAAGGTTCTTGGTAGCACTTCTTACAACCAGTTTGTTGGAAAAAACCTGCATCACTGCTGCCTCTGAGCTTCTTCAGCAAATAAAACAGGAAAAAGCTTTGAAAACGATTTGAATATTAACCGTCTTCGTTTACACAAACTCAAGAATGTTCTACAGAGATCGGGTGAATTATAACCAGGTCCCTTCCATGCATGTTTTTGGGATCTGTGAAAACAGGTTCAGCATGCTCAAGAACGTCCAGCAGCACCAGAACGCTCTCCTAAAGTTTCCCAGCTGTTAGAGCAGAAGTGAGTCCTTCTGCAGCAAGGTGAGAAGGCTTTTGGAGGATGGCCTGGTGTCAACACAGGCAGGTAGAAACTCCCCAGGGACACAATGGTGTTTGGCTAAAGGTGCAGAAACTGGACTGATGGGAACTGGAGGAAAGTCATGTTTCTGTGATGAATCTGATTGTTTAGACTAGAGCATCTGGATAAATGATCTGGAGAAGAACGGGGGAGAGCTCCCATCAGTCCTGTGTCCCTCTAACAGTAAAACATCCTGAGACCATACATGTGTGTGGGGTGTTTCTCAGCCAAAGGAGAGGACTCATTCACAGTTTAGTCGCAGAACAGCCATGAATGAAGAATGGTACCTAAACATCCTCCCAGAGGAACTCCTCCAACCTTCCAACAACAGTTTGGTGATGAACAATGTGTTCTCCAGCCAGAGAATTCTGCTGTTGTGTCCTTGGGCAACACACTTAACCCACCTTGCCAGCTGGAGGTGGTCGGACGGAGCGGTGGCACCTGTGCTCGGCAGCCTCCTCTCTGTCTGTGTGCCCCAGGGCAGCTGTGGCTACATCGTAGCTCATCACCATCAGTGTGTGAATGGATAAATGATACACTGTAGTGTAAAGCGCTTTGGAGTCCTTACTCTGAGAGGCGCTATACAAGTGCGGGTCATTTATCATTTCTACAGCCACAGAGCTAAAGTCAGAACTAAGGTGATCAGGAACATTTCAGGTCACCATTGCATTTTCTTTAACTTGTCAGTTTCTGCATCCCCACCTCCTGCTCGCCGTATGGTTAGTTCTCGTTTTCTTAATGAGAGCACAGCTAGAAATATTTCTGCTGCTTTTGATCCACCCTGTTCTTCTGATAATGACCCAGATTCCTTAACTTCTCAGTTTAACGAGCACTGCCTCTCCATTCTGGACAACATCTGTCCTGTCAGAACCAGATCAGTTCCTGCAGTGAACCCTACTCCCTGGTTTAATGACAGCCTTCGCAGCCTGAAGTGCCAATGCAGAAAAATTGAGCATTTGTGGAAGAAAACCCATCTCCACGTCCATCTGCTGCACCTAAAGGATCTTCTGACATCCTTTAACTCTGCAGTCAGAGATGCTAGGGTTTCCTATTTCTCCAACCTGGTGTCCCAGAGCAAAGGGAACCCCAAGGTGCTGTTTAACACCATCAGCAGCATCGTCTCTCCTGCCTCTCCTACAGCCTCCATCCACTCTGTTACAGACTGTGAGAACTTTCTGTCTTTCTTTGTGGACAAAGTCAATAAGGTTAGATCTAGCATCTCTCCTTCAGCCTTATCGCTGCCTCTCCCGACTCCAACCAGGCCCGTCAACCTAGATAGCTTTGCTCCTGTTTCTTTGCCTGAGTTAACCAAACTAGTTAACTCTATGAAGACCTCTGCATGCCCCCTCCACATCTTACCCTCATCTTATTCTTATTGTTGTTGTTAGCCTCAAGGGCAACATGCCGATTATCACTTGTAAGTCGCTTTGGACAAAAGTGTCTGCTAAAAACATAAACATAAACATCTTTGTTTAAAAGTGCTTTTCAGTCCATCGGTCCCAGTGAGTCTTGACCCCTCTCTATCTCTAAACTTCTGTTCATCTCCAAGATCTTGGAAAAGGTTGTGGCTAAACAACTCACAGCTGCTCTTGATGAACATAACATCTACGATAGCTTCCAGTCAGGTTTTCGTAGAGCTTGTTCTAATGGCCTTCTGACTCTCAGTGATGCAGGGGACTGTTCTGTTCTGGTCCTGCTGGACCTGACTGCAGCCTTTGACACTGTTGACCATCACCTGCTACTGGAGAGGCTGAGAGACTGGGTAGGCCTATCAGGATCTGCTCTAGAGTGGTTCTCCTCTTATCTTTCAGAGCGCTCCTTTTCTGTGGCCGTCTCCAAGTTTAGGTCCTCCACCACCTCTCTTACCCATGGTGTCCCACAAGGTTCTGTGCTGGGGCCTCTGCTCTTCCTCCTCTATCTGCTTCCTCTTCAGCACATCCTGAGCTCCTTCAAACGAATCTCCTACCATCTTTATGTAGATGACATCCAACTGTACATCTCCTTTAAGCCCCTTGAGATGTCTAAGCTGCAGCTGTTTCATACCTGCTTAGACTCTATCAAAACCTGGATGGCTGGGAGCTTTCTTCAGCTGAATGAAGATAAGACTGAGATCCTCATCTGTGTCCCAGACAAGCTGGTTCCCAAAGTCAGAGACTCTCTTGGTCAGCTTGCTTCTCACACCAAACCTTCCATCAGGAATCTTGGTGTGACCTTTGACCCAGCTCTCACCCTGGATTCTCATGTCAGTTCTCTTGTTCGCTCTTCCTTCTTCCATCTCAGGAACATTGCTAAGCTGAGTCCCATTCTGTCCCCTCTAAACTTGAGACTGTTCTCCACACCTTCATCTCCTCACGCTTAGACTACTGTAACTCTCTTTTCACGTGTCTGAGCAGAACCTCCCTGAACCGTCTACAGGTGGTTCAGAATGCCTGTGCTCGGCTTCTGACCAAGTCCTCCAAACACACCCACATCACCCCGCTTCTCCTCCAGCTTCACTGGCTGCCAATCAACTTCAGGGTTCATTTCAAGATCCTGGTTCTGGTCTATAGGGCCTTACATGGACAAGCACCATCCTACATTGGTGATCTTCTTAGTCCCTACACCCCCAGCAGGTCCCTGAGGTCCAATGATCAAAGCCTACTGGTTGTGCAGCACCAGGCTAAAGACCAAAGGTGACAGATCATTTGCTGCTGTGGCCCCCAGACTCTTGACCTCTCTCCCCCTGAGCCTGAGATCAGTGGACTCAGTGGTCTCCTTTAAACTCACTTGTTCAGGCTGGCTTTGGTGTGACCTTCTTCACCACTCTCTCTTTATTCTGCTCTCCCCACCTATTCCTCCTTCCTCAGGATCCACAGATTTCCCTCTTTCCTGTTCACTCTCTCTTTCTAAACATTTTTTAATCACAGTTGTCTATTTTTGCTCATTTTAAACATATTTTTATCATTTTTAAAAATCTTTTTTAAATTTTAAGTTTTTTGTTTTTGTGAAGCACCTCATGATTTTCACCTTGAGGGGCTGTAGAAAATATCTTTCTTTTCTTTCTTTTTCTCAAAACACCAACATGTTGGGTCCAAGTCCAGGAAACTCCCTAGACCTTAATCCTAATGAGAACTTGTGTCTCATCTTGAAAAAGCAGGAGGACAAACAAAAAACTACAAATTCTGATAAACTCCAAACATTTATGATGAAGAATGAGCTCCATCAGTCAGGATCTGGAAAAGAAAATGAGTGACTAGCGATCAAGATGAGCTACAGAAGTCCAGCAGAAGCAGCACCAACACTAAATCTGAACCTTCTGCATCAGCAGAATCTTGTAATTATGCTTCAGAAACCGTAGAAATTTATGATAAAAAGGTCTGAAAGCGCTGGAGCAGCAAACAATGTCAGCATGCATGTATGAAACCATCCAGTGGAGAATGACTTCCACACACTTTACCTGAACTGAGCTGAGATGTCAAACACATTCAGGACCGATAACTTTAACGTGGATGGAAGGGTTGAGAAGAAGTAAAATGTTGGCGGTTCCCACAGTCTGATGGCAGGTTGTAGCACGTTTCCCAGGAGCGGTGCGTCTAAACCTCGCGGGGTGATCCAACAGGTCCGACTACTGCACACATGTGCCTGAACAAGACTGAACAGACATGCTGTCTTCTGTCAGTCAGATTAGACCTGAAGGGTTTCCAGCCCTGCTTCGACTAGCTAACTGGCAAAATAAGTCCTTCTTAGCTGCTCACTGTGAAGCTGCTGCAGGTATATCTCCAGACACACAATAACTAAAGGTGGATCCAAACAAACAGCAGAGCTGTCACAACTGCTGCTCTTTGGTTTGCTTGAAGGTGATCAGCTGCATGTTTCCTTTGTAAACCGTTTAAATGGTCCACTGAACCCTTAAAGGGACAGCTGGTGACTTTTCACTCAGCTCTAAAGGCTGAATGTTCCATAATCAGTGTACATTGCTGTAAAGCACTGCTTTTTGCTGTAACATGGTAATGTAAGGCATTACAGGGAAAGAAAATGATGATATTTACTCAGCTGTCAGTAACGCGGTTTTACACCCAGAATCAAGATGTGGGTTTCGTAAAAACTTAAATTGCGAGAAGCCTGAAAAAAGATCCAGTATCTACATATATGACATCATTTATGGATTCAGCTTTGCGGGCATTTTAGAGAGGACGCAGTGGTAACGGCTCAAATACTCGACCTGCGTCCTGCGCGCGACAACTGTAACGTTCACAAAAGTCGCTCCACCAAAACAAAACAATTCACTCGTTCATATCAGCCCGTGTTCTCTGGTACTTTCTGTACTTTTCTGACGTGCTTTGCCTCAGCTGAGTTCATAATCTGTGGCCAGGTGCTTTCACCTCATTGCTGCTGGAGCGCAGCGCATGTTAAGATCCCACTGGCTGATTAGTTAGAAAGTAGGAATCTAGGAAACTGTTCTTCTGGAAGAGCATGCAGGAAGGTTAGAGAGAGAAAGGGCCAGAAATTATTCAAATACAATCAAGAAAACCAAACTAAGTGTGTGAAAAGAAAAAAAAAGTAGGTAGATTTATCTAAAATACACATTTTTACCAGTGAAAAGCAATAACATATAAGCATTTAATATTTACACATGTGATAGAATCAGATCACCCTCAAAAGTCAGTCCAGGGCCGTATCAAGGCATTTGGGGGCCAAGGTTAAATAGGCTTGGAGCCCCCACCACCTAACTCCCTGCTCAGATGGCCCTATAAGTTGGCAGTGTGCTGAGAGCACAGCTTGTTGTTGTGTTTATTTAATAAACAACTGTTATTATATCTGTTTTAACAGCAAAACTAGCTCAGACACATCACCTTCCACTGGATGTGTCACCAGTTCACCGAGCGTCACATGACAAGATTCATACTCAAGTTGTTTTGGTGAAAGAAACTTAAAGTAATGTAAAAGTAGTGTAATCTCATACATTTTAAAATGAGTAATATTGTAATGAATTACTTTAAAATGAGGGTAACAAGTAATAAATAATGCATTACAGTTTAGAAGTAACTTGTCCAACACTGCTAATAAGCTGCCGTGGCATGTTAGCGTGTGGCTGGTTTACGCCGGCTCATCAGTTAAAACCAACCACGACCACATGACTGTTCTGCTCAGCATCTAGCTGGAAGGTCTCATTCAGGGGCGGCACCCTCGTCGGCCGGATTTAAAGGCCGATCACGTCAAAGTGCCGCAACGACGGCTGTCCAAACTTGTGCACCCCTTCATATGCAGCCTATGAATCCAGCCCTCTTCTATCCCGGTTTGAAGGACAGGTCTGACGTATCACACAGCTCACATATCCCAAGACGCATCGCCAGGGGCGTGTCCAGGGAGTGGCCTGGGGTAGCACATGCCACCCTCGGAATCTGATTGGCCACCCCAGGTGCCACCACACTAACTTACCTTTAAATCGGCTTTTCATTGTCCACGAAAGGCTTGGGGGTAAAACAAAAAAAGCATAACCATTGGTGCCACCCATGCACAAAGTTGTGCCTCAGCTGGGCCACCCCATTTTAAAAGATCTGGACACGCCACTGCGCATCGCAGGCCGAATGGGGGAGTTTTCTAACAACAACAGCAAACTAAAGTACAAGCTTCAAATGTTTAGATTCAGGGCTGTAGTCAGAAAACAGCTCAGGTGTGTAACATCATTCTGCTTCCTGGTCCCTAAAGTATCCTATCAACAGGTAGGGGTGGAGGTTAACCTGAGCTGGAAATGACTTTTAGCTACGACTTCGCCAAAGCTTACACTCTGTGTATAAAATGGCCGCGTCGCAGCTACTCATGTGTAAGCTGAAGTCATTTGACTGAGTGTCCAGTAGCTGGAGAGTTTAATTACATCCATCTGTGTGTTGAAGACGCATCTGCCTTTCAGCAGCTCCTGATGTTTGTTCTGGTTCAGCCAGAGCAACACAAACTCAAAACAAGGCCGCAGGGCGTTGTCTTCTACACGCCGAATTAGTCTGTTAGTTTATGTGTCCGATGTGTGTGAGGAGGTGTGACTGATGAGGTCACCTACAGGTTGGGTCAGCTTGCTCACCTGCTGATCGAGTGAAGATATTTCAGATGGACTAAAACGGCCACTCTGTCCTCAGGCTGCGTCTCCTGGTTTATTCTCCATTTTCACATTTCAGCAGCACAGGAAGTAAACGAGAAGCCCAAAACTAATGATGTTATGACACGTTTTGTCTCGTTTCTACTGAATGGGACTTGACCTGGATACGCAGCAGAAAGGGGAATGAATGGATTAACCCATTTAGAGGATAACCTGTCCGGCCTTGTTCCAGTTTTGGGCCATTCCCATCTGTACCTGCTCGGCCTTGCCCGGATGGCTCCAGTCGGCTCCAGTCGGCCCCAGCCTGGCCCGGTTGATTCCACACATCCTTGCTTAGGTGTGCAAGGAATGCAGTCAGAGACATTTTCAGCTTCGAGGTAATCAGCATGATAATGAATGATAATGAATTGAGCATGCCTTAAGCCCATGTGGGCTGGTTCTACCCACCAATCAGAGGCTTGCTCTAATGGAAGGTGTGAATTTGCTGTCAGCTGTGGGTGTGTTGGCCCTGGTCAGCCTGAAGCAGACCCCCTCAGAAAGAGGGCTGAAAAACAGTCTCGTTGCATCCTGAAAAAAGGCAAGCCACCAAGCTATGCAAGCAAGCTATGCTATCCGGGCCGGGCCGACCAGGTAGAGATGGGATTGGCCCATTCGTGTGTCGATTCAGGAGGATGACGAGTCACAGAGCAAACGGAAAAGTGTAGAACTTAAACAAACAAACAACAGTGATGGACAGTAGCAGGTCAGGCTGAGCCTGGTTCAGGACTCTTCAGACCACCACACGCCACCAGAACAGCTTTATGTGTGCTGGACTGTTTTTCCACTGTGACTCTCAAAGGGAACACGCCCTGTAGGTGTTGTCACATGTGAGTTTAGTCAAGCACGGAGTTGAAAGAACTTGGTAAACTGTGATCCTAAGTTACTGATTTTGCACAAACTACCTAGAAGTAACCTTGGAGCTGGACTAGTTAGGAAATGACACGCTTTAGTATCTAGTACTTCACCCTTGAGCTGGAAACCGTATCCGAGGTTAAACTTTCAACTGACTCTCAGCGTTTTTTACATTTAGCATTATTATTCACACTTTTGCAAAGCTGAGCGTTAGTTGTGTAATAATGCCGAACTGAAAAGGAACAGTAATTTCACTTTTTCAAGGCCTCGTGTGTGAAATCCATTCAAATTAGCGCCACGCAGTTCAGAGACAGCTACGGTGGCCCACTCATCACATTCAAATCTCTCTAGCCTAACCCACACAGAACTCATAGCTACTGGACCAGTTACAAAAGCATTTTTAATTATTACTGTTTTATCAACCTGCCAGTCCTGAAGCTCTGTTAGACCCAGAAGCCGCCACGATTCACACGGAGGAGGGGTGACATACGCCAGGAGGTCAGGTGTTGTAAGAAACTGTGTTCCCCTGAAATATTCTGTCCCACCCACCCGTGTCGGGAGATCGCTCCTCAGACTATCTTCACAACATTTGTGATCAACTTTTACGGGAACATGGTGTAATGTAATAATGTCATGCTTGTGATGTTTTTCTACATTTCCTCCTAAAAACAATAAAACGAGACAGTAAAAACATTCTTGTTCACTCTTCTGTAATCTGACTCGGTTTAACCATCTTTTATTTGAGGTAGTGTAGTCCTCATAATGGACAATAAGTTCTGTTATTTAGGAAACATTTGCTCTTGACTGCCTAAAGGTAACAGAATGTTTTAGGGGAACATAATTTCCCACAACACCTGTTTTACGTGGATCATGGTGCGTTCGATGTAAACAAGCTGGCTCCTGCTACCAGAGAAAAGTCTGTCATCTTAAGTCAAGTTCATGATGCATCCTTGTCTCATGCATTCTCTAGTTAGGATTACACTCCCTATTAGACTCACTATTTGACCCTCTCTGCTCTCGTAGCTGTTTGCTGACCCTTGGGAGGGGTTTGGCATAAACAACGCTCCAGTCGGCATCCACGGTGAAAAGGCTCGCTAAAACACACACAAACGTCTCCAAATAGTAAAAGTCACAAAGTTTAGAGCAGAATATTGAGCAGACGCGTGAGAATACGCTTAATGATAGGATGAAGGAAGAGCAAATGTAAACAATTGTTAATGAATTTAAAATGGAGCAAATAATAAAGTTGTGTCGAGTTTCTTGAAAATAAAAACATTTTGATGAAATCTGTTAGAGGAGTTTCACACATGAAATATAACGTGAGAGTTTAAGGCAGACAGACAGATAATTATTAAAACATCTTCTTGGGTCTTTCTGTTATTTTTAGAAACATAAAACACAGATTTTACGTTTTATATCAATATACTAATGACTAGTATTTATTATGGCCATCTGTTAAATGCTTCCTCTGTAAATGTGTCACTTATTCACATAATGAAAGAGTGAAAAGTCATTTCTTTGTTCTTACAGCTGCAGCTCGATGGTGTTTACGGAGATGCTCCCAGTCACCAATAGGCTCCTCCCACTGACTCCAGTGGCGAGCCAATCAGGTGAAGGAGCTGAAGAAGGATCTGAAGTGACGCAACCGGTCCACAGGGTTCAGAAACGGAAACACACAGTCACACCTTCATGTCCAGCTGTGCTCAAACAGAAAGAGAAGGTGAAGTTTCTCACCGTACAGCCGCGGACGAGGCTACATTTCACCCCCTGTCGCTCCTTCTCTCCCCGCTGTTAGAGCTCACAGCCCCACCAAACCGGGCCAGAACCGCTCCGAACCACAACGCGCTCCTCCGCCGGCAGGGCTGCGTCCGTCCGCGGTCCAGACGCCGAACAAATGTCGGTGCTTAGGGAATAAGCCGAATGGTGTTTATGCACCTGTCAAATACTGGTGCGGGCGGGGTGAGCGGCTGGTTCTAACAGGAAGTGACGCAATCACGCAGCGCTCTTGAACGTGAAGCTGCAGGTCGGGAGGAAGCAAAACAAACCCGTCCGAGTGGATAAGTTTGGTGTTTGCTGCGTTACAGCTGGAGCGGGTGAGTAGAGACGTTCACCGGGCCTCCAGGATGGTCTCCACGCGCCAGAACAGCGACATGACGCAGGTGAGGCGCTTCGCCTTTACTCAGCAACCATTCACACAGACCGCGCTGCTCTCTGCGTCCTACCACAGCCAGTTGGAGGGTTAACATGCTGCTGCTGGTGTCATTATCAAATCTTAGCTGCCAATATAATCAATACAACTATTTACAGTTCCACATCTGGAGAACACAGCATATAACCAAACGACCCATCACTTGTACTGAAGCCAAAAGAGGCGAAGTGATCAATCACCCTCTCACTGAGATCAGGCATGTTCCTGACAAGCTCCCTGTCCACTGAAAGCATGGCCCATGCATCCAGACGTTCCTGTCCCTGTGCTTCCCAGGAGAAACACCTCAGCTTCAGCTGTCGTCATCGGCGTGGTGATGAGAAGATTCAACAGCACCACAGTCAGAAGGTTTCCTGGCTTGCAGTTCTGTAGAACCTGAGCCAGTGCACCACAGTCACAGCAGTCGCTGAAGTCTGGACCTTCATAGATCAGAGAAAGTTCAGTCCTGAGCTTCTCCTTGTGGAGCACGGGGTATACCCTCACGGTGGTTTTCAGAGCCTCTTCAGAGAATGTTTGCTGGTGCTGGTCGAACAACCCTCCCTCTGAAAGCACGGCACTCGCAAGGTGGCTTGTGAGGGCCTGTCATGGCCCGTGATGGTGTCACAGATCTGTTAAATTAAAAACACATATCAATAACAGATAATATTCTACGGGTGTTGGCTAGAATGTGGCTATGATCTACACTCTCAAAGTTACAAAGTGTGCATTTTGGTGACTGCAGAGCTCACCAGGGACCATGTCATGTTGGGGTGTAAATATGGCTGTCTAACCAATGAGAGCTGGTAACGTTCAAGGAACAGCTGTGATTGGTTGGACTTTGTTTTACATGGTTTTCATTGGGGGGACCAGGAGGGTCACACAGTTCCTAAACAGAGAGCGTAACTATTTAGGAAATGCAACTGAAGACGGATCTGGAAATGAGAGGGGAAAGAACACGGATGTAGAAAAGGAATAACCTTGTTCAGTTTATAAAATGAAAAGATATTTAAACTCAAATTCACAAATAGTGTTTATTCTCATATTACAAACAGGATTAGAAAAAAATCCAATTGCATTATTTAACGAATAAACGGTTTGCAATTCCTCCCAGTGTTTCAATTTAAAATGTGCAATCTCAAAATGCTTTGCAATATTGATTTTTAGTGATTGTTGAATTTGAAATTAAGAAACTGAGCACAGTTCCACTACAACACTTTTATTGTCTTCCAAAACAATCCACACCCACTGCAGTGTAAAGAAATCATCTCACAGATGCATCCACAAAACCAACAGTACCACAAACTGTCTGTTAACTGTCCTGAACTGACCAACCAGCGCCGCTTGTTCAGACTTGCTCATGGTCTGCCTCAAACACTGGGAGACAACTGAAGGTGGTAGTGTAAACTAAAGTGTTTATTTAAACTAAACCATGTCCAGTCACTAAATCCGTCATGCGTGCCTGCATGAATGAACCTGTAGGAATGAACCTGAGGAAGCAGAAACAAAACCACATGAGCCGAGATGGGTGGGTGAATCCCCACTGCACAGAGGAGCCAGCCAGTGAACAGACAGCAGCAGGCTTTTAAAGGGGCAGAGGCACACCGGGCACAGGTGCACCCAGCGCTGCTAATGGCACTCCAACCTACAGCCAAACCCAATTAGGGCGACCCCTAGTGGTTCATCCATCCGTCCATCTTCAGCTGCTTATCCGTACTCGGGTCGCGGGGGCAGCAGCCTAGGTCGAGACGCCAAGACTTCCCCTTCCCAAGCTACTTGGGCCAGCTCTTCCGAGGGAATCCCAAGGCGTTCCCTGGCCAGCCAAGAGACAAGGTCCCTCCAGCGTGTTCTGGGACTTCCCTTGTGTCTTCTCACCAGGGAGGCGTCCAGGAGGCATCCTGACCAGATGCCCGAGTGACCTAGACCTCGAGGACCCAGCCACCCTGCGAAGAAAAATAATTTCGGCTGCTTGTATCTGCAATCTCTTTCTCTCTCACGACCCAAAGCTCATGACCATAGGTGAGGGTAGGAATGTAGATCGACCGCTAAATTGAGAGCTTTGCCTTCTGACTCAGCTCTCTCTTCACCACGACACATGTTACACGTGTTATATTAAGGCTTAAAGAGTAGTTTCAGTCCAGAGGTCGGGGCTGTGCCGCATGCGCCCTGTTTGGCAAACCTCCTTTACATTTCTGCCAGGAAACGTCTTTCCACCCTTTTTTAATTTTGAATTTTACTTTAGTTTCTTAATTACAGTTATGAATGTACTGTACTTCATTACAGTTATAAATGCACAGTACTTAATTACAGTTATAAATGAGCTGTACTTACAGTTATAAATGAGCTGTACTTACAGTTATAAATGTGCCGTACTTAATTACAGTTATAAATGCACTTTACTTAATTACAGTTAAAAATGCACAGTACTTTATTACAGTTATAAATGAGCTGTACTTAATTACAGTTATAAATGCACAGTACTTAATTACAGTTATAAATGAGCTGTACTTACAGTTATAAATGTGCTGTACTTAATTACAGATACAAATGCGCTGTACTTATTTACAGTTACAAATGCGCTGTACTTAATTACAGTTATACATGCACTGTCCTTAATTACAGTTATAAATGCGCTGTCCTTAATTACAGTTATAAATGCGCTGTATTTTATTACTTATAAATGCGCTGTACTTAATTACAGATACAAATGCGCTGTACTTAATTACAGTTATAAATGCGCTGTCCTTAATTACAGTTATACATGCACTGTACTTAATTACAGTTATAAATGCGCTGTATTTTTAGTTTTAAATGTGCTGTACTTAATTACTGTTATAAATGCACTTTACTTAATTACAGTTATAAATGCACTTTACTTAATTACAGTTAAAAATGCACAGTACTTTATTACAGTTATAAATGAGCTGTACTTAATTACAGTTATAAATGCACAGTACTTAATTACAGTTATAAATGAGCTGTACTTACAGTTATAAATGTGCTGTACTTATTTACAGTTACAAATGCGCTGTACTTAATTACAGTTATACATGCACTGTCCTTAATTACAGTTATAAATGCGCTGTACTTAATTACAGTTATAAATGCGCTGTATTTTATTACTTATAAATGCGCTGTACTTAATTACAGATACAAATGCGCTGTACTTAATTACAGTTATAAATGCGCTGTCCTTAATTACAGTTATACATGCACTGTACTTAATTACAGTTATAAATGCGCTGTATTTTTAGTTTTAAATGTGCTGTACTTAATTACTGTTATAAATGCGCTGTACTTTATTACAGTTATAAATGCGCTGTACTTAATTACAGTTATACATGCGCTGTCCTTAATTACAGTTATGAATGCACTGTACTTAAATACAGTTACAAATGCACTGGTCTAAAATTACAGTTACAAATGTGCTGTACTTAAATACAGTTACAAATGCGCTGTACTTAATTACGGTTATAAATGTGCTGTACTTAATTAGTTATATATGCGCTGTACTTAATTACAGTTATATATGCGCTGTCCTTAATTACAGTTATAAATGCGCTGTCCTTAATTACAGTTATAAATGCGCTGTCCTTAATTACAGTTATACATGCACTGTACTTAATTACAGTTATAAATGCGCTGTCCTTAATTGGAGTTATACATGCGCTGTCCTTAATTACAGTTATACATGCGCTGTCCTTAATTACAGTTATAAATGCGCTGTCCTTAATTACAGTTATAAATGCGCTGTCCTTAATTACAGTTATACATGCGCTGTCCTTAATTACAGTTATAAATGCGCTGTCCTTAATTACAGTTATACATGCGCTGTCCTTAATTACAGTTATAAATGCGCTGTCCTTAATTACAGTTATAAATGCGCTGTCCTTAATTGGAGTTATACATGCGCTGTCCTTAATTACAGTTATACATGCGCTGTCCTTAATTACAGTTATAAATGCGCTGTCCTTAATTACAGTTATACATGCGCTGTCCTTAATTACAGTTATACATGCGCTGTCCTTAATTACAGTTATAAATGCGCTGTCCTTAATTACAGTTATAAATGCGCTGTCCTTAATTACAGTTATACATGCGCTGTCCTTAATTACAGTTATACATGCGCTGTCCTTAATTACAGTTATAAATGCGCTGTCCTTAATTACAGTTATACATGCGCTGTCCTTAATTACAGTTATAAATGCGCTGTCCTTAATTACAGTTATAAATGCGCTGTACTTAATTACAGTTATAAATGCGCTGTACTTAATTACAATTAATGCGCTGTACTTAATTACAGTTATAAATGCGCTGTACTTAATTACAATTAATGCGCTGTACTTAATTACAGTTACAAATGTGCTGTATATAATTACAGTTACACGTGTGCTGTACATAATTACAGTTACACGTGTGCTGTACTTAATTACAGTTACACGTGTGCTGTGCATATTTACAGTTACACGTGTGCTGTACATAATTACAGTTACACGTGTGCTGTACATAATTACAGTTACACGTGTGCTGTACTTAATTACAGTTACACGTGTGCTGTGCATATTTACAGTTACACGTGTGCTGTACATAATTACAGTTACACGTGTGCTGTACATAATTACAGTTACACATGTATTGTACTTAAAGAATGCTTTTCTAGTCGTCCAGACATTCCCCTTCCCATTTCAATCAATCAAACCAAAGATACTTTATTAATCCCAGAGGGAAATTAGAGTTTCAGTGCACACAATTCTGAGATCAGACATACATGGGCAAGACACATGACAAGAATTGGTGACTGTGGTCATTCGCAACCCTGAGTCGCGCTACCTTAATAGAGATAAGAGGGCTACATGAGGGTTGGTTCAGGTGGAGGGAAAAAAAGAGGCACTTCAGACTTAACCTCCACCAGGAGGGCAGCTGTGCTTTTAAAAAAACGGGTCTTCCAATGACAAGGGTGGGGAAGCCGGGATCGCACCACCAACCTTGTACCCACTCTGCCACGGCTCTCCTTCTCATCACATGTGACTGTGAAGATTCTCCATCTCCCGTCCAGGGCATTAGCCAGAGGAGGTCCCCGTAAGGTCTGACTTTGAGGTGCGTTACAAAAACTAACCACTGGTTTTGCTTCTCCCCTGCAGAAGCATCAGGGCCATGCGGTGGTTGTGGCGATAACTTCCCGTGCGGTTTTCGACTCAGAAGCTGGTGATGACGGTGGTGATGTTTATGGTGCAGGTGTGGCTTTTCCACTACTGCAGGTCAGAATTAATGCTGTTAGCAGTCAAGCTATGCAGACAGTAATTCGATATTAATGTCTCCCATGTTTACTTCAGGCGCTGCAGAGGGTGAATGCACGTCTGCTGGAGGACAATTCAGCTGCGTCTCTGCTGTTTGACGTGGTCCTGATCACCACCAGCAGCCGACAGCAGCAGCAGAGTTCTCGTATCACGAACAGCACCAGACATCACGGTAGTCTGACTCCAGCTGTTCACAACCGGCTGTTCTCTTCCCATCCTGAGGTCACTGCTGCTCTGTTGCAGGTCTTGAAGTTGGTAGATTCTGTTTTTCAAGTGAGGAGGACTTCAACGAGAGCCTGCTAAAACAAAACGTTCAGTTATTTCTCACGACAGATGAAAATGAATCACTCCAGGCAACGCAGCAAGGTCAGGAGGTGTTTTTTCTTCTCTTTTATGTTGCAGCTGGAGGCACACACTTGCTTAGATACATCTACAACTCCAAACTGTTAGGCCCTTGAATCCAGTTTACGAGATGTTGGAACAAGTCGTAAAGCGTGGGGCACACAGAAGATAGAGGCGCTGCGCCACGGAAGCACCGCGGTTTGGGGAAGTCAAATGGTCACACAGGACTCACTGTGCCGCGAACGCTTCTTGGAGAATTGCGAGATAGTCACTACATGATGCGGGATTTTAGGACAGGAAGTGGAAAGTGACTCTTTAGATTATACGTGATCAGACTTGACGTCGTGTTTTGTGAGACTAATTCATTAAAAATGGGTAAGTCCGCAGTTTATTAGACTTTTGAGATCGACAGTCCTTTAAAGTCATCAATACTGTGATCAAGTAGCATTTATGAGCTCCTCGTCCGTGTTTTGGCGGCTGGGTTTGTGCCGTAGAGCCGTTCCGCGTCGTAATGTCTGTTGTAAATTACTCCACAATGTCGTAAACAGCCGCACTCGAAATAGCAGCGCCGTGGCACAGACGACGCGTTGCGCTCCCCGTGTAACCACTCTCCGTAACTATAATGGCCTCTTTTTAAAATGATGGCGTGGGCGTGACGTGGTGCGGTGCATCTGACTGTGTTCCCCAGGCTGTAGCATGGAAATCTGGACCAACTGTAGCAAAAGATGTAGCTCTGCAGGTCTAGCCACCCCCACTGCACCCTCAGCAGGTCTACCGTTGGACCAAACCAATCACAGCGCTGTTTGTTGGGTGGGCTTAACACCAGAGCTGCGACAGAGAAAGGGTAGATTCTGCCTCAGGACTGAGCTCTGCCTATGGCACGTATGTGAGAATACCAGGTGTTGCATCTTTACATTAGTATAGAAGTCTTAAAATACTATCGCTAGTGAAAGTCAAGGTTTTAGTCCTGCAGACGTTTAATGTTTACAGTAGTTGTGTTTAAACATAACACATCAGTGAAATCTAACGTCAGGCAAAGAAACGCACGGAGAGGTCCAAACTGGAATGAACATTTTTCAGAGTTTAGTAAAATTTTAGTGAAACATCTTGTCAACAATACTAAAATAGAGTTGGTGGTTTATTCCTTTTCTCTGGATCAGCCAATCCGCGGGTCTGACCGCTGCTGCTCACTTGCAGCCCGGACCTGTTTCAGGCTTGTGCTTCATGAGGAAATGTGAGAAACAGCTGAAGCTGCAGAGGGAATTTTGTTCAAACTAAATCACAGAAGATGTCCAACAAGTTTGGTGTGTTCATTATGTGTTAAAAAACATTCAGCATTTAAGGGAATTAGCGTTAAAAGCTGCTAGTGCAGATACCGCTTAGCTCTGACCCAGCATACTCAGGACGTTTTCCTGCTCAACGTCCGACTCCTTAAACCCAAACCAGGTCCGAATAACCCACGTTGCTCTGTCTTCTTAATCCAACCGATCCCAGCTGCTGCTTTAGTCTAGACTTGACGCAGTTTGACATAATTTATGGACAATCACAGCTATCATATCAACATTATACTACTTATAGACCCCGTGAAAGTTAACGTTTGCATCCGGGTAACCAGTCAACTTCAGGGTTCATTTCAAGATCCTGGTTCTGGTCTATAGGGCCTTACATGGACAAGCACCATCATACATTGGTGATCTTCTTAGTCCCTACACCCCCAGCAGGTCCCTGAGGTCCAGTGACCAAAGCCTACTGGTTGTGCAGCACCAGGCTAAAGACCAAAGGTGACAGATCATTTGCTGCTGTGGCCCCCAGACTCTGGACCTCTCTCCCCCTGAGCCTGAGATCAGTGGACTCAGTGGTCTCCTTTAAAAAGCAGCTGAAGACTCACCTGTTCAAGCTGGCTTTTGTATGACCTTCTTCACCACTCTCTCTTTATTCTGCTCTCCCCACTTATTCCACCTTCCTCAGGATCCACTGATTTCCCTCTTTCCTATTCACTCTCTCTCTTAACACTTTTTATCACAATTGTCTATTTTTTGCTCATTTAAAATGTTTTTTAAACCATTTTCTAAATTATTTTTTATATTTTTACATGTTTTGTTTTTGTGAAGCGCTCGTGATTTTTATCTTGAGAGGCGCTATAGAAATGATATTTTCTTCTTCTTCTAGTTTTGATACAGAGACTGCAGTACCCACCTTTGACCACAGGATGTCATTCTTGCTTCGTGGACCTTTATCATTTACATTCCCTTGAGGTTTTCTAGTTAAATCTAATCTGGTATGCATCCTCTCACCTGCTGCTGTTCCAGGTGTTCCCTCAGCACTGCTGGATGAGTCCTCCAGATCCTGTTCATCAGACCAGCTCAGAGTTTTGTTCTGTGAGAACGCTGTCATCCCACCTAATCCTGGTCCACCACCAGCCAGCAGGCAAGCTGCTCAGGTACCAACTTGAACTTTTCCCTGTCTCTTAGGGGTCACGCTGCATTTCCATGTTTATGTTAGGGGCTCATATTTTGTCCATAGAGGCTTGCGGCCCAGCTGGGGACCATGCGGCAGAAGTTCGGGATGTTTCACAGCCCTCTCTGCTTCACACTTGTGATGTCACGCGGCAGCAAGGAAAGCTGCTGTGATGCCCTGAAGGCCTTACGGTCCATCGGTGTCAGCGTGGATGAGGCATATTGCCTAGCCGGAGCCCCACGCAGCCCCATCATGTCTCTGCTCCGACCTCACTTCCTGCTCAGTGAGGACATCAGTGGACTGGAGGACTGATGCTTCACAAAAACAACGTTGTCTGCCTTCGTAAAACTCATGAAATTACTGTAACCGTAATGTTTCTGGTAGCTTTTCCTTTTCTTTCAATGTGATGCAAGAACACGAGAAGGGTCCCGTCTGAGTCTACCTGCTCCCCCCAGTCAGAGGCTTGTTTCGGTTCGATTTCTCACTTTTCTGATGTGCTTCGGGTGTTTTAAAATAAAAAGCAAAAAAACAGATTTTTGACCAGTTCTAAATTCATTTATTTGGTACTGAAACATAATGTAGCCTAGGCTGCTGCCCCCACGACCCAGCCCTGGATGGATGGACATGATGTAGCTGTAACGTCACGAAATGGCCTGATTTTGAGACCCACAGGTCAAGTCCACAGCCAGGACATTTTGCCCTGGCTACGACTCCAACCTACAATATTTTCCCTCATAGGAGACTGAAAGCCTGACGCCCTGAAAGAGATAATAAAATCAAACAATAACATTCTCTCCTACCAAGGTCCCTCTACAGAGGAACTCATTAAATGAACTCCTAGATTCACAGAAGAAAGAAGATTTTATAATTAAAGATAATCATTAAATAAACATTTGTTTATTGCTACTTATAATATAAGACAATGAAATGTTTCATTAATCTGTGCTTAATGATATATGTTTAGCATGTTTACTTGACGAGGTCATCATCATCTGCACTCACACAAAAACAAAGTAAAGTTAAGTGAACGGATGACACATAGTTAACCTTTTACCCAGTTCAGAGCCTCCGGATCAAGGAGGGTGTGTCTCTGAGATTCTTGGTAATATTCCTCAAACTTGTCAACTTCTGGTTGGCTACTCCATCATAATATTGTTCCATTAAAACTAGATCACTCTGGGTTTTCTGGAGTTGGAGAGCAAGCTTCAGACCGGCCATCTGAGCAAAACATCTTTAACCATCAAGGATTTTGACGCGTCGTCAAAACCTTTAACTTTTCCACACCTGCGAAGCTGAAACAACAAGATAGTGTCCTGCAGAACAAAGCTGATATTGTTACAACTCCTCAAGAGTTATTCCTGAGGCGCAAACTAGTTCCAACTGTCATTACCTGGAAGATGGCCCTGGACTGACCTGGTCGTACGAGGAGTTGGTCTACGGACTCCGGTACCGGGGTCTCCTGACATCTCGGTTCCACTTGGCTATGTAGAACACAGTGAGATTGCGTCTGAATGTGGTTTTGATAATAATCTGTTTATAGCTTAAACAAACCAAATTCCTTCAAATCCAGAACTCAGCTCTCTGAGAAACGGAGATTCTGACTATATTATATTCACACATAGGTTCCAAACACACCTTTAGTTCCATCCATCACAGTAAATGCTTAGTTAGCCTGTCAAGTTTTAATTGTAAATAAATTCTTACTTTATAAACCTGACTGTTTCTGAATCAAAACGAAGTGTGTACCATCCCCTAATGAATAAAGAATCCTAGAATCTTCTGACTAAAACAAATAAAGACCAGGCAAGGTGAGATTCTATATTTAAATAGAGTAGTGCAGCTTATTGGTCTCAAGTGGTGTTAGTAATATAAATAGCTCTTAGAGCAATTTACACAACCCAACATATTATTTATTAACATTACATCGCACTTAAGCTGTATCTAATAAGATTTTTAGGGGAAAGGGAATAAAATTGATCCACAAATCTTAGTTTTGGGTCTTATTCTGAAAATACTGATGCAGAATACCCACTCGTTTAATTCTGACTTATAAATAGAATTTTTTATACGAGAAACAAAGATGTTGGTTCTAAATCAGGTACAGTTTCTGGCTGGTAAATCACTGTCAGTGTCTTGGTGACTTCTTAGGGTTTATTAGTCTGTTCCTTGTTTGTTTTTATTTTGGGTCAAAAGTGCCTCCTAGATTCACCTAACCGTCACTTTCCTGTTGTCCAGCGTCACCAGCCTGTCCCACCAGCTACTGGAGTGCTCCCAGTAACCCAGAACCTGCAGAAAACCTACATCAACGGGGAGAACAGGCTAACTGCTTTCAGTAGGAATTTAGACCTGCAGCCTGCTCGCTGCAGTGCGACGGTTCTACCAGCTGCACCACCATTAAAGCTGTAAAAACCAGTAAAAGACCAGATTTGAAGTCACGCGGTTCTACACAAGTGTTTGCTCTCTCCTGGAACGTTCTATCGGTTATGTGTGAGATTGACCAGCAGGCAGCAGCAGAGTGTTTCGTGCTGTGATGGGATGGAGGTCCAGCTGGAGGAGATGGATAACTTCTGGGGACTTACAACATTTGAATGCATTATCATGATTTTATAAAGTCACATTTTCACTATCAGCTATGGCGTAGTCAGGCTCCTCTAGCTGAAAATGTGGAGATCAGGTTCCCCCAGACCTGCAGCTCACGCAGAGGGACTCTGGGTTTGACCCCTCCCTGATGAGTGGGTGCCATTTGTAGGCTACAGCCTCCCTTCTTGGTTCTTGACCGATGTGGCCTTGGGATCGCACCACTCAGCTATCAGCGACCCTGCAGCTCTGACAGTCTGGGCTGATCAGGAGCAGAAAACCACCCAGTAGGGCTGGAGGGAGGTCCCCAGTCCAACACAGAGACAAACACTCACACAGAGACGGTCTCCCATTAAAGGTGCAGTATGTAAGACTATAGTGAGAATTTTACAGTGAGCAAATCCCAAAAGACACTAATGTTTCAGTCGTTTTGGAAGGAAGGTTCTACTGAAACATATTTCATATCCAGCTGGCTGCGTACGTATTGTTTACCATCAGTGAGTGTGGGGGTGTCTCCTGCGAGCTAATGCTGCAACGTTAAGGAGTGGCGACAAATGTGCCAAACGATCAATCCGATGTGATGATTCCGTATAAATATGAAATATCGACCTGATTGATCTTTGAATGTTTAATCAGAAGATTCTAGTTACTTTAACTTGTTCAGGGACTATAAACACACTTCGTATTAATTCAGCCAGAGTCATGTTTAGTTTACAAAGATGAATTTATTCCTGTTTTCCTAAACTAATGATTATACAAGAAGAGGTATGGATGAAATGCTGGAATGGAGCTAGATGTTTTAACAAAACCTTTCTTGAGTATCTGAGAGAGATTGTGGCGTCTAGGTTGTGAAATCTATTTTGCTGTTTGTTTTGTAAACTAGAGATTTGTTTATAAAACCATCCGACACAATCTGTGTCGAGTCTATGCACCCTTGTGTGGAGATCCCCATGCAGATCCAGGGGGTCAGGAGGTCGAGCCAGACACTGCCGATGGCGTGGACCTCTGTTACCAGAACCCATTGATTCGCTCCGATACGACCCGTCTAGTCATGAGATATCTCCATGTGACGACAGGAAGCTGGAGTGCTTGGTTTGCGTCTAATGGGCTCGACACACCGGAGGCGACAAACGACCGCGATCAGCAAAATTTGTCGCTGTCGCTTTTATTACCTGACACACGGGAGGCGATCCGCAGCAGCGGCCAGCGGCAAAGCCGGCAAAATCGAAACTTCCATTGTTTTGTTTGGCTGTGTCAGGTTGGAGGGAATTGAGGTTATTTAAGTGGTTCAGAGTTAATAAAGTGGTAGATATGATGTTTCACAAGGTGCTGCTAGAGTTATGTGAAATCTTACTTCTGATTTTACTATATAAACATAATAATAATCAACTTCTCCTTCATGTTTGCTCGGAGATGTACGGAGCATCCTGTCCGCTCATTGGTCAGTGAATGAAACCTCCGTTGGTCCTCGTCCGAGCGACAGTGATGAAAAGTTGAAAATATTTCAACTTTCTGGGATCGCGTCCCTGGGTCGCCTGTGCACGACACGTGCATGAGCGCAAAATTTCACACGCACGTTTTTCGCGTTTCGCTTAGTAGGAGAGAGACCCGCGATTATCGCTTTGTCGCGCATGTCTCATTGAAAATGAATGGAGGAGAGGTGATGTCGCCTCCCGTGTGTCGACACATAAGGCTGTTTGGTGGCTCTTAAAAGGGCTGTTCTCGCAACGTTATGGAGAGGCTTTGACCTGAGGTCAAAAGAAGGATGGTTTAAAAATGCTTTTTTCAGCGATTTGGCCGGATCGGGAGTCAGCTAGAAACTGATTTAGCTCCGGAAACAATTCTGTTTTATCACCTGCCTTATTTATAAACGTGTCAAATCAGAATTTGACACGTTTGAGGGCTTTACCAAACATACCTCAGGAGTCACTCCTTCCTTCAGATATGAATATGGTTACATCTTTGTGTGAATGAGAATGTTTGACAGATGATGTGTGTGTGTGTGTGTGTGTGTGTGTGTGTGTGTGTGTGTGTGTGTGTGTGTGTGTGTGTGTGTGTGTCTGCCAGTTAAAGGTTACCTTCTGGTCATGTTGACGAAAATTTTGACCTGTGGTACGTCAAAAATCTACAGTTATTTAAAGTGGCTGCAGTAACCACGTTTTACCACAGGATGTCATTTTTACTTCATTTCTACATGATGCACCTTTAACCTAACATGCATTTTCTGGTCAGTCAGATGAAAGCATATGTTCTTGCTGGGTGGCTGCAGCTGGGATTTAAACCTGCAACCTTTTTGCAGTGAAACAACAGCCACCAGACTAGAGTGGCTCTTCTGTTCTGCCTCTGGTCTCTGACAGACTAAGCAGAATTTGTACAGAAAACAGTTTTTGGCACAACTGATCATGGTCCATCAGAATGTGGATAGCAAAAAAAAAAAAAACTAATTAATGATTCAAACAACAATAAATAAAAATTCTGTCTGGATGTTTCTTTTCCGACTCCTTCAGTTTTGTGCCCATGCAGGAAGGTCTGGCTGGGCAGTGATGGAGGAGGAGGAGGAAGGAGCATCTGTTGGATCCTGAAGCAAACTCAGGAGCATCCAAAAGTCCCCATCAGGTCTAGAGGTGACCTCTTGGTGGGCGGAGACTGTTGGGTCTGGATTATTAGGGTGTTTATAACATAGTTATTTGGGTTATTTCCTCCAATTAGCTAAAATATTTGTGACATTTGTACAAATTTGAACCTTTAAATGTAACCTTGTACAAACCTGATGATGGCTTTAACTTATTGTTTGACTCCGAAATTTTTTTTACATATTTTTTGTTTGAGTTCAGATTTTTAGATCTTGTCGTTTCTGAGGAAATATGGTTGGAAAATAAACATATTGTTTTTATTCACGAAGAGAAATCTTGACAATGAAATAAATAACTTTACATTCAGCACCTCATCAGCGTTCAGCACACACAGAGACACGCGCGCGCGCACGCACGCACTCGCAGATGGACTGTCTCCCGGAGCTCAGGGGGTGAAGGACGCCGTAAAGCGCAGCAGCTAATCGGATTTAATCGGTTAATTTGTCTCCGGTGGCCTCCGGAGGACAGGTAAACACGTCGCGGGTTGAGTTGAATCTGTAACTTTCCAGGATGAAACATGACCTGAGCACAAGGATAATGAAATAGACCAATCGCTTTTCGTTTTCATTACTTTGTAGAATAAAGTTAAAGTGCGCGCGTCCGTCCGGCTGGACCGATTTTGCGTTATTGCGCAGCGCCGCGCGCAGATTGAAGTCTGCTTCAAGTCTCTGAGACATCATGAGACCTCACCCTGGGTCCCGCAGTCCGGACCAGCATTCATGAGAGCCCGCTGGCCGCGGTGCTGTGGCCCGGACCGGGACGGAGCGACGGCGGAGCCGCGGCGGAGATGTCGGTCAACGTGAGCGCGGAGGCGGAGGCGGCAGGACGCAACGTGCCGGCGCTGCTGTTCGGTGTGCTTCTGATCGTGGTGATCACCTGCGGGAACGTGCTGGTGTGTCTCAGTGTGCTGACAGAGAAGGCGCTGAAGACCACCACCAACTACTTCATCGTGAGTCTGGCGGTGGCGGACCTGATGCTGGCGGTGCTGGTTCTTCCTCTCTTCGTTTACTCCGAGGTGAGACCGCACGGTTCCGTCTGGGTCAGGGTTGATCAGAGGGTGGCACAAAGCTGCGAGACCAGCATGCATCTTTAAGGTCAAAGGTCAGATGTTCTCCTTCAGGACGTGCTAGAGCAGAATTCATGGTTCCGGGTCCAGAAGCAGCAGACCATGCCTGACCCAACTGTCTGTAGAAGCCTCATCAGGATGCTGATGCTGAGTTTAACGCCCTTCTACAGGTCTCAGATCTAAATGGCTACTGGAGCCAACCAGAGTTAAAGGTATAATGTGGTTACTCACAGCAAGGAGGTGATTACTTTTCACATGCTAGTTCATTGTTCCCCTAAATAGATGAAATTATATTTGAAAGGTGCATAATGTGTTCACTCTGTGTTTGCTGCTCTGAGACTTTAATGACATAAAGATCTTTAAGAGGCACAAACACAGAATAGTTACGCTGAGATGATCAACAATCTGCAGCTGCAGGAGGTCTGAGTTATAAATATAATCAGTCCTACTTTATTCAGTTTAATATAATTCAGTTCATGGGATCAGAACTTAATTAGATATTCAACTGAAGAACTGCATCATTTGTTTCATATGAGCTGTGTGTGTGTGTGTGTGAGTGTGTATGTGTGTATGTGCATGTGTGTGTGTGTTTGTTTGTATGTGTGTGAGTGTGTGCATGTGTGTTTGAGTGTGTGTGTGCTTGCTTGTGTGTGTGTGTGTGTGTGCATGTGTGTGTGTTTGTTTGTATGTGTGTGAGTGTGTGCATGTGTGTTTGTGTGTGTGTGTGTGTGCATTTGTGTGTGTGTGTGTGTGTGTGTGTGTGTGTGTGTGTGTGTGTGCGTGTGTGTGCGTGTGTGTGTGTGTGTGCGTGTGTGTGCGTGTGTGTGTGTGTGTGTGTGTTTGTTTGTATGTGTGTGAGTGTGTGCATGTGTGTGCGTGTGTGTGCGTGTGTGTGTGTGTGTGCGTGTGTGTGCGTGTGTGTGTGTGTGTGTGTGTTTGTTTGTATGTGTGTGAGTGTGTGCATGTGTGTGTGTGTGTGTGTGTGTGTGTGTGTGTGTGTGTGCGCGTGTGTGTGTGTGTGTGTGTGTGTGTGAGTGTGTCTGTATGAAAAGAGCTAGCACTCACCACGAGCTTATGTTTATCATAACAGAAATCCATTTTCACACAAGATTAGAGACGGTGGGCTTAATAAACTGGGTTAACGGCCCAAATCCTTACACCTCGTGTCTAGGGCCAATTTGTAAAACCTCAGTTTTGGTTTCTTTGAAATACAGAAAGTTTGCAGACATCCATGACTTAACCGCAGCCTTACACTCCAATCATTTTGCTGCACATCATGTTTTTTCACAGCTAAGTGACCTCTGAGGAACACCGCATGTCAGGGATCATTTATGAGCTTTTACTTTATTTCCTCTTGAAAACATCTTTTACAGCCAATTTAAAGTGAGTCAGAAAAACACGTTTCATATCAAACAACTTTGAGCTGAAACTTGTTGCAAAGGTGACCACACTGATCAGAGGGAGAGGCTGTGGAGGATTATTTATAGGTGCATGCACACGTTATGTCTGAAGGTGTTTTAATTATTTAAGTTTGCTCCCATTTATTAACTACATAATTTTTCCATTTTCATTCAAAGGCAGACATAACTTCATTATTAAAGATAAAAGCTGCCAGTTTCTCCTCCGGTGTTGTGGGAACTTGTGTGTTTCTGTTAGAAATGCCTCCAAGGAAGAGCGGGGGCAGATCCAGCATACATGAATCCATGGAGCTCCGGGAGTTGACGTCACTTCTCCCGGCATGCAACAGTTCAAATCGAAACGGCGCCATATTGGCATGCAGAAGCCGGCAGCTGGACTATTTGTTATTGTCAGAAACTCAAACGGGAAATATGGTAGATTCCTGTTGTGCCCCAGGATGCAGAACAGTCGTGGACGACATGAGGAATGAGCCATCTACAGGATTCCCCAAGACCTGGAGCACCGCAAACGTTGGATCATTGTAATAAAACGCACTAGTGACCGGGCTAAAATGAAACTGTGGGATCCCGAGAGTAAAGGTTTTCACTTATGCAGCGACCGCTTCATATCAGGTACTTAAACCAACGATTCCTCAACTGTGTATGATATTTATTTTAAATGCTTTTATTACGATTCTTAGTGGCCTTCCTAAACTTATTTTGGCGTGGCTTTTTCTGTCTTATTACTCATAGCAACAAGTAAACATCACGTAAAACGTTTCCTCGTGTTTCTGCGTGCTGCCGTTTACGTGTTTCATGATCACAGCAATTAACCGGCTAAGCTGTATTTCATTTTTAAGCAATGGTTGATTAATTGCCAGATCACACATAAAAAGCACTTTGGATTGCTATTATATGTCTCACCGAGACAGATCTCAGACAGATCCTGAGACGCTCCTGCCTGACATTTTTATTTTATTCACGGAAAAAAATCAGACTACTGTAGTGATTACTCTTGGTGTTCGGTTTATACATTCAAACAGCACAGCACTCTATTTAAACTACTTACGTGTAAATCTGTTATTTGTCCATCCATCCATCCATCCATCCATTTTCATCCGCGTATCCGGAGTCGGGTTGCGGGGGCAGTTGCGTCGAGAGGCCCAGACTTCCCTCTCCCCAGCCACTTGGGCCAGCTCCTCCGGGGGAATCCTGAGGCGTTCCCTGGCCAGGTCTGGTAAGAAGTCCGCTCCGATAGCTTCTGGCGTTTTTAAAAAGTATCCCAGGGGCACGGTAAGGGTCGATGTTTAGTCTATTTAATTTCTGACTATATAAAACGATTTCTTCGGTTTTAAAGTGTGAAGTAAACTCCGACGAAGTAAAATCCAAGCCGATCCCGTTCATTTTGTTTACCTTTGTTGACTGCCAACATGGTGTCTACTCTCTGAGAGTCACGTGACGTCCGGAACTCTATACATCCACTTTTAAATAATGGAGTAAAAATGCTTGTGTGAACTCTAAAACTCCTGCCCTCGTGTGACAGGAGGTGGAACTGACACACACACGTTTGAAACTCGCTGTCATAAATCAGTGTGTTTTATCCCTTGTTGACCTCAGAGAGAGCCAACTGTTGGAGGCAGAAAAGGGCCTCATCATCAATAAAACCCAGAGTAAGCCAGCTGGTCTTTGTCTCACAGAGCTCAGGGGACAACAGCCAAACACAACCTCAACATTGCTCTTTAGGTCGCTTTCATCTGGGGTCAAAAGTTCAAGCCAGTGGGAAGTTCAATCTCACCATGAATAGAAGGAAACAAACAACAGCGCCGGCATTTGTAATTGGACACTGGCGGCAAAACAAAGAACAAAGCCAGTAGACAGGAGCGACCCAGAAGTCATTTCCTGTTTTCCAAATTTGCTGTAGCAGCTTTACGGGCTGATACTGGTTTCTGATTTCTCTGAGCTGCTCAGAAAACAAATAAGGAAGATCCTTATTGTTTGTTGAAGTGAAAACATTTGAAGAGAAAAACACTTTTTGCTGTTGTTGTTCAACAACCAGGAAAACATGTGGGATGTTTATTGCTGCTTGGTGTGTTCACAGACTGAGACGTGAGCAGGAATTTTGAGTTTCTGATCGAGTCGTTTGATCATGCTGAGATCTGGCTGATTCTGATCACCACTCGACTTTAGTGCATCTCACACTTGTGTTTTAACATTTTCTTTTGTTTTATTCATTAAACAACATCTTTTAAATTCTGAACAAATATGAAGGAACACGACCCTTCCTATCAGTGGGGATTTCATTCAAGTTTAACTCAGAATTTGTAATTCTACATTCCAGTTTCACACAGAAAAATGAGCTTCTTCTGCTGGGGCTTTCAGTTGGAGTGAACATTGTAGACATGTTTCTGTCTTCCAGTTCCAGGACGGTGTGTGGACCCTCAGCACCACCATCTGTGACGGGTTGATGACCATGGATGTGATGCTGTGCACAGCCTCCATCTTTAACCTCTGTGCCATCAGCGTCGACAGGTCAGCGCTCAACCTCTACAGGTGTATCAGAGGATAAACCCACTGGGGATGTGACCATAGGTGTGTGTGTGTGTGTGTGTGTGTGTGTGTGTGTGTGTGTGTGTGTGTGTGTGTGTGTGTGTGTGTGTGTGTGTGTGTGTTAGGGCAACACATTCTCACACCCAATGCGTCAAAATATGACGCATGTGACCAAGCCTCAATATATGACGATTTGGGATGCCCTAGCGCGTCAGGAGATGACGATCAGGGACAAACTGCTGACGCAGCGTCCCAGAACATTGGTGTCTGACGCCGGTGGTGAGACAGACATTAGAACTACTTGTGAACTACTTAACCTTCCCCTCACCCCAATCCTAACCTTAAGGTCACAGTTTATGAACCTTAAGGTTAGGATTGGGGTGAGGGGAAGGTTAAATAGTAGAATAATGTCCGTGTGACCGCGCGCGTCAAATAGTGACGCCAGCGGAGCCACGTGAACCACAGTGTCCCTGATCGTCATCTCCTAATGTTCTAGGGCATCCCAAATCGTCATATATTGAGGCTTGGTCACATGCATCACATTTTGACGCCTTGGGTGTGAGAATGTGTTGGTTAGGGACAAGGTGATCCATGGTTGTTGCAGGTTTGAGTCATAAAGAAAACAATAACCATACAACCACTGGGAGTAGTTTCAGGTTAAATGTTTCTTGGTCTGTCATTAAAGCAGAACCCAGAGCAGAACTTGTGTCTCCTGGGACACCATCCTGGTACACGACACGTGTCTCTAAGGTTCACAGCCAGTCTGGTCCCCAAACCTCTCCCCAGTGGAACACGTGTAGAGCCAGCTCAGATGTCATCCTGCAGGTTCTCCGAGGCAGCTTGGCTTAGGATGGGGTACGATGGTTGCGTGACACCAGAATAAAGGGGGTGCCAGGCTCTATTCTATGTTTTATTTTAGTTTGTTATTAAAGGTGAACCCTTAGCAGCGTGAAGGACAAACTGAATAGATGAAATGACTTGTTCCATCATTTCAGAGCTGTGGGTGATGTGACTCGTTCAGCCCAGGAGACAAATCCGTTAAAGGCCATCTATCCAATTACCTAAAGTGTAGCCAGGGCCACACGAGTTCAGCAGGTCAGATAGGCTGGAGCTAGACCATTCAAGACCATCAGAAGGATATTTTACCCAACAGGAAACCAGTTTAGTGATACAGGTGTTGGTGGTGGACTGGTCGCAGTTTTTTAAACCAACTGGAAAATGGTGACAAGTGAAGCTGCATGGATCCAGCATTGAGGTGGTGAAGGTGTAACAAAGGTAAGAGTCACCTCAAGGTGTCTTCAGAGGAAACAAGGCATCTGTTAAACGTTACGGCTGATATAGACGGACATTTTTGATGTGATTTGGGTTAAAATGTGCAGCAGAGCCAAAAAGATCAATAAATAAATACTAATATGGTGGCTTAGTGTGTCGTAGTGGGAATGGATAAGATATCTGTGTGTAAACCATCCCACTGAGCCAGTGAAGTACAAACATCCTGTCTTACTGGAACACACAGCTCCCACTCACCTCAGCAGCAGCTGTGTCAAAAGATGGCCGCCACAGCTAATTAGCATTAGCCAACACAACAATGGCTGGAGCTGCCCCGGGGCGCCCTGACAGAGGCGAGGCTGCTATAGACATCCTCTGTCGGGAGCCGGGATCGAGCTGCAGCCTTCCGATTGTTCTACCTCTGAAGCTACTGCTGCCCCGGCAGGTCTCACCTAATCCGTTTAATGGTTGCAATGACATTTTATTGGGAAAAAAAAGATAGATTACAGGTGAAACAGGAAAATGGGAATCTGGTGCAAAAGTCCATTAATGTCAGTAATCCATTTGAGACTGAGAGACCATCTAATGGCTCAGGAACCTCTGCAGGTGTTCAGGATTCATTACCTGATCAGAGTGTGACACTTTGAGTCTAGAGTATCGAACCTTTTCACAATTTTCTGATTGAGTTTTTGAATGTGTGTTTTTCATCAGCGATGATAACTATTACGGCTCAAACATCTGGATTTACCTGGAATCAATCCGACTCATCTATTAGTTTTCCTTTTTAAGTTGAATTACTGACTTTAATGAACTTTTGCACCATTGTCAATATTTTTTGTTTATCTCTGTTAAGCTAGAGAAAATGTCAAAGTTTGACCAATAAATGTTCTGAGTCGCCGTTGTTTACATGATGTAGGACACGACCCTGTGGATGCTCCAGAACAGAACAGAGCTGCCCAAAACCTGCAGCATCAGTCACGGGTATCTGGCTTAGGTATGGCAGCATGTCCAGTCACTGAGGCTGTAATCTAAACTAGACCATCAGGAAAGGCTGTAACCTGTTCGGTAGCGGTGGTATTTGAGCCCGAACCACACAGTTAAACCCTGCCAGAGCCCCGGCAGTCACAGAACTTGGTACCAAAGCTTTAGGTCATCCAGATGAAGGTCTTCCTGCAGAAACCTCTCAGGTAAAACCCGGAGATCAAAGTTCACTTAGGGACTCGTTTGAATCGACCTCATGTCTGGGTCGTTCAAGAACATTGTGCAGTAGCTCAGGTGGTAGAGCGGGTTGCCTCATGATCGGAGGGTCATGGGTCCGATTCCAGCTCCTGCCAGGGGTATCCTGCTGTTGTGCCCTTGGGCAATACACTTCACCCAACTTGCCTGTGTTAGTGGTGGTCAGAGGGGCTGACGGCGCCAAATGGCAGCTTCACTTCTGTCAGACCACCCCAGGGCGGCTGTGGCTACAAGTAGCTTACCATCACTAGCAGTGTGTGAATGCGAGAGTGTGTGAAAGCGTCTTTGGGTGTCTAGAAAAGCGCTATATAAGTTCAATGTATTATTATTATTATTATTATTATTATTATTATTGTAAATCTGAGCAATTTGTCACCAAGACAATAAACCTCATCCATCAGAGTCAGACATTCATCACAGTTAGCTTACTGATGTGGAAATACTTTGATGTTTGTGTTTTTACTTCTAAACGGAGAAGGACAGAAGGGTCAGCCCATCGGCTGTACCTAACCCTTAACCCTTAACCCTAACTCACTGAGATCTAAACTCTAGGCTGGCTCAACCTGCGCTGCCTCTCCAATCACACAGACGTCTCCAGCAGATGTGATTTGGATGGAGAGCAACCAGGCTAAAGTGGAATGATGATGGTGATCTGAAGCTTTTTTTAAAGCAGCCATTAGCATAAGTGGAGGACAGAGTCTGAATAATTCAGGAGACTCAGCAGCAAACATGTCTTTCAGGGCTCCAGAGAGCTGGAGTGGGAAGTCTGCTGGTTGTCTGAGAAAACGGACCTGTTGGTGCTTGTTTGTGACAGAAGTACGCTACGAGGCTCCGCGGAGTTCACTCACACATGAATCTAACACTAAACATTTCTAATAAAGGTGTTGGTTGGTTCAGAGTTCATTGTTAGTTTTGTAAAGCTGAATGTGAGGCACATGTGGGAATCTTCTTTGGTGTGTTCTTGCCGTGTTGAAATTCTAATTCCATCTTTTAGTTCTTTTTAAAACACAGCCTGACGAAGTTTGCAGCCGCAAATGAAAAGTTGCAGGTAAATAAAACCTTTCTGTGTTTTAAAAAGAACTAAAAGATGGAACATGTGAGAATCTTTTAAGGAAAACAAAAGCCTCAGGCCCAATCCCAATGCTCGCACTGCACCGTACGCAGGTGTTCCCTGCGCAGGTGCATCCTACACAGGTGCGCCTTACGCAGGTGCGCCCTACACAGGTGTTCCCTACGCAGGTGCGCCTTACACAGGTGTTCCCTACGCAGGTGCGCCCTACACAGGGTCACACTACGCAGGTGCGCCCTACACAGGTGCGCCTTACGCAGGTGCGCCCTACACAGGTGTTTCCTACGCAGGTGCGCCTTACGCAGGTGCACACTAGGCAGGTGCGCCCTACACAGGTGCGCCCTACACAGGTGTTCCCTACGCAGGTGCGCCTTACACAGGTGTCCCTTACGCAGGTGCGCCCTACACAGGTGCACACTACGCAAGTGCGCCCTACACAGGTGCGCCCTACACAGGTGCGCCCTACACAGGTGTTCCCTACGCAGGTGCGCCTTACACAGGTGTTCCTTACGCAGGTGCGCCTTACGCAGGTGCACACTACACAGGTGCGCCCTACACAGGTGTTCCCTACGCAGGTGCACCCTACGCAGGTGTTCCCTACGCAGGTGCACACTACGCAGGTGCGCCCTACACAGGTGCGCCCTATGCAGGTGTTCCCTACGCAGGTACGCCCTACACAGGTGCGCCCTACGCAGGTGCGCCCTATGCTAGTGCGCCCTACGCAGGTGCGCTGTAAGGCTTCGAGTGTGTGGTGCACAAGTGTGCAATTAATTGCTAAATTGTGACCGGGAGCATCTGCACCTGTTTTCCAGCAGTAATGGATTGTGGGTAATACCCTTCACCAAATAGCATAAGTGAAGCACGTAAGTGTGGAAGTGCGAGTGTTTGGATTGGGCCTCAGTTGGAAGCGTGTCCCTTCCTCAGTGTGGGAGCTGGAGGTAGCCGTGAGGTGGAGTGATCTTTCCAGTTATGATGAGATATTATGATGTGTCGAGGATGTTTTATCCTTCCTATCTTTTTATTTTCATTTTGTATGTTTATAGTATCGATTTTGAAATAGAATAATGGTGGTTCAGTGACTTTCAGGGGCTCGTGTCCCGTCTCTCTCACCTGCTGCAGGTTCATTGCTGTGTTGATTCCTCTCAACTACAACAGGAAGCACGTGGACCTCCGTCAGATGGTTCTGCTGGCAGCCACCTGGATACTGGCTCTCGCTGTAGCCTCGCCCATCATGTTTGGCATCAATGACGTGCCTGGTCGTGATCCCAGCGAGTGTAAACTGGAAAATGACGATTACGTCCTCTATTCCTCTGTGTGCTCCTTCTTCATCCCCTGTCCCATTATGCTGCTGCTGTACTGTGGGATGTTTCGTGGACTGCACCACTGGGAGGAGGCCCGCAAAGCCAAACTGAGGAGCAGCATCCAGGCCTGTCGCAAGCTGCAAGAGGCTGCAGCCTCCCTGCCTCCTCTGGCCTCACTGCCACCCCCACTGCCGCCCATCATAGAGAGGGAACAATCAGATGTACCAGATGAGCCGTCCACTGTCCCGTTAACGGACCAGCCTCAGCAGTCAGAGTGCAGGGCCAGCCTTGTGCCAACGGTGAGCTTTGCAGAGATCAAGTTCAACCCAGATCCTCACAAACGGAAAAGGGCTAAGATCAACAGTCGTGAGAGGAAGGCTATGAAGGTGCTTCCTGTTGTTGTTGGTGAGTTTCTGTCTTGTAGAAACAAATCCACTGAGTCATGAAATAGGACGTTGTGTCTACTCTGTGTTTCTACTGCAGCAGCTGGCCCAACACAGCTCCTCCATCGTTCGAGGGAGGGTCCCAACATTAGTTTAAGCTACAATCCGGAGTGACAATACCATCCAGTGGCTGACAAATGTCAGGCGTTCTTATCACTCCTGTGTTTATGGCCAGGAAAAAAAACGCCTTGTGGTTGATGGTAATCCCAATCCTGATAATTTCATCCCAAGAATTATTCCATATAAAATGTAAAAATAAAAATCATCATTCAAAGTCTAGATAAGGGGATTTCGATCAGATCGGGTACATCAAAACCATTGGGTTCTGCAGCCCTTTCACGAATTATTCTCATTCATCTTTGTATAAACGAAACAAATCACAACAAGTATTGATGGGCAACATTTAGCAGTTTTCAGAATAATTTTCTACATGTGCACCTCGGTGAATAGCGACCAAGACAGAAAGAAAATGGTTGGATTTTCAGAAACCCACACGGAGAGACTCAGATAAAGAGAAAACAATCAACAGCTGTGCTCGATAGCAAAACAAATAAATCACAGTTTGGAGAACCTATTCAAATTATATTTTTCATTGTTGTTTTGTAGCTTTAACTTTCAGGCCCCAATTAATAAGACCTTACTAGCTCAGTAGTAACCATTTGTTTGGGATAGCTCTCGTTTTGGGCCGGCTGTGTCTCTTGATTCCTGGCTGAAACGGGAGTGATCAGGCTGGGGATTGATATGCACACGGCTAGGTTGGTTTTCTGGTCTTTTGGAGCCTTTACCTCTATTATAACCTCATTGGTTCACTCGTCCTCTACCATGGACATGCGGATTAGAGGGGCAGACACGTGAAAAGTGGCCCCAGCCACCGCAAGCCCAACAAGTGGGAGGTTGGGAGTAGTTTTGTGGTGTCCACTCTCTCTGGGAGCTGCGGCTGCTCCCTCGGGGCTTAAAACTTCCCTTTGTGTAACCCTGATGGTAATACACAGTTCCTACGGTTATTTCTGGTTTAACAATCAGTTCTTCTTCAACCGGGGCTGAAGGTTCTGGAGGTTGAGCGAGAGTCTGTGTGCCCTGGAAAGGCGGGGGTGGAGATGATGTGAGGGGCTTTAATTCCATCTCTCGTTTATCAACTGACGCTGAGTTGCCCATTATTTATAAAGTTGCGTTCACTGGTTTTGTGAAGAAATCTGGAAGGACACCGGTAAACTCTAAAATGAACAGTATTAAAAATAGAATCAGGCTGGTGGCGAAGGCAAAAAATCACAGTCATCTTTTCAGAGAACATTGAAGCACCGGAAGACCGGCTTTTTCCCTCCTCACACACACACACACACACACACACACACACAGAAACTTCACCAGGCACCTCCTGACACACACACAGACACTGAGCCCCCCCCCCCCCCCCCCCCCCACACACACACACACAGAAACCAGACAGAGCCCACAGCCATACAACACACAAACGTAACCACAATGCGACAAATACAAAAACCAATGGCGTAAACACAATCAACAGCTTGATCACAATGAACAAAACCACCAAACCACAAACCACTCGCTTCTACAGACCATGAAAAATAGATGGTCCAATTATGATTTGATATTTTCGTGATTAAACACTATAATTTTGATTTTGATTTCCTTCATTTGAGCCAAATATAGCGGTGATGGTATTTTACTTCAGTACCTCCGCAGAACCTTAAAAAACGTTTAATAATCAAAGCGACAGTGTGATTTCTGTGTTCTTTGTCAGCACAGCGGTTGCCAGCACTGTGTCGCGTGGATATAGTGGCCGCTTTAACGCAGCTCTTTTTATTTAGTGACCGCTATCCAAATGTAGCGGCTTTTTCCTTTTGTCCTGCTTATTCTGTATTTTTACCACCGAGCTGGTGTACTTTATAATCCTAGGGGTAGGACTGACTAACGCGAGTCAGTCTCGTTTACAGCCCGTTCCGCGTGGCAGTTGGTACAGCTTTTTTATTTCACATTTATTTCACGCTGTATTTAACCAGAACCGGCTCAATACCCGACTCCCCGTCGGGGCTCGAAGCATCTTTCGAGCCTGAATAGCAGGACAGAATCACACTTGCCAAATAACGTTATGAAAAGGTGCATATAAAAAAGGGTACTCCACCCCCCCCCCCCCCACCCCCCACCCCCGTGCGCTTGGATTTCACCCAGAAAACCGAATGCACGAGAGCCGTGGCGGAAGACGTCCTGCGGAGCTAGAACAGCCGGCTAGCGGAGCAATTCAGTCCGCTGGGCTTTGAGAAAGGCGGCACGCCACGCCGGCTCCCCGGAGAAAGCCCCCCACGGCTGGCTCTGTGCGGTTGGTCACGGCACCAAAATGTTGGGTTATTTTGTATTAAAACCAGGTCACCTTATGAGACGTCAAACGCACAGAGGACAGAAGATTAGAGCAATATTGTTCAGTTTACTTTTCAAAGGGAGAAAGGTGAAGCAATGATCATATAGACCCATAAGCTTGGTTCACACAGTCTAAGAGAACATTCGTCCTCTGAGGGTTTTTATTTACAAAGCACATCACATCACATTCCTAAACTGCTACGTAGAGAATCAGGTGAAAAGCTGTTTAACGTAGGGAGTAAAAACATTGTCACAGCTCCCCCATACGAAACCAGGTGCATTCAGTTAACATTTTATTTCCCATGGGAGTATAAACCGATAACACAGAACAGCATGGTCTGAGGAAGGTCGTTATCCTCCCTGTTGAGACGGGAAAGCTGGCAAAGAATAACACTTGCATTTAATGAAGCAACAGGTGTTTTTACTTAAAGATTTTAAGCAGTAATGTTAGCAAAAAACACTTTTTCCCTATCACGCCTCTTGCTTATGAACGCACACCTCTAGCCTGCTAATGGAGCTAAAACAAAATTCCATCTCAACCTCCGCGGGTGGTCTCATCTTTCCAAGGGTCCTCTACCAGAGGCCTGGGAGCTTGAGGGTTCTGCAGTACCTTAGCTGTTCCTAGAGCGGCACTTTTCTGGACTGAGATGTCTGATGTTTTTCCTAGGATCTGCTTTAGCCTCTCCTCCAGTCTGGGGGTCACTGCCCCGAGTGCCCCGATGACCACGGGTACCACCGATGTCTTCACTCTCCAGGCGTTCTCAAGTTCTTCTTTGAGGCCCTGGTACTTCTCTAGTTCTCGTGTTCCTGATGTTGCATCACTTGGTATCGCCACATCAACCACAACAGCTGTCCTCTGTTGTTTGTCCACCACCACAATGTCCGGTTGGTCCACCATCACCATTTTGTCAGACTGGATCTGTAAGTCCCAACAGGAGTTTGGCTCTCTCGTTTTCTTCCACTGTAGGGGGTGTTACTCACTTTGACCTTGGGGCTTCCACTCCATACTCTGCTCAGATGTTTCTGGGCATGATGCCAGCCACTTCCATTTATGCTTTCCCTGCCAGCATCTCTGTTACGGATCCTGGGCTCCCGCACCTTAAATGGCCCTGTTCTGCTCCCTCCTTGCTGTTCAGGACCTTGGACAGGTCCTCCGTCAGGCTGGCCTCCACCTCGGTCCGCCCACTCTGCCCCAGCTGCGGACAATCTATCGCTGATGAGACGCTCTTAAAAAGACTCCCGATTCCGTTTCTCAGTGAGAGATTCACAGACCTAAAAACTCTGTCTTTCTCTCCTCGGCTAGATTCGTGTAACATGTGTGATATTGAGTAGCATTGACGAGAGTGTGGATATTCGTATTTAGTAATCGTTTGTTCGTGCCGAGATCCCGTTTTGATTCTGCCCCAGTGAGGCCTTTTTTCGTTGTCGTTTTCAGCTTTATAGCTCGCTTTTCGTTAATACCCCTTTAGAATATTGATAGCCGTTGAGTTTTGGTTTATAGTTAATTCCGGTTCGTTGTTTTGAGTTATCTCCGTTGTGTGTTTTGTTTAGACTGAATGTGGATTTTTCCAGTCGAGGACTGTGATTTTTGGTTAAAATCTGTAAAATAAACCCCTTTTATTTACTCTCACCCCTCCTTTTCCGCATCAGCTTTTATGTTACCCCTTGCCACAACACCAAACACCTAGGGTTTGTAACAAACTCACACCCTGCAGTTATGTGGTGGACTGTCTCAGGGGCTTCTAGCCTACGCCTTGGGTCTTGTTGTCATGGTCTGCGTCTGCTTTTCCCCTCATGTGTCTCCTTGTGTTCTCCATCCCTTTCTAGGTTCTCCTTTTGTGTCTCCTAGCGCCCTCATGTGTCCTTTGTCTGTGTCTCATTTATGTGTCTCTTTGTGTTCTTCATGTGTCTCCTATTTGCAGCCCTCCAGATCATTCCTCCCAGGTCCTGTGTTCCTTCGGTCATCCCCAGCCCCTCCAGGTGTCCCTTCACATTCTGTGTCCTTGTAGCTCCAGCCCTTTTTGTCCCCAGCTCCCTCCTGGTTTTCTTCATGAATCTTAGTCTCCCCACCATAGTTTCTATAGGTCTTTTATTTCAGTTGTGTGTGTGTGTGTGTGTGTGTGTGTGTGTGTGTGTGTGTGTGTGTGTGTGTGTGTGTGTGTGTGTCCTTCCCCAGTCAGGTCTGGTGTCCTCCCCTGCTCCTTTCTGCTCCTCCTCCCGGTTATTGTTTTCACCTGTGCCAGTTCCCCACACACCTGCTCCTCGTCTGTGTATAAAACCCTGTCCTTGTTGCAGTGCTGTGTCGGTCCATTGTGCTTCTGTCATACTCTTCCCGTGTTATCTCTAGTGTTTCCAGTGCTTCCAGTGTCTCTTGAGTTTCTAGTGTTTTTGGATCTCCAGTTCAGCTTTGGATATTTTTGGTTTTTGTCTCCAGCCTTTTGGATTTATTTTATTTTTGGTTCATCCTAAATAAAAGATTTTTCTTAATTTTCACTCCTGCCTCGTGTCATCCTGGGTATCTGCATTTTGGGTCCTAACCACCTCCTTGCTCATATCGTGACACTTGTCTGGTGTGGTAGATCTTGGCCTCTGTTGCTCTGGTTCAGGGCCTGTTCATGTGCAGCCACGATGGGAGCCTCTGTGCTGTCCTTCAGACCAGCTCTTTCTAGCTATTGGTTGGATTTCTTGATATCAGCCTCTTCAGTTATCTGTCTGTGGTACATCTCATGTAGGGGTTTGGGATGGTAAATCCATTGTCTGAGACGTTCACTGAGAATGCCATCTGTTGGGACCTTGTCCTTGATGTACTTCTGGATCTTGGATGTTTCATCCTGGACAGTGGCTCTCACACTCACTAGTCCTTGGCATCCTTACTTATGGCTAGTGTACAGTCTCAGGGTGCTGGATTTGGATGAACCCTCCATGCAATACGTTGCATTTACTGACAAGTACAACATAGGAAATTCCATACATCACATCACATACTTCATAAATAATTTCTGAATCAACCCATCACTTTGGGGCACTTTCAGTACTAACGTGAATTGGATGCATAACACATTGCTATGGCTAAAGGTAATAGATAGATTCACAGCATCCCTGTTAAAAATGACAAGGAACGTAATTTTAAATAAACAACCAACAGTACTTTATCTGGGACTCAGCTTTAGCTCTGAAGAACACAACTATGCCACTAGACATGCTACAGAAGGTAGGTTTATTCTACCCAAAGTTAAAACAAATAATGGAAAAAGAACTTTGGTATACAGAGCAATGTCTGGTTGGAATGCTTTGCCCCATTGTTAATGCAGCTAACATCAAACATCAGTTTAAGGTCAAATTAAAACAGCATTTAATGAGAGATTAGGAAATGATACCAAGAAAATGAATGAGATTTATTATGTCTGACTGACTATGACCTGAGAATAATTGTGTGTGTGTGTGTGTGTGTGTGTGTGTGGGGGGGGGGGGGGGGGTATTTTATTGATTTTGTTGTATATATTCAATGAGCATTATTATACATGTAAAAATGTTGTATTGAATGACATCGACCCAGCTGTACAAGTTACAGCTAACGGGGATCGGAATAAATGAGAAGTGAGAAATCATAATATTTGTTATTTCCTCCGTCTATCCCACAACCTAACAAAATAAAACCAGGCTTGGCTGTTAAACAGGATGTGCTTTAACTCCTATAAACACGAGTAGATAAACTCACACGGCTGGACTCAGTTATAGTTCAGCTCAAAATTCAAAACTAGAATTAAAGAGCCTTTTCAACTTATTCTTACTTTGTACAAACATAAGTCAACATAAGGCAGCATCAGGCTGTGGGGATGCTTTTCTTCAGCAGGATGGAGCTAAAGACAGGACAGTCCTGGAAGAAAACTGTTGCCCTAAACACACAGCAAGAGCTACAGTGTGGCGCTTTAGATCAAATATTCACGAGTTAGAATGACCCAGTCAGAGTCCAGACCTAAATCCCAGTGAGCATCTGAGGTTGGACCTGACAACTGCTGTTCACAGACGCTCTCCATCCAACTGTTTCAGTCTCTATGTGTGCAAAGCTGATAGTCGTACCCCTAAAGACTGCAGCTGTAACTGCAGTGACTCTACATTTTGATGCATTTGTCAGTATTCTCACACCATCCTAGAACCATAATGACACCCACCTTGTCGGACCCACACAGCTCCAGCTGGACCAGTTCCACAACCAGAACTTCATCAATGCAACGCATGTTTAAATGGATTTTTACAATTTTACAATTCCCACTATCCTGATGCTCCATGGGAACTCTTACTGAGGTATAAAGTGTGATGTAACAGGTGATGGCAGGAACCTGAGCTCCTCTCTGCCACCTCTGATTCCTGTCCAAGGCCCTCACACTTCTCTCAGAATGGGTCAGTCTATTAATAGCTGTGCAAGTGCTTCCCTTTGGAACTGAGTGGCTAATCCCAGAAGCATCATAATCTGCAATCCAATTATTATGTAGAGCCTGGTCAAACAGGTGTGCAGGTAATACTCATGAACCTGTTTCATTTGCTTACCTGAAAGTACAAGGGGTAAAGACCACCTGCAGGAACGAACACTAGCTTTTAGGGTTTGGATTGGCTGAATTTTTCATTTTAAAGCCTCTAGCAGGTTTTGCTTGTTGTGACATCACCACTGATGTTTGTAGGTAACGTAGAAGGACTGACAGGGAAATAGGTGAACTTGTTTTGTTACTGCAGGAAATGTAGGGCCTTTGTTTCCAGTAAGTCCCTTTCTTCAACACGTACAGCCAACTCCCCCATGAACTGATTAGCGTAGCGATGAATACATCACGCTGCTGCTCTGATGGGTACGAGTGCTGGCCAGTTGTACTGAGACCCCCCCACCCCCACCCACCCAACTGGGTTGTTTCAGTGGGTCAGGACAGGACATAAGATGGCTTCCCAGGCTAGAAGGAACCAGCTCCGTGTTCATGTTCATACATGTCAGGTAGCTCTTGCTTGTTGACTTTTTTATTCAACCACTCTGGACACTAGACTCATCACTTTGACTAGACAAGGAGCTGAAAATGTTGACTCTTTTAGTGTTAGCTGCAAGGAGCTGTAACTCCCTCGTCCAGAATCCTGGAATCTCCATCCTTCCATCCATTGTTGGCTGCTTATCCAGCTTCAGGTCGTGAGGGCAGCAGCCTAAGCAGGGAGGTCTAGACTTCCTTCTCCCCAGCCACTTGGGCCAGCTTCTCTGGGGGAATCCGAAGGCGTTCCCTGGCCAGCTGAGAGACATAGTCCCTCCAGGGTGTCCTCTGATTTCCTTTAGGCCTTCTCCCAATTGGAGACTCAAACATCTTTTATAGAAGAGAGGACATGCTCAACCATCACGTCACAAACACGAGAAACAGCCACATGACCCCACCCTAACCCCTCATCCTGGTGTTTGTGGCTATCCTGGTGAAAGATTTTTGTTGGAGTCATACAAAGAGGAAAAACCTGCTTAAGACCCACTTGTTCCTCTCCTCCTGCAGGTGCTTTTCTCTTCTGCTGGACCCCCTTCTTTGTTCTCCACATACTGCGGGCTCGGTGCCAGGACTGCCACATCCCGCCGGCCCTGATGAGTGTCGTGACCTGGCTCGGATACGTCAACAGTGCTCTAAACCCGGTCATTTACACCATCTTTAACACAGAGTTCAGGAACTTCTTTAAAAAGGTCCTGCACAGCTGCTGCTCCTAGGAATGGGTTAGGGATCCAGAGACATGGATCCAACCGGGGGACTTCTGAGAGCCCGGTGGTTCGCGGTCTTCAGTCTGTTGGGCTCGGCTTTTCTGAGGTTTTTATTTTTCTACATTTAATGACAGCAGCGTTTGTTTATTAGGCCCGAGCAGCGAAAGCGCTGCGAAGGCCTCTTGTTTTTGCTCTGATTATTATTATTTTTTGTTATTCCGTGCCCCCTTTGAACAGCTTTTTGGGGACCTTAACATACCCCAAAACTCACAATATTTTGCACACTTGTCAGGCCTGGTGAAAAATTTGATATTTTAAAGGTCCCAAAAAAATCGCAAAGAAAATGGCTGAACAGCGCCCCCTACAAAGTGAAAAAAACCCCTCTCCATAAAGCTTAGTTTATCGTACAGTTATGAAATTTGGTACACTTGTAGTACTCAACAGTCCGCACAGAAAAGTCTCTTGCAACCATGGTCAATATCAAACAGGAAGTCGGCCATTTTGGGTTGAAATGGCGATTTTTTGCCGTTTTTGCCGTTTTTAGGGTCCGTTTCTGATTGGATTGCTCGATCATTTTTCGCACGATCGTCTCAAAAATTGTGTAAAATTGCTCAGAAGGGATGGGCGAACAAAATGAGATAAGGATTCTGAGTTTTCGTATATGTTGAAGGGGCGGAGCCAGGCCTCGAAGTTTGACTACTCGCCAAAAATATTTAAATTGCTATAACTTCATAACTGAATGGAATAGAGTTACCAAACTTTCTGTGGTCATTCGTCATCCACCCACAAAGTAAATTGAAAGGTCGGATGATGACATCACACAAGCCCCGCCCCCTCAGGACCAAAAAGATCAAGTTTTACTGTGAAAGGTCCCAAATTGCCCCATTTCACTTAATCACCACAAATTTGTAGCTGGTAACTCAAGACAAGTGGGGGTTGCTTGGCGTCACTTTATGGGAGTTTTCGGCAGAGGGCGGGGCTGTGGTGGCGCGGCGAATTCAGGCGTACCGCCTTGGCCTTACGTTTGCCTCCCATTTCGTCATTTCCAAAGATATCGTCACGAAACTTCTTGTGAGTGATCCTAGTCCGGCCCCCCAAAAGATCTGATGTGAACATCTGGTGGGCGTGGCCTATTTTCTGAAATAGCGCCCCCTAGGACCATTAAAACTATTAGCCCCAAGCCATGCTAAATTTGGTACACTAATGTGGTGTCTCAGGACCTACAAAAAAGTCTCTTGGAGTCAAGTTCAAAGTCGCACAGGAAGTCGGCCATTTTGGATCAAGTACGCGATTTAGTGGTTTTCGCACACGTTGTTTGGAGAGTGATGCTCCGTCGCCCTTTTCACCAATCTCCTTCAAACTTCTGCTATATACCCTTAAGACATAGGGGAAAAAATTCAACCGTCGGATTTTTCAAAAGTTGAAAGGTGTGGGCGTGGCTAAGCCTCAAACTTTGACCTGTCGCCACGCTACTCTTTTTTTCACAGCTCCCTACTGGACTCCTTTTACCCAATCACCAGGATTCTGTGGCAAACAGCAGTAGACAAGTTGAGGTTACTTGGTCTCCAGTACTGGCAGGTTTTGAAAAAAGGCGGGGCTTTGGGACCATGGCGAAAATCGCCATCACGCCATGGAAATACGTTTGTCTCTCATTTCTTCAGTTATCGTGATATTGCTACGAAACTTCTGGTGAGTGATCCTAGTCTGAGCTCCAAGAGAAATAGACAGCTGAATTTTGTGGGCGTGGCCTATGTTTTGAAATAGCGCCCCCTAGGACCATTTAAACTATTAGCCCCAAGCCATGCTTTGACTGAGGATTACGAAATTTGGTACACTAATGTGGTGTCTCAGGACCTACAAAAAAGTCTCTTGGAGTCAAGTTCAAAGTCGCACAGGAAGTCGGCCATTTTGGATCAAGTACGCGATTTAGTGGTTTTCGCACACGTTGTTTGGAGAGTGATGCTCCGTCGCCCTTTTCACCAATCTCCTTCAAACTTCTGCTATATACCCTTAAGACATAGGGGAAAAAATTTAACCGTCGGATTTTTCAAAAGTTGAAAGGTGTGGGCGTGGCTAAGCCTCAAACTTTGACCTGTCGCCACGCTACTCTTTTTTTCACAGCTCCCTACTGGACTCCTTTTACCCAATCACCAGGATTCTGTGGCAAACAGCAGTAGACAAGTTGAGGTTACTTGGTCTCCAGTACTGGCAGGTTTTGAAAAAAGGCGGGGCTTTGGGACCATGGCGAAAATCGCCATCACGCCATGGAAATACGTTTGTCTCATTTCTTCAGTTATCGTGATATTGCTACGAAACTTCTGGTGAGTGATCCTAGTCTGAGCTCCAAGAGAAATAGACAGCTGAAGTTTGTGGGCGTGGCCTATATTCTTAAATAGCGCCCCCTAGAGCCATTAAAACTTTCAGCCCCAAGCCATGCTTTGACTGAGGATTACGAAATTTGGTACACTAATGTGGGGTCTCAGGACCTACAAAAAAGTCTCTTGGAGCCAAGCGTAAAGTCGCACAGGAAGTCGGCCATTTTGGTGCAAGTACGTGATTTAGTGGTTTTCGCACACATTGTTTGGAGAGTGATGCTCCGTCGCCCTTTTCACCAATCACCTTCAAACTTCTGCAATACACTCTTAAGACATAGGGGAAAAAATTCAACCGTCGGATTTTTCAAAAGTTGAAAGGTGTGGGCGTGGCTAAGCCTCAAACGTTGACCTTTCGCCATTACTTTACTTGACTTAATAACTCCCATGTGCATGATCAGATCTTTTTCGAACTTTGTCTGTGTGATCATTGACCATATCTGTAAACAATGACAATGTGGACAGCTGACATCACCTAAGCCCCGCCCCCTGACTACAGGAATTTATTTTTTATGCTGAAATGCCCATATTTGTCCCCTCTAATTTAGTCAACATGACCCTAAGGTCATGCACTGTCTTCATGATGCTGTAATGACCATTCAGATCTGATAGCTTTCCAGAAAGGGAGGGGCTTTGATGCCATGGCGAATTCTGGCGTAACGCCGTAATCTTAATATTCAATTTAATGGTGAGCTCAGAGGGGATGCTGAGTCAGGGTGAGGTGCAGACTAGGAGGCCATTCGCGGTTTCTGGTGTCGGGGTGGTTGACGTTTCTGTTCTGTCAGACGTGCACTGGTGCGACGGCAGACCGGAGCGGCGCGGAGCTGCGAGGGCCGAACGACGCTGCTTGCAGCTTTAATGTTTTTTTGTTATTCTTTTCTGTGACGGAGCGTCAGACAGAACAAACAGCTCAGGTGATCTGTAACATGTGGTTAATTTTATATGTTCAAACTTATCTTTTCAAAATAAAGCTCATCTTGTGTGCAAATGGTTTAAAAATGCTGAACTTAGTTTTATTATGTAAACTACATGATCAGATATTGTCATCCTGGCTGGACGCAAGGATCAGAGAGGACTTGGTATTGCCTTCAGGGCTGAGGGGGTCTAATCCAAATGGTCTTCTACACTTTATTCCTCCATCAGCTGCTAACAGAAACAGGAAACACTCTGGTCAGAGAAAACCACGCAGAACATTTGCATTCATGGATTCGCCCATTGTTGACTCACGAGGAGCATCCAGTTTAGCATGTTGGGGCAGAGAATGTAGCTGATAGAAGCTAATCGTTAGCATTAGCAACTCTACCACAGAGCAGAACTCCTAAAAGCTTGTGTAATTTATGGAGATAAAATATCAACATTGCAAAGCACACAGGGTCAGTGGTGCAGTCACATTTGGTGTTAGCCAATCAGAGGAGAGGTGCCTGAATACCAGGAATAATAATGAGTAAGACTCCAAACACAGAGCCCACTGCATTCAAACAACAAGTGAATGGGAACTTCATTAAAAAGAGGAACAACCCTGCGACAGATTGTTCACCATCACTAATAACCGCTATCTTAAGATCTAAGGTTAGGAAAACTTTCCCCCAGCTCTTTATTCGGCATGTTCCCCTCGCCGTGTGTGATCAGAACTGAAAACAAGCATCTTGTCCTCAGATGAACTGACATGTTCTGGGGGAGAGCTCTGACCCAAGACATGCACAATCGAACTCGGACTCAGGTAGGTTACAAGATAAAAGTCTTTGTTTACATAAACTAGAACTCAGGAACGGGAAGTCCAGTGAGAGAGGGGCTGGGAGCTGCGGTGGCGTCAGAGAGGCTAGACTGGGTTGGATGAGGGGAACGTGAACAGTGAAAGAGATCCTCACTTAGTAGGAGGGAAGGAGAAAAGGGAGAGGAGGGAGGAGCACTGGTCCGGGCTGACGTGGCCCTGAGCGGTGAATGGGTGAGCGGGGAGGTTGAATGAAGGAGATGTGGCCTGGTGGAGCTTCCTGCTGAGTTTATGGTCAGGAGCTGAAGGTCTAGAGGATAATCCAGAGAGAACAATCTGAGCTGAGTCTGAGCTGAAGACCGAGAGACAAGAAGGTTAAAAGGCGTTCTGAGTACCAAAACGGAGCAATCGTCAGGCGAGTGTGGGGTGTCTCCTGCCTCCTCTTATACCCCCATGCTGATGATGGTGAAATCAGCTGTGTGCTCCCTCCACTCCGCCCACCTGAAGCAGACGGAGCTGAGAGAAGGGTGACTCACCTCAGACCGTGACATGAATGTTATCTCCTACATGAAGACAAATTGCAATAAATCGGTTTTACTGGAAAAAAATCGGTTGTTAGTGAGTTCAGTTTAAAACTTTTCTGGTAAACTTATTTTAGAAAACTGGATTTCTTCCATCAGCTGAACCAACTGAGAGAAACGTCGGTTAGCCATCACATTATGACGCTTTTTTATTTGAGCTCTTTCTGTGTGTTTCAACTTTCAGCAGCAGCAGCACACAGACCTTGACTTTGTATTTTAATAAACCCAAAAACTTCCTGATGGGTGCCTCAGCATTCACAGCAGTAGAGGTGATGCTCGGTGAAATGTTTGCATCATGATCGGCTCTTATTATTTGCCAAGTTTTCTCATTCCTGGTCCAATCTACCTTCTACT